TTGAATTATTCCATCAAAAGAAAGGACAGATACAAAGGGGTTGCGACTAAGAAAATATTGGAAGGAAAGGAAAGACGATTCATAACTCGGTACAAGGTTTCTCTTCGCACAATAAAAGGCTTTGGGGTGTCACGGATTCAATTCTTCTACATTAAAGCCTTCATAGGCTCCTTTTAATATACGCTTTTTGCAACATGCGACCGACGTTCTCATCAACACCATGGGTCCTTTTGACTTCATTTCTTACTCTTTTCCCTTCTGCTTCAGCATCAACTCGATTAATTGAATCCAAGTCTTTGAACGCCTGTCAGGATAATTCAAGTTTTACGGCCACTTTATTCGATGTCGTCTTCACACCCGGAAATTTAACCTTCACGTTCGATGTAGTTGGTGTTTCTTCTATTCAAGGAAATGTCACTTTCGATGTCGAAGTCACGGCTTATGGATATCCCATTTTAAATAAAGTCATCGATCCATGTACTTCTGGATTCGCGGGACTTTGCCCGATGAGTACTGGACAAATCGATATTCAATCTAACATTGTTGTTCCTCAATCTACAGTCGATAGCATTCCATCCATCGCATACGGTGTTCCTGATTTGGATGCTAATGTTAAAGTTATTATCAATGGTACCGCGAATCCAGATGTTAGTTTGGCATGTGTCGAAGCTCAATTATCAAACGGACAAACCGTCGATCAAAAGGGCGTGGGATGGGCAACTGCTGTTATTGCTGGATTGGCTTTGGTAGCATCTGCTGTAACTTCTGGATTGGGTCATTCGAATACTGCTGCTCATGTAGCCGCCAATGCCTTGTCACTCTTTGGATACTTTCAAGCTCAAGCTATGATCGGACTCACTTCTGTTCCTCTTCCACCCGTCGTTCAATCATGGACTCAGAATTTCGATTGGAGTATGGGTATAATTGAGGTTGATTTCATGCAAAGCATCGCAACTTGGTATCAAAAGTCCACTGGTGGAACTCCAGCTACACTCTTGAATACTTTGACCACTACATCTGTTCAAGTCGAGAAACGTTCCATGGGAAAGAGATCAGTCGAACATACCATTCAACTTCTTACTCGAGCACATGAAGTGTTGACCAAACGAGCCGATACTACCACAACAACTGGATCATATCTCGTCAAAGGAATTAAACGAGTGGCATTCCGCGCCGGGATCGAATCCACCAATTTATTCTTGACCGGCCTGGCTTTCTTCTGTATCTTCATTGTTTTAACCATCTTGTTTGTTGCACTGTTCAAAGGATTCTGTGAACTTGCAGTTAAGATGAAGTGGATGAAATCGGATAAATTCGTGGATTTCCGCAATGGATGGTTCACTGTCTTGAAGGGTATCATGTTCCGTATGGTACTTATTGGTTACCCACAGATGACCATTCTATGCCTTTGGGAATTCACACAAAATGATTCTCCAGCAGAAGTTGTTTTGGCCATTTTCTTCTTCTTTGGTATGACAGGGACTCTCGCTTGGGCAGCTATGAAAGTTGTTCGAATCGCCAAACGATCGGTTTTGATGCACAAAAATCCTGCATACATTCTCTATTCAGATCCTTCGGCTCTCAACAAGTGGGGTTTCCTCTACGTCCAATTCAGAGCGACGGCTTATTATTTCATTATCCCGACTCTGATTTATATTGTTATTAAGGGAATGTTTATCGCATTTGGACAAAACTCATCTACAGTTCAAGCTATCGCTCTTCTTTTAATTGAAGCAGCTGCATTGATTGGAGCCAGTGTTATTCGACCATGGATGGACAAAAGTACCAATAGTTTCAATATCGCCATTTGTGCCATCAACTTCTTAAACACCATTTTCCTTTTAGTATTCACGGATATTTTCAATCAACCAGGTATCGTTACTGGTGTTATGGGCGTTGTTTTCTTCATCATCAACGCAGTTTTCTCGTTGGTTCTTCTCATTCTTGTTCTACTTGCTACCGTCTATGCTTTTTTCCGCAAGAACCCAGATAGCCGTTACTTACCAATGACTGATGATCGTGCATCATTCATCAAGTCAAATACGGGCTTGACCACTGAGCTGGATGCTTTGGGAGCTACCGCCAGAGGAGATAAGGCAGGATATAAACACAATCTCGATTTGGATGATGACAATGATTCATGGTCATCTGATTCCATGAGACATCCAGCAAATATGCCTCTTCCACCTTCTACAGCAGGTACAGGAACATATGGAGAGTCAAATCCATCAGTTAGAGATGCACCTCATTCACCAGTTGATCCATCGGTCCCTCTTTTCCCAGCAAGTGGCTCTCGTGGTCCACCACCAAATTATCAAGATGGAGGACGCAATAGTAATGCTCCTTTAATCTACGGAAATGATAGATCGAACAACGCATCACCAGCTCCATACAGAGATAACCTTTCGACATCAAACTTGTCGCAATCAGGATATAGATCACAAAATAGTGGTAGTCCTGCGCCTGGGGGTTTCAGACCTCAGAATCAGAACCAAAGCAACGCTAGGTAAGAATTAACTAATGATCGATGACGTGCATAAGCTAACAAATGTGATAGTCCTTGGCAACGTGGAGCAGGTTATGACCATTAATGAGGGGGCTTTTATAAAAAGGCGTTGAGAATATATTGGTTGATCGAACTTGAAAACCTGTTTCAACTAAGAGGGAATTACTGGGTTGGAAGGTGTTATTTGTAACTTTCTTTTCTTTTTTCTGCAACTCCAGTTTCTTTTTTGCATTAGGGTCGGTAGTCAATAGTGACATGCAAACTCTTACCTGTTGAGTAATATACTCGAGGAGAGTTCTCTCTTTTTTCTTTGCCTCGTCTTCTGAGTTGAATTTTGGGTTTTTTTCTTGTGTTGGGAATCGGTGGAAGGTTATTGGTTTCTTTTGTGTCGTTGGGGATGGGATGGGAGGGAGGTTGGAGGGGAGGAAGAGAGGGGCTTGGAGGGTTCGGAACGTGGAAGGGGACGGAGACAAAGGGTGGAAGGACTGGGGAAATGGTAGATGAATGGATGGATGAGGGGGTAGGGAAAAGGGGTGGATAGAGGGGTCAAGAGAAGATGAATATCAAGGCGGATAAGGAAGAGAATAAACAAACCTGTATAAAAGAAAATCAAACACACACACAAATACAGTCAATCAATATGGGTGGCGCGTACCTAGGTAGATCAATCAATTTGATGGTATATTAAAGGTATGAGTTTTTTTTGTTTTTTTTTTTTTTTGGAATATTGGGATCTAGCAGATTTTGAGTGAGACGGCGAATGAATGGTGATTGAAGATCTTTTGGGCGAAAATACCAGAACAGTAAAAACTTGGACAATTGAAATTCGAGATTGGCGGCGGAGAGGTTAGAATGGTCACGTGATAGTTTCCGTCCAGTAAATGGTGGATCTGGTCTGCACCAATAGATAAGCCCTAAAACCAACGCTTATCTAGATTTCTTAGCGTGTAAAAATAATTTTCTAAGAGGGCCCTTCGTCAAGGTTTGACTTTGTATTTTATTCTACGACTTCTACCATTTATTTCTGCGACATCACATCACATCACATAATTCATTGTGCGGATTAATTGCCGACGTTCAAAATGGGTTCTGCTGAGTTGAAAAAGAGAAATCGCAGTCATGCGAAAGGTGCAAAGAGTGCGAAGAGTGCGAAAGGTGTGAAGGGTGCGAAGAATGAGGTGTCTGTGGTAGAGAAGGAGGAGGAGGTTAGTCGTGAGAGTGAGGTTGAGGAGGAGGACGAAGAAGAAGAGAAAGAAGAGGAAGAGGTCGAGGAGGAGGAGGACGGAGAGGAAGAGAAGGACGAAGAGGAGAAGAAGGAAGACGAACATAAACATTTGTCTTTACCTACCGTTAACGATGTATCGGTCGAGAAATTTTCAGAACTCAACCTTTCCGACAAAACCATGAAAGCCCTGACCGAAGACATGAAATTCGATACCATGACCGAAATTCAACGAAGAGGTATTCCACCATTATTGGCAGGAAGAGATGTTCTTGGTGCTGCAAAAACTGGTTCTGGAAAAACATTATCATTCTTGATTCCTGCAGTTGAGATGTTACATTCTTTACGATTTAAACCAAGAAATGGTACTGGTGTTATTGTCGTTTCTCCTACAAGAGAATTAGCATTACAAATTTTCGGAGTCGCTAGAGAACTCATGGCTCATCATTCGCAAACTTATGGTATCGTTATGGGTGGCGCAAATCGGAGAGCAGAGGCGGAAAAGTTGGTTAAAGGAGTCAATTTATTGATCGCTACACCAGGACGACTGCTCGATCATTTACAAAATACACAAGGATTTATCTTCAAGAACTTAAAGGCATTGGTTATTGATGAGGCAGATCGAATTTTGGAAGCTGGTTTCGAAGATGAGATGAAGCAAATTGTCAAGGTTTTACCAAAGGATGATCGTCAAACTATGCTCTTTTCCGCAACACAAACTACTAAAGTCGAAGATCTCGCAAGAATTTCCCTTCGACCAGGACCTCTTTACATTAATGTTGATAATAAGAAGGAACATAGTACAGTTGAAGGTCTTGAACAAGGTTACGTCGTCTGCGATTCCGATAAAAGATTCTTATTACTTTTCTCTTTCCTCAAGCGCAACCTTAAGAAGAAAATCATCGTCTTCTTCTCAAGTTGTGCTTGTGTGAAATATCATGCCGAACTTCTCAATTATATCGATTTACCAGTTCTTGACTTGCATGGCAAACAAAAGCAACAAAAACGTACAAATACCTTTTTTGAATTTTGTAATGCTAAACAAGGTACACTTATTTGTACAGATGTTGCAGCTAGAGGTCTTGATGTAAGTTTTCTTCCTTTTTCCCTGAATTGACAAAACTAATATTGCTTCAATAGATCCCTGATGTAGATTGGGTAATTCAATTCGATCCTCCTGATGACCCAACAGATTATATTCATCGCGTTGGTAGAACTGCTCGTGGTAATGATGGAAAGGGCCGCTCTCTTCTTTTCCTTCAACCATCCGAAGTTGGTTTCCTTACCCATCTCAAGACTGCTCGTATTCCAGTCGTAGAATTCGAATTCCCTGCAGCAAAAATCGTCAACATTCAAAGCCAACTTTCGAAATTAATCGCACAAAACTACTACTTGAATAAGAGCGCAAAGGAAGGATACAAGAGTTACTTGCAAGCATACGCGAGTCATTCCCTAAGAAGTGTTTTCGATGTAGGAAAGTTGGACTTAGTCAAGGTAGCTAAGAGTTTTGGATTTGATGCTCCTCCAAGGGTAGATATAAACATCTCAGCCGGAATGAAGGATACCGCACCAAAGAAGAGACCATATGGAAGTCAACCTAGACAAGGAGGTACCTATAAGAAAAGAAAGTTGTAGGAATGATGTCCGAAGCGAATGTGGTTGGTTGTATTATTCATTGTAGGCAAGGTGTTAATTTGGGTGGGAAAATTTGCTGTTTCCTAAAAAAAATTGGGCTTTTGGAGGGGAATGGGGTTTTATATCATATAATTCTGAGAATTCATTTTGTGAAATGAAGATTTATCTTATTGTTTGGGAATGAATTGAATATATTAGAGTATTAAAATTGAGGTTGGGTCGTTGGATGTGATATATGTGATGTATGTGTTTGTGTTTTTATGTCATTTTTTTAGCAGTAGGTAGGGGGAGTAGTTCTGGTGTTTTTGTTGATATAATAGTTACAAAAATAAGTTGAATGAATGAACGTCTGTCTACATGCAGAGATGTGAAAATACATACGGGAAAGTAGGTTTGCTGGAAATATATAATCATTAAATCATTTAATTCACAGTACTATCTAGATCTAGTAGGTAGTCAAAGCCACGGTAAGGTTAGATACCCGGAAAAATATTTACGCTGAGGTCTGCTCTGCTCTGCTCTGATTCTCGGTTGCTTAACCTTAGCATAACCCCGCAATCTTCCGATCTTTTAACCTTGAGTCTACCCAGTTAATTGTAAAGTTTACCAATTTACCTACCTAGCTAGTTACTTATCAACTGGATTAACATTATATCATATTTTTCTATTTTTCTTTTTTCTATTTTGTAATTTTATATTTTTGTATCATTACAAAAGTAGGAAATTGATAGATCTTTGGTATTGGTACTGATATTGATCCTGATAATAACCTGCGCTCCTTTGAGTATTTATCTATCTATTCATCCATCTATCCATCTCTCCACCTAGGTATCTATAGGACACAATGACAAGACTCAAGATCCCCTTAAACTCAACACAGTCGCTGCAATTGCGCGCTGGGAGATTGGGAGCGGGATGGGGGTTCAGATGGGGTGGTTATACTCGCATTAGCAATCTTGGAAATAATGACACAAAACGCAATTTTTCAGAGACGAAATGGATGAAGACGGATGGGGTGTATAGGGAGTTGACGGCGACGAGGATGAGGGGTGCCGTTTATTGAGGCTTGGAAGGGGAGGGAGGGGGAGGGAAAGGATGGTGGAGGGAAAGGGGAGGAGGGGCTGGGGAATGGGGGGAAGAGGATAGAGGGGAGGGAGGGATTGAATGTTAAGAGGATGGGGGATAGTTTTCATAGTGTGGTGAGTCTTTATTATTTTTTTTTTGGCTTTTGGGGTTTGAGGTGTGATCTTTGAAGTTTTAGTTGGGGAGGGTGGGGGTGGGGGTTTGGGAGTTGGGGGTTTGGAGATGCAATGTGAGATGGGCTTGTGAGATGGAAGAGGGAATTGGGAGAGGGAGGGGAATAGAAGGAGGGAAAGAGAAGAAAGAGAGCGGAAATGGAAGAAGAGAGGAATGTCACGCGATATCTGATGTTTCATATCCTTTATTTTATTCATCACATTAAGGGCGAGGGTGAAAGCTGTTCGGTGTCTGAGGGTTTACTATTTCCTACCTACCTAGTTATAATTTACAGGAAGCAGGAGATGAAGGAAATTTAGTACAAGAAATTACTGCTAACCTTGTACATGTGTTTCTAGATTTTACCTTTAGCAAGCGATCCTTGGCTTCTAGATAATTACATCACGGCTAGTGGACATATAAGGTTTGGAGCGATTTTTATGGTAAGTTCTCAATTCCGTGATTGGACACTGAAGATAGAACAGGGAAAGTGAAGAAATAAGAAAGAAGCCACATACTAACACACCCAGGACCTCGATGCCCTCGCCGGAGTAATCTCCTACAAACATACCGGCGATAGCGTAATGACCGTCACCGCAGCTGTAGATCGAATAACCCTCTCCCGACCGCTCCTCGAAATCTGTGATCTAGAACTCTCAGGCCAAGTTACCTTTGCAACCGGTCGTTCTAGTATGGAAGTATCACTACAAGTATGTAAAGCGGTTCCATCTGGCCAGGAGAAGAAAATTGATGATGTTTTTATGGAATGTGCTTTTACTATGGTGTCGTTGGATCCGGCTACGAAAAAAGCAGTTAAGATTGCCGGGGTGGAACCGGAAAATGAGGAGGAGAGGAATTTGTATGAGTTGGGTATGAGGAGTTATGAGAAGAAAAAGAGGGAGATGGGTAGGGGGTTGAGGAGTAAGGAGCCGGATGATGAGGAGAGTGATTTGATTCATAGGTTGTGGTTGAAGAGTTTGGATTATCATGGTTTGTTTTCTTTTCTTCTCTCAACTCAATACCATCCACACCACTTTTCCACTTTCCTACCCAATACTAACAAAAACCCCACAGATCCCAATACACCCTCCCTCCTCCCCAAAACCTGCACTCGCATGTCAAACTCCACAATCCAATCCGTCCAAATCATGCAACCCCAATACCGCAATCGCCACAACTTCATGATCTTCGGTGGTTTCCTCCTAAAATCTACTTTCGAATTGGCTTTTACATGTGCATCGGCAATTTCCCATTCAAGACCTACTTTTATCGCATTAGATCCTAGTACTTTTGAGAATCCGGTTCCGGTGGGAAGTGTGCTTTATGTTAGTGCGACGTTGGCTTATAGTGATAGACCGCTTGTTGGGGGGGAAGGAGAGGGGAAGATGGGAGGAGAAGAAGAAGAAGGGAATGGAGAGGTGGATAAGGGGAAGAAAAGTAAAACGAGGGTTCAGATAAGAGTTGATACGAAGGTTAAAAATGTAGAACATGGGGAGACGAAACCGACGGGTCAGTTTAATTATACGTTTGAGGTGGATGGGATATTGCAGGTTTTGCCGGAGAGTTATAGGGAGTTTATGGTTTATCTTGATGCGAGGAGGAGGAGTAGGGGGAGAGGGGGTGTGGTGATTGAGGGGGTGAAGGGGAGTGTAGGTGTAGGTGTAGGTGCAGGAAAGGATAAAGTTGGTGGTGGGGGGGATGGGGGATTGAAGGTTCTTTGATTGGTGAGGGGAGTTTGTGGAGGGTAGGAGAGAGGATAGAGGATAGATGAAGATTGGAATTTGAAAATTGAAATGAGGTGGTAGTATAAAGTAAGAGAGATGAATACTTTTGATACATTTATAAGGATATTGATATTGATAGTTCTTGGACTTTCAAATCAAAAGGAAAGAAAAGAAATAGACAGATCTCGCGATTGCATTGTAGGAAACCTTAACTGGATTGACTGGATTAGAAGATAGCTAAGGTGCGTCAAGCTGCGAAGAAAAAAAGATAGAGTGTGCTCTGTAGGTTATCTAGATATTTGGAGGTCTAATTGTTATTTGATTTTGTGTATCTTTACTCGAGTATGTTTCTTTTATTACATTGAAGCTTTATAATTTGTGCTTGAGAATTGGTGTTTGATTTTTTGATTTTTTGATTTTTTGATTGTTAATGATTTATGATTGTGTTTATATATTTATTAATTGATTTGTTTATGATTATCATTGTTATGATAAAAATATATATCTGAGTATAAATCTATATTGTGTATTTATTATATTTATTATTTATATATATAAGACTCTATAATCATCCAACCTCATCTCACTGGCAAGACTTCAAAAATCATCCAACACCTAATCCATCCATTCATCCACCCCACTCACTCACCCCACCTCTCTCCCTAATAATCCTGCCAATTCGAAGTCCACGGCAACCCCTCCGCCTTCTTATCCCTCCCATGCAAATACCCCCCACTCAACTCCTCCTCATCAACACCACAATGCATTTCCCCATCCCTCCCCTTAAACCAACCTAACCCATAACTCTTCCCAATCCCCACCAGTCTCTCCTCCATCTCCCTATTATTTAATTTCTCCGTTCCGACAAAATCATACAACATCTTTGATTGATATATAAATGCGAGAATACTAGCGATACTGGATGGTTGACGAGGGAGAAATGCATGACGGCGTCGTGTGTATGAGATGATTGATATGATGGTGAGAGAGAGGAGGATGAAGAGGGCGAGGAAGAAAGATGCCCAGAAGGATATGTAGGTTTCTTCTCCTGAGGTGATGGTTGAGGTTGAGTTTGAGAGATGGTGGGATTTGGAGGTTCCGGAGCGGGATAGAGCGGATGTGAAATCGGTTCCGGTGACGGTGCTAAAGGATGTGACGCAGACGGTGAGGATTTCCGCAAGAACAGATCCTAAGCCTACGGTTGCGACGAGGTAGTGGCCATTGAGGAAGGCGCGGATGGGGAGCCAGCCGAAGGCCATGGCTGTGTAGTCGAGGGTTAGAGCGGTGGGGGAGGCATGGCGCAAAGAGAGGATGTAGAATGGTTCGATCATGCGGATGGCGGTTTCGAGACTACCCCAGCTGAGTTTGATGGATACGGCGCCGAGGGTTAGGAGCCAGGGTGCTTTATCTGTGATGATGTTTGCGGGGGTGAAGAGAATGATAGGGATGAGAATTGTAAAGAGGAACATGCCGATTACAAAGGGGATTCCGGCGATGGGACGAAGAAATAATGGATGAGGATTTTCATCGTGATGTTGATGGGAATCGTATTTATCTTTATCGGCTTGAGTGAGTATGATACTATCTTCCGGTGCCAACGACGAATTTCGAAGCGTATAACGATGTGCTTTCAATTTTTGATGAATCATATCCGGAGTCGCCGTATCCATATCTTTGAAATCCATAAGTATGTGACTGCGATTTGCCATGGCGGCTATGCCTGCTACTCCTTTTACATCGGCGACTAAGCCCGAGGGTCTGCGCTCCAGTTGCCAGAGTAGTATACATCCGAATATGGCACAGAGCCAGAGTGTCAAACTTAACAATCGGGACCAGGGCCCTGAAATCACTATTCCCTTCATTACTCCTGGATTGGCCTTTCGTTCCGCGCGACTAGGTATTAGAATCATGCTTGCGGATTGTAAAGTTGGTACCAATGATACAGCCATTAGAGTCGCTATCGACGAAACAGCTACTGCATAATGTTTAAAAAGCAGTGCTCGAAAAGGACGCAAGACATTAAAAAAAGTAATATAATCCACATTTATGGATTCCGCGGCCAACGCACCTCCTTCTCGCGAAAGTTGATAATAGGCTTCCAATCGCTTAACTTCAAAATCGGTGATTTGCCATAATACACCAAAGGTAACGGCGACGAGAGTGGGTAAATATTTGAAACAAAAATAATCCCATGTTTTCATCAAGGAGGGGGATGTAAATGAATATAAAGGTTTCTTGAGTGATTTTTGGTATAGGTATTCTTCGGCGGCTCCGAGGACGATGGAGATTATTATGAGGGCTGTGAGGTAGGGTGCTCGCATTGAAAGAGGTTTCCAATCTGCTTGGGGGTAGAATACTTCGATATTGGTAGATTTGAAGGTGCCTTTTTTGTTGATACTTAGGGGTAGGGAATCCATACTTTTGAAATCGAAATTTGGGTGAGGTGTTCCTATAGTATGGCCTGCGAAGGAACTTATATCCATGGGTGCGGAAATGGGTTCTTGGACTATTACTTCGATTACCTCGCCTCGTCTATTTGCTTCGTTTTGTGCTAGGTCTTTGAGTGTAAGTGCTCTACTCAATCTAGCATTTCGAAGTGTAAGTCGTCGAGAGAGACGTGAAGTCGTGGTAGAAGATTGTGATGATTCGGCCATGAGATCCGTACTGGTTATTGTGGTATCGGGTGTAAAACCAGCACCTAGTCCTCCGGTGAGTATCCCAGCAGCTTCTTGACGATTTATTTGTTCGCGCATGGCTGGGGTTAAGGTTGAATTATTCATGGGTTCGTAGAAGAGGGAGAGATCGAAGGGAATGGCCACTGGGGATACCATAGGTGCATCTTCATGTTCTGTTTCTTCACTGGCGGTTTTGTCGTAGAATTTCTTTTGATAGGCCATGGGTATGGCGGCACTTAATAGATTGAGATCAAATTCCTCCTCGGTGATTGATACATCTTGAGAATGTTTGAGTAATGATTTTCGTTGAGAAAATCTCTTTGGAATAATATCGCTTTTCGTTGTATCTTTGCTCGAATTGACATTTGATTTTGTGGTTTCTGGATTATATGAACTTCGGCTTTTGGACAAAAGTTTGAATAATTTCCGAGTTGGAGAAGCTGGTCTTCTTCGTGAAGTTTCTGGTATAAATGAAGATTTTCGATTATATTTAGTTGAAGTATCCATAGGACTCAATGATGTTGAATTATGTGCGGATAATAGCACATGACTGATGTCAATCTGATCACTTTCACTAGATAGTAAAGAAGCTTTTGGAGTAGGTGAGGGTGTTGACGCTAAGGATGAATAATTTTTTGTGTGAAGTTGACGTTTAATATGCGTCTTGGAAGTTTTGTGGTCCTCAGTTGAGATTATATGATGTGTTGAGTTTGTCTTCGAGGATGATGATGTTGAATGAATGTGTGGAGATGTGTCCCTAGATTTATGTTCCGCCATCACCAATTCCTTAATTCTTCCAAATTTTGGTATATATATCGAATATGAAACTCTCAAGAAAACAACTGTGAGGAATTTGTTAGAACAAACGTTTTCTTTTATATATAAAGAGTGGGATATATAATTTACCTGGTGGTAACGCTTGCTAATGGCACTTGCGCTTGATTTTTGATGGAAGCCTAGAGCTTCAGATGGTTGATCTTCGAACCAAATCTAATTGTATGAATGTGAAAGGTTCAACTATTGAGAAGTATGCTTTGCCCGGCTTTCTTGCGGCGCAGTCTTTTTGTACCTGGTAAGCTCCTGGTTTGTGTAGAGATAGATGGGCTGTGTTTCTTGGGAGTTTGCTGAAGTTTGTATATATAAAATGTAAGATCTAAGGTTACAATAACCACACGAAGAACATATAAACAGATTTGATCAAACTCTAACAGAAAAGACAGAGAAGATAGATATAAAAAGATAATACCTATTCATATTACATCAATCATCGGAAACCCAAGATAAGAAACCCTGTAGGTAATCCATCACCTTCCACGTTATAATGTTACCTTTCTATCCATTCTTTAGAATTCAGATGAATACAAGTCTTACCCAAAAAGCTGGGGCTGGATTGCCAAGAGCGCTTTTGAACCTAGACGTCCCCAATAATCAAAACGTGGATTGTACTACATAAAACCAATCATAGCCACATCGAATCTCAAAATAGATCGAATTAGGAAAGGTGGAATGGAATCGAATGAACCTGTACATAAATAACTTTGTAAGCGCGTACAGAGGACTGATGATAATACTATGGATGAGGTGGGTTGGCGAGTGTTTCAGATTTGGGGAATATTTTTGTTATGATTGGGGTAGAGATGGGAGTAGAAGAGAGGAAAGATGTAAAGGACTAAAATATCGATTTAGAGTAGGTGAATCAAATGATGAATTTCTGTTATCTTCTTCTCTTATATTCGATAGTTTGCTATAGGGCTGAGATTTCATCATAAAGATCAATCTACCATCTCGTCCTGATGGCACGTTTCACCAATATATGTACAAGGGTGGATCTTTGAGGGGGAAAATGAGACATGATCGTAAAGAACACCAATGATAATGAAGTGGAATGCATGAATATAAAACTTATAATTGAAAGTAAGGCTTAGAAAAATAAAAATATGGATATGGAATTTTATTATTTTATTCCAAAGAAAGAAAGAACTAGGTATCATGCTTGTATACAGCCATCACTCTAGATGGTGTTCACACACATTCCCAACAATGCTAGGTAAAATACCAAATCTCCGCCCACTTCCAAAATTGTCAGTCAGTTGTCCTAATCACCCACTTTCCTTCCTCAAAAATGTTCTTCCCTCTACGAATTATCTACATTAATACTTCTCTCCCATCCATCGTAAATACTTCATGACCATCCATCCATCATTGTGGATGATATTCATATCAATTGAGAAATTCTTTGTGTTAAAATTTCTATGAGCTAAAATGTACTTGAGTAGGTATCTACCGTTCTTCGTTCTTGAACTATAAGTACCTAGTCGGGAACTAGGTAACTAATCTCCTAGTTTATTATCATTCAAACATCTTTATTTCAATTATCTTTATGATTCTTTAATCTTTCTTTAAGGCTATCTCCTTGACCCTCTGTCTTTATTGCTTATTGAGCGCCCAAGATTACATTAGCACATTCAATGGTATCATCAGCAAAAAGCGAAATATTGATTTGTGAAACATCACAACAGCCAGAATAATCACACGATGCACATGATACACAAAGATCAACTTTAAATGATGGAGAATTTGATGTATATAAGTATCTAGGTCTATGTATGATCTCAAGCTACTTGGATACAACTTATTAAGTAATTAACAACCCCAAAATCCGAACACCCAAGCTAACCAAACACAACTCATCCAAGCCCTTCCCTCCAAAAATCAAAGTTAAAACAAAAAACAATTAAAAAAAAAAATCAAACAAACAAACCCTCTTCAACCAAACTCCCAACATCTCCCCCAGCAGCTCTAATAGCTTTCAACGCCGCCTGCGATAATTTTCTTCTCTTCTCCATAGCTTCTTTCTCCCTTCTAGCTTTCGTCTTACTTGACCCACTAGGAGCTACTCCCGTTAAAATCCTACGACTATCATCCGGTGTATAATTAACAAAGTCGACCATTCCTCGTCCCGATGTAGGGGTTCTAGGAGATGTATTTCTATTTTTTGATTTGCGTTGTTTGCGGACGTGGAAAGTGGGTGAGGATTTGGGTGAGGGCGATTCAGATCCACTTGATCCCGTTCGAGCTTTTCGCGGTCGGGATGATGTGGGACTCGAGTTGGGGTTTATGGTGGAATTTGAGGTGGGGTGGGAATGAGAATGAGAATGGGGATGAGGATGAGGATGGGGATGGGAATAGTGGGGTTTTCGTGATGAGGATGATGTGTGATGTGTGTAATGTGAATGCGAGTGCGTTCGAGGTGCCGCATTATGATTATGCGTATGATATGGTGAATGTGGTTGCGGTCCCCCTCCATTAGCACTAGCATTAAAATATCCTTGATGAAGCAGAGGTGATGATTCTACTACGAAGGATTGTTGAGGCATACTCTCAGGCATCGATATCATTAACCCTTGTGCCATATTCATTTCACTATTGTTATATGAAAGTTCATTTTGTAAATGAAAAGCAAGGCTTTTGGTTGCTCTTTGTGAGTTTCGGTGAAGGGTATTCGGTGAAGGTTGTGCCATTGGTGTTGTTGCAGCGTGATTCCACCATAAGGAATTTCCGTCAGCTTCTACCTCAACTGGGTAATTTGATGAGGCTCCAATTGAGCTGAAATTTGATGATCCTGGTTGTGACCATGAGGCTGACACATGTTGAGATTTTGGTGTCATTGGGTACATTGATCCATTTGATGATGATGGATGAAATCTCATTTCTGGTGTATGTTTATTGTCTAGGTTGGGTGTTGATAATGGTGTATTGTAATCGGTTGGTACAGATGGAAATTGTAAGTCTTGTGGCATTCCAGTCCATAAATCTTGAGAAATCTCGGTCTTTTGTACTTTCTTCATTGATGATGAAGTATGTTCTGAAAAATTGGATATTCTAGCTGATTGTGGAGGTGACATTGGTGATTGATGTTGAGGATTAAAGTTGAATTTCGAAGAATCCAAAGACAATTTTCTTCTCAATGTTTCGCGGCTCATTTTTCCATGACTCGTCGAACCTCGTACCATATTTGAAGGTACTGTACTTGATTTTCGAATAGGGCTTCGTAGAGCTTTTTCCGATTTTGAGCTCACCTTTTTCAATGTGTTGGCAAGTGCTTCAACTCGACTTTTTCTTCTTGTTGAAGCTGGTGGTGCTGGTGATGTTGGAAGAGACGCACGAGACCATGCTTCTATTTGAGGTGATTGTGAAGAGATATCTTCAAGGCTGAGAAGATCAGAGTCAGATATTGCGGCTCTACCAGAAATTTCTGCGTAGAAAAGATTATCTTGTGTGCCGTCTGGTGAGGCTGAATCTTGGGCGAAAACCCATGGATCTCCTTGCCAATTATTTTCAATCTCTTGTGCATCATCATCGTGTAAAGATCCTAGCAATGTCTCTGAAGATTGATCTTTGCTATCTTTGCTATCTTTACTATCTGATTCTTCCGAAAACTTTGGTTCAGGTAGACCCTCATTGGATGGACTAAAGGTAATAAATTCGTCGAAAAAGGCGTTGTCTAATTCGTCAAAGTTATTTGTGAATAATTCCGAAGACTTTCCATTTGTCGCCATGGAAGGAGACATATTGGCTTTGGTATGAAGAGGCGGTACAGGATGGTATGGACGTGTCTGAGTATGCAGTTACAGTTAGGAAAAATAACCGTATGATAGGCTGGGAAAGGAGGAAGAATATGCAAGATAAATGCCAGATGTACGATGATGTAGTTGATGAAGCAAAACATGACAAAAATTTCCAGGAGGGGATATTTATGAAGGGGTCAGGTGTCTACCAGCCTTCTTCATTAAATTATACAGTAAAATCATTGGAATGAAGAAGATTTGCGTGACTTACACGTGATTGTGCACTTTGCACCGTCCTCAAACATCTTTTTGAATTCCCCGGAATGGTTATACGTGCCGAGACTAACCACCTCATACCATTTTGTGGTGAAGATTGCCGATGCGTTGCGGTAGTATTGGACTTTGGAATGAGGTACATTCTTGGTGATGGATAGGCGAAAAAATCCTCGCCTCGGTTTTGGATGAGATTTTTTTTTCAAACTTCTGCAAACGTTCAACAATATTAATTATAGATGAGAAGAGAAGCTTTCAAAGTAAGTCGATAAATTACAGCATAATATAGCTACCCCCCCTAGCTCGGTGAAAAAGTTTTCTCTTTGACGGAAATCCATAGCTTGATTACTCGAAAGAAATCCCAATCTCCTCAAAGAAATTACACCTGGCTTGAGGGAGTTCCCTTAAAGAATAAAGAGTTTTCCAACCTGTACATGTTGAGATTTCTATCGGCTACAAACACATTGTGACCGAGGAATGTACGGCGTCGATCATTACTTGGTTATTGGTTATGAAGATTTCTTGGGCATTTTTCTTTGTGGTGGGAAATAGTTTGAGTAGTTGGTTCATGACATTCCTGAGCGTTTTCGCGAATTCTTCGAGATGGCGCGATGAACTTGGTGTACCTTTTGCATTTTTACTTCCAGCCTGCTATTTTTACAAAATTGAATGCAGAAATCGATGAATTTTGAAAAGGAATTGAGGTTACTATAAGAAGTGAGGTTGATATAAAAATAGAGAGGAATTTTGATATGACACCCATCTGCATGATACTCCACTCCACTTTCTCATCATTCTTCGGAGTGTTTCTATAGTACGTGCATATGCATATGCAAGTCTAAGACTTTCATTTCCCCGCTCTATACCCCTCAAATTAAATGATCAAGCAATTCCTTACCCCTCATATCCCACATTTATACATCACCCATCTTTACCAAGCTCCTCCCACATGATCGGATCCCAACCTCAAATTGAGCTCTCCCACGCCTTTGAAAGACTTCTCGAAGAACGTCGTGACGCGGAACGTCTCCGTCGAGATTTAATTCACTATTGGCACAACTTAATTCTCGAAGCTAAGAAACGCACCAAGGAACTCGAACGAGCATTTTATCAGGCGGAAAATTGTGGTGATACACCTTTTTCTAGTGAGAAAACAATTGTACCTGGGACTCCTGATACTTTTACGGAGTTGACTGGATTAAGTCGATTATCTTCATCATTAAATTCTGTCACTAGTAAAGGTGCAAAAACCCGTTTAAGGTTGGACAATTTGAGTACAGAGAGGATTCAGAAGAAGTTGGAGGGTTTACTTAAGAGGTATCAGGGGATTATTAATTTTTCAAAAGGAAATAGTGGAAAGGAATAGGGGAATGAGTCGAGAGGGGTTTTATTGGAAAGCCCTTTCTTCTTCTTATACGTTGAATGCTGGCAGAGGGAGAAGTGAGGCGGAATTATTGAGGAGTGAAATAGAGTTGTTGAGGAAAAGTAAGGCATTTGTGGCGAGGAAGTGGAGGGGACGTGAAAAAGTTTTACGGGTAGTTTTTAGAAGGAGAGTTTGATTTGCGGGAATTCTTATTTTCTGTTAGGGGAAAATCGTTGGCTTTTATTTATCGTCGACATCTCATCGTCAAATCATCGCCATCCTTACCGACACATACTCATTCGCCGGATTACATCTTCACAAATTCAGACCTATTCACACCTACACCTATCACATCTAAATCCACACCCACATACAAACCCAACCTCAATAAACCCAACATGTTTTCCCTTCCCCAAGAAAACATCTCCCTAATCCTCCACACCATCCTCCACCCCATCATCCATTACCCAGCACAAATACGCACATGGTTATTCATCCAATGTACTTTATTAAGTCTCGGATTGGGAGATTTTGTAGAAGGAGATGTTGGGGCTGGTATGTAATTTTTTTTTATAGGATGGGGTGGATTATTTTCAATGATTTATGTTTCGGTAAGGGGAAAGGAGAAAGAGGGGTTGGGGCCGGAGGCGAGAATAGGGGATGAATGAGTTTGCCGAAGTGGAGAGTAATTTTTGTAATGTTAGTTGTAGTTGTGATGGGTAATTTCGGGAGATGAGTTTTGCATGATTCTTACTTATATATGATTGGGTTAGATAGAATTAGATAGAGTTTAAGTAGAGGATAGATATATAATATACTGTTGTTAGTGGCATTCATGACAAACAGGGTAAAAAGGAACTTCCCAAAGCATGATCTCAAGCCAAATAATGCATGATGGAAATTGTAAAGACTAGCAATAATTATTTTTCCATTTCGACTAATATCATACATGAATAGTGTTCATATTTACACTGAAAAGGCTATGTAATTTCCTTCTCCCGTCAACGTAACAATTCTTCCGCCCATCTCATGATCGTTTTTGATCAGTCTGGAAAATAGGTGGCATAAATGCCATACCTTTACCAGTTGCAGTACTATCATTCATTTCCACTCCATGTACACCTCCAGCAGATCTTGAAATAACATGTTTCCTTAACATGGCCAAAATCTCACTATTTTGCCATCTCTTTGGTACTGGTCTATAAGCAGGTTTAAATGTTCCAATCGTTTGTGCCCATTCTCCACTTCTTGGTGCTCCATTTCTCCATGCATCTGTCTCTAATTCAGGTCCAGTTTGTTTACCAGGATCTGTACCTTGTGCTACTGGTGATTTCTTTTGATCTGTACCCATAGCATTGGTTGTAGCACCTTCCGATCCAAGACCAGCACCTTCGGCTGTTTCACGAGATGTTGGTGATGGTTCTTGTGTGACCCAGTAGTAGATATCCCAATCATTTTCATCAAGGAATTGATCATATTGTACCATTTGTGCAGCGGTCATAGTAGGAAGGTGAGCATCGGCAAAGGTGGACATTAGAAGATCGGATTCTAGAGTCCCTCGTTTTCGAGATTGATCTGTAAGAAGTTTCCGTTAGCAAAGTTTCAATCTTGTGAATAAATGATACAGATGGAGATGGAGTGTAAAGTAGATTGTCAAAAAACCTACATAATAATCTCGCCCTCATCTTCTCTTCATGCTCTCCATCCCTTCTCAATGGCTCAACTCGAAATTGTGCCCCTTCCATTTCTCCAACTGCCATCTCCCTATTAACACCACTTCCTTTCCCATCTTGTGTACCACCTGTCATTCTATCCGTATTCTCCGGTACACTATCCTTTGGAGTAAATTTCCCATCCACACTTGTGATAAACTCAGGCGGAGGTCTGCTGGCTCCAACACTAGGCATTTCGTTCACAATTGTAGAATTGGTATTCGTCATATGAGGATTCAATGGCTTTTCCATTTGCTTTTTTCGATACTCTTCATTACCATCATGCTCTTCTGCATTACCGGGATTGGCATTTGCGAACCGGAATGTTGTGCTGGAAAAGGGTCGAGAAGTATTGAGCATTGAGGCACGGAATGCCCGACGAGCAATACGCAAAGATGCCATCTTGATATGAATTGATTTACAAATGTCTTTTTCTCAAATTTGGTGAGTCAATTGTGGAAACGTCGAACTTTGGAGGATGTCTGCAGCAGCGTGGGGAATTAGTTAATATGGACGTCATGGACTTTTTGACATGCGGCCGCGTCATGTGACCTAAAGGTCACAAAAAGGACGATGTTGACATCACATGGAAGAACTTTATCATGCTTGCCATACTAATTATGGAATTCTAGCCAACGACACCATTCAATCGGTTGTCAAAATTTATTGGAGACATTGAAGATTGCTCCAAAGGATAAGTTTTATTTTCTTCGGCACATCATGTACTTTCAATCATCTAATCTGGATTTAGGAGACTTTTTGATTGTCAACTTCGAATTGGTATATTTAAACATTTCATCCAATCTAGATTCGGGAGGCTTTTTAATTGTTGACTTCAAATTGGTACATTTAAAGATGCTGAGGGCAAATCATATTCAACACCGGCTTTGTCCAATCTCTCAAATTCCTCGGCAGTCTTTCTCATGGCTCTCATTTGATCGAGAAGTTTCCTTTCATACTCCGCCTTTACCTTTGGATCACTGTGCGTATTTAAACACACTTGGGCTCGACGATTGAATGCAGAACTTTCGGGTGGGGTGGCTTCAATTTCCATGGTCCAAGTTTGACGACCGTTCCTTAACTCCGCAAATGTCTTTGGAAGGTATTTATCTCCATCAACGTCAATGACATCACCCATGTCCAAGAGATCCATGATCATGTAGCCAAACTTCTTAGCCTTGCGGATCTTGGTGATGATTGGAAGTTGTGAACGCCAAAGATCCAAATTTCCAAAGATATTCAATGCACTCTTTGCACGAGTCAAGGCGACGTTCATCCAATTCCATTTTCTAATGAACCCAATGACCGAACCATTATGCTGATCAGCAGGTGTCACTGTGAGCAAGACAATTTCGTTCTCACCACCTTGTGTACTGTCGATGGTTCGGAATCGAGGGAATCTCTGGATCTTGGGATTGTGCATCTTCAACCTCATGGTGACATGTCTGGATATCTCATGAAGTTCCTCCTTGTATGGCGTCAAGGCTGTGATCTTATCGCGGTCAATGTTAGTGATATCAATAGAATGTTGATGCGAAAACAGATTCATGATGACATCGCAAACGGCGTTGATATTTGCGAAATTTCTCTTGGATTTTCCGCCTTGTTTTGGTGCACACTTTCTATTCTTCACATTGATGAACAAGCGTTGAGGGTTATCGTTCTCAGGTCCACCAAATTCAGATTTGCGGCGAGCATCTCTGTATGGTTTAGCACTATCAGAGCTCCACCATTCCTGGTAGTACTTTAAAGTATCGCTTGTAACCACGGTACTAGGATGAGCGCCCAAAAATCCATACGTTACCATACCTGGGAATCTGGCCAACACCTTGGGCATGCGGTAATTCATCCTAAATCGTATGAATTCAACGCTGTCATGATCATAGAACCTCTTAAACAGGGACATGGCAAGCTGGCTCGATTGCTCATTGTGACCCGCAGATTTAACCACTGGAGGCAACTGCATGTAATCGCCAGAGTATTGATTTTTTGAAGCAGAAAGGATGGCTGGAATGATAAGTTCCGGCTCCGAACCGAATGCAGCTTCATCTGCAAGTGAAGCTCGAGGCTTGTAACCATAGTCTTGAAGGAGGTGAGCCGTATTGCAAGTGCAAATCACGATCTTGACATTGGAGAGGGGAGAAGAAAATATCTCCTTAGCTTTACCCTCGACAGCTAAGAAGAACTTCTTCTTGTCCTTGGCACTAATGCGGTGACTGTACTTGTATGCCTCGAGGACATCCAACCAAACTTTAGCCTTTGTTTGTTTTTCCGTGTCACTACTGTTACCATTATCCTCTTCGAAGGATGCAGCAATGTGTCTCCAGAGAGCATACTTGTCAACGTCAGCTTGACCAGTCTGATTCTGACCCTCTTTGATGGTATGATCGGTCATGATTTCCCAATCAACATCAGCTTCCATAATATCAGATAGTGTAGTACTACGAGTTGGGAGATAAACGATGTCGAACCACTCTTCAGCTTGAGGAAATCTGGCAAGGACTTCACGCAACATTTGCACGAGCTTGATCAATGATTCTCTCGCGGCTGTATTTGAGGGAGCGGTGATGAGAGTCTTGACTTCACACAATGCAAGCCCTAAACCTTGACCAGCAACAGTCTTCGTCTTTCCAGTTCCCGGTGTACCTTGAAGGAGCGAGGTAAAACGATTATTGTAAAACAGTAGCTCCCAGGCACGTAATTGCTGCTTTTTCATCTTCTTGATGTAGCACCATATTGGCAATAACTTTGGTGTTAACCTACTTGAGAATTAAGATTGCTCGTTGGGTCGCATTAAAGCTGCCACTGACAGACTTTACACCTGGAAATTCATGCCCCTAGGATATTGAGGCCAATTCAGAAGATCTTTGCGAAGTTCTTTGCATCGATAGTCGGCAACTTCTTCTGCTGTAGCAGCTTTTGGAGGTCGTTGTTGTCGCTTAGGACGACTGTTCGAAACCTTCCTGCTTACGCTTCTTGTTTTCATGAATCACTGGTTCCCACAAACACCACCAACCTGGTAGTCATCACCGATGTCTGCCTCCATCCATTCATCCACCTCGTCCCAGCTACCATCCAACCAGAACCCACCCATCTGCTCCGTCTGATCAGGCGGCATTCTTGAAGACCTCGCAACTCTCCCGTGGGCATCAAGGAAAATCAGCAGAAGCTGTTGGGTCTCCAGAGCCTCTGAGTCTTCTACAAGGATGTAGTTCACAACGCAGGTCTTGTGCACCTTGCTCAGCAGGATTCGGAGAACACTCTCCCCAGCTTGATCAGCAGGCAAGACATTTCTCATACTTTCAATTAGTTCTACCGGTGCACCTTGGATATCTTCGCCGGCTAGATATGCTTTTGCCTTGTCGAGTTCATCTTCGGCTTTAGTGAGCCGGGTTTGACTGGAGTGCCAGGTTGAGGCATCAGTAGAAACGACAAGCTCAGGCATCAAATCAAGAATTTTTTGCCACTCTTGTCCAAAATCGTAGAGATCTTCATCATCGAGAAGACGATCTTCGTCATCTAGAGTATTGAACAAATCCAAATTTTCCAGCAAGGATTCATGCGCGCCTTCTGACTCTGCTGAATAGTCCGTCCGGAGCCAAATACATCCAATCTGACCAGGCTCTGTCGCCACCGCTCTTTGAAAAGGGGTACGCCAAAGCTGCAATATTGTGGTTACTTGATCATCCGTTGGTGTGATTGATGGTAAAGTGGTCTGAAAGAAGAGTTGAGTTAGTCAATACAACCCAATACAATTTGCCGGTAGGGCGAGTTTGGCCCCCAAAATAAGCTTCTCCGTTAAATGGAACAGTGGGGATGGCAACAAAAAAACTTACAGGATCATGATATCCGGCTCCAATGTAAAGACGCACGAGATGTCGAAGTTGATCCGTAGGTGCCGTTGCAGAGCTCGTATCCCAATTTTGCTAGTGAATGAAATCAGATTGATTATGACTTTGGCCCCCAACTTGATGCTTACCAGAATATAGGCTTCGACTGGAATACTTCCCCAAGGAGGCGAAATCTCCATTCCACCCTCATTCAGTGCAACTTCATCCGAACTGCTCATATTGGAATCGGTGTGAAAGAAAGCCTTTTCTGGATAGTGGGGAAGAGCTCATGCATGAGCTAAGATTAGTCGATAAAGAAGAGCGAGTTCGGGTACTCCTGGAGGGATGACCTCGGTTAAATGTTTGAAATGGTAAGATGAGACTGGATGGGATGATAGAAATTAGTTGATATTTTGTAAATTGTTCTAAATGAACAGCAAGCGAATGACCAGGCAGGGATTGATACACCCGATTTCATAACGTGTATCCAAAATTAATATTCAAATATTGTGATAAGATCATTTCAATTATTTCAATCAAAAATTCGATTTACAATAATTTTGTTAAATTATATGTTATTTGAATAAAAATTATATCAAATGATAATAAATAAAATAATCTATATTTTAAATGAATTCCAATTGATTCTAAATCATAATTACAAAGATTCAATTTTGAAAAAATCAATTTTGAAAAAGTTTTTATTGATCAAGCACAAAAAGTCAATTTTTTTTTTCGGAAACACGTTATGAAATCGGGTGTAATCAGCTGAGCTGAATTCCTCAGTTGAAGTCCTGTGCTGAGATACAGGGAGACATCATACAAATAAGACGGAACAAATATTGAAAGATGATCAGCGTTATCAATGCCCCACCAAATGTTTATTCCTCGTCTTTTGAAGCTTGTACTTGTATGTGGCAGCCACCGGGAGTCACACTATAAGGTAACGTTTAAATATAGCCAGCGTGAGATGATGGAGCATCATGAGAGACAATCTATATACTGGATGGGATTGGATATTAATGTTGTATTTGATGCACCGTACTCCCAGATTCAATCGCCTAGTGAGGCACAGTTCCAAGTAATACAATATATAAACAATAGAATACAAAGAGTCAACTTTTATTACCCCACTCTCACACTTGACTAATCTGATTTGATTAACTTTGATTTTATATTCTAGCGATCGATAATAAATTATTATTTAATTATTCTTTAAACTAAGCTTAAAATGTATTAATTGAAGTAAGCAGGGTTTAATTTCTTATACTAATATTTGACAGAAATTAAAGACAACTTTATAATATGAATAAACTTTTGAAGAAATTATACAGGAGTGTGACGGAAATCCCCGCTTTCCTCCCACCCTTATTATATAAGAAACCTCAGGTACATTAACCATGTCCACACATGATACGATTACTCGAGATTAGTATGCGATTTAGGTGACCTGAGGATCAGATCCGGACAAGTACTAGGTATCAATGGTTATCGGTAAAGTAAGATCATTGGAGGAATAAATATGACTTCTTTTTGCCTAGCCATTGCGGCTAGGCCATTCATTTGTGTATATATAGAGTAGCTATCCCCATCTACAGGTGCTCTTCACCTGTAGATTCTAAGTTAAATACAATTGCTGGTCTATAAACACCCTTTTGGTCACACGAAGGTATTATTGAGTTTGTAATGAAGGTTTGAATATATATAATCAATGATTAAAAATGAAGAATTTTATAAAGAGTGTTTTTTAAAATATTTGATTGTATAATTAATCTTCACTATTATTATTATTCCAAATCACTTATATATAAACAATGTTTACACTTTTTTAATTGAGATATATATCTAAAATATAATCGAATCAGAGGGTTTGAGGATGAGATAATATATGATTATCAATCTAATTGTAAGTCAAGCTATCTTTTCTATCTTCAGTTCTCTAGGTAATTAGCTGGTGGGTTTTCCAAGTCGTCAAGTAGTCTATATATTTTATCATTACTGACTTCAAGAGTTTATCTCCAAATCCATGGGGCTGTTGGTGATTTGAAGACAATACGTACATGGTTGAGGGGATGGATCTGGAGTTACTGCTAGGGGAAGAACTTGATGTTTTCGTTGAAGATGGTAGGTATAAGGTTGTTCCTTGAGCTTGTGGGTGGACAGAAACAGTCTGAGATGTGAGGCTGTGTGGTTCAAACCATAGTTTCAATTACGTACTTCCTGCTCGTGGAACTCAAGGTATCGACTTCAAACAGAAAACGATTGAGAAGAGAGGAAGCTACGCGTTGAGCTTCATTCTCCTAGGGTAGAATCGACCAGTAAGTTTCTTTGACCTCAAGCCATCGAAAATTTACATCATGATCCATAACCTTTTACCAAAAAGCCAGTGTTCGCACTCATATATGAAACCTAATTGCTAATTCTGAACAGTCTATTCTTATGTGCAAGTATGAGCAGATTCACCAAACTAATTACGTTCTTTTGCGATGACAAAAGCGCCATCCCACCACATAAAATATAACAACATATTCGTGCGTCAATGGGGAAGATTTTACTCGCCTTTCCAATGAGATTCTCCACGGCACATCATTCACAGCAAGTGTTCTGGAAATGCCATACTTTAAACCGCTCGCCAGGAATCACCATCGACTGTGATTTGTTCCATATACCAATTATCATACGTACTGCGGCGTGTGCGGGAGGCCTTGAGATATCTCTTCGCTTCTGATGGGTTCGGAGATGGGGCTCGGTTTCCATATCTCTTACTCTTCGATTCTTTCTAATTCCGCAACTCCAATCTCGAGTGAAAGATACCACCGGTACAGACTGCCTGCCAGGGATTGTTATACGGATCTACGGGATGATATATAATATTCCGGTAATAAGCCGGGGGTTGCATTTTAGACTGTTATATCAGATATTCTCTTTTTAATAAATTTAGTTTAAAGAAAAGAATATCTAAAGTTTTTTACAAATTGTATATAAATATTAGTTTTTTCTTTCTTTATAGAATATAGAAGAAATCAAGAATTCTTAGAAATCCTAAAAGATTATTAGTTGAATATCATCATTGTTCAAGCCTATATCCCTTATTATAGGGATCCTACATTTGGAATGACTGATCCCAATTCCCGCAACATCTTGAGGCATGTAAACATTGACGGCCAGTACACATATAAGCTCCTTTCTGAACATATCCTGCATACGCTTAACGCGATGCTCGATCTGCGTGACAGGAAGATCGGGAAGAAGAATTTGAGAATGAAGTCCGATGAACTTACTCATATGTGAGCTGCCGGGTGTTATGAGCTGCGCCGGCGATGGAAGCAATGCACGAGGCTCAATATACATATACCTATGATTCACGGGTTCTTAGTGATTCAAGTTTGGCTGATTTTGATGCTCTATTTAAACTACTTGGAGTTATTCTACTCATATAAAGCCTTGGACTTTTGATTGTTCCAAGTGCTTTGGTAGAGGAATTTTCGAGTTTTTCTTTTATTTTTTCTAACTTATGTATTTCGACGCTTAGCCATATGCTTGAAGTTTCAAAGTCTAGCATTTGATGCTCTGACTTCTTCGCCATCATTCAATCTTCTTATTCTGCTCTGAATCGACAAACACAATATGTAGTGCATGTGATGGCAATTGAGGTGGGTCGAACTTACAGTATGAGTATTGCGATTCTCAGAGAAATCATTCATCACAATGAATTATGCTTCTCTAATGACTGATGTAAATCTTGGGTTCCCTACTTAAATACCCCGAGATTCCCGTCTGGATTTTACTTCTCTTCTTCAATACGACCAGCACCCCGGGCGTACAACAACTTTACAACAACATAACGCCAAAACATATCACGACATTCGAAGATAGAATTTCGCTCCTGTCACATCTCAAAGCCTATTTGCCTGATACGAGTAATATTTCTATTCCACTTCAGGCTGACCTTAGCTTAAGAACCCACTTACAGCTGCAACCATGTGCATTCCCGCCAATACCATCAACTTCATCTGCAATTCCGACATATCCGAACATCACCATAGATATGGCACCATTCAGAAATGGATAGGATGCGACAACTATCCCAAAGAGCAATACCGCGGTCAAATGTTCCAAGAAATCGATGGGCGAAAGCCTTGCCAAGTTACTTCCAAACTTCCTCTGGCAGAGGACGTCTGCCCAGATTGTCGCAAAAAGTACGGAGATATTGCTTCTAGTAATATAATCTCGCATGTTATACGCGTACTCGAACGGATGTCGGACGTAAGTGGGTATGCATACGATTCTAAAGACATCCAGTGTAAAATGGCAATCATATTTGACGATATCGAGACGTTCGGGTTTTGGAAATATCTGGACCCCGCTCGTCCTGATGAAAAATATGAGATGTACGAATTACCTGAGGAAATCCCAGATTCCAATGCAGCAGGGCAGACGGCGGGGACTCGGGCCAGGGGTGGGAGGGAAATTGATGTCCGCTTGATGGAAAAGTTCTACCGGCTTATGAGTAACAGGATCCGGATGGTCAGATTTGATATGGAAGCGGCCACGGAACGGCAAAAGGAGGAACGTCGTGTAGCAGAGCAATATCGTCAGGAAGAAGAGCAATACCATCAGCAAGTAGAACGTGGTAATGCAGGAGTAAAGCGGTGGTTAGCTGAAACACCAGACAGCTACGACCAGTAGACGATATAGAATCTACTTGGTGGTGATGACTCGGTGTACAATACTTTTGCCTGAGCTTTTACAGGTATTCCCTAAGGGATCTGATGATCGAAAGTTGCCCTGAAAGGATTTGATAGCCAAAAGTTTTGAAGCAGCGAATTTGACGCTCGAGGGAGGTGTGGTTGAATAGGAGACTGCGGTGAAGGTCCGCTAGTAATAACTGTGACACCTGAATCCAACGTACTGAAAATATTGAGTAAAAAATCTATGATGGCTACTTATCAAGACTTGTCAGCTAACGCGATAACGATGATTTTTTCACTAAACTTAGCATCGAAGGCCTCCTAGCGAAGCTGCCAAGATGCTGGCATCAAAGTCCGTTGGCAGGTAGCACATCACAATGCACTCCTCTTGAAAATGGAAGCTACCAATAAAGGTAGTGATATAAAAACATCTGAAGATGCATTCAAATCAATTCGTCCCACTGCTAGGAAAGCATGTGGGGAAAGATATCTTCAAAAGATACAACCACAATACCACAAAATCTTCATCAAGTGGCTTGGTGATGCAGAGCTTATCAATTTACCACCTTGTGCTGTATTGTGTATTTCTTTATTTTCATTTTCGATTTTCAGTTTCCTACTCTTAGTAATTGAGACTAAATGAATCTTGAGTAAATCCACCAACTCGAGGAAGTCCGTTGTCTTTGCTAGTCGAGAGGGGGATATCGGACTTCTGTAGGAGAAGCATGTTAGCAAAGTCTCGAGAGAGGAGGCTATGATACTGGTGTTCGGCCCAGATGGTGTGCTGTCTTGATATTATCTTGAAGCTCTTTTCTATCTAGAGGTTCAAATTAAAGTGAAGAGTATCGCGGTGCTCATAATCCTGGATCAAAGACATTAAATAATCAAAAGCACGAAAGAGTGTTCAAGATTGATGGTGTATAGTAATGAGCAGGAAAATATTGAAAAATTAACATGAAGATAATGTGGTTACTGCACAGTTATGTTTAATCAAGAAGAAGTCATAATAAGTCAGTTGGCGTGCTTGAGAAAGAAGGAAGATCGCAACTATCGAGGACTTTGGTTTTATCTTTTGATACTAGGTATCTCGAAGGTGAGATTTGAGGGAAATCACGTGATATGGTCTTGGAACCCACTTTATTCCTTCATTTTGCCCGGCGCAATTGACGAGCTAGAACTTTGCATTGTGTTTAATTCTCATGAATTGGAAATGTTCACTCGAATCGCTGACTTTCAAATCATGTTACCCTTTGAGTCTCTACTCCGTATACTCCGTATTGTTCGAAACTATTCTATGGGTACAGTGTACTCTTTCTTCCTCAATTTGGGGTAATACAGTGCCGTTTCAAGGTGAACCAAATACGCGAAAGAAATGAAAGATTGGCCAAATCACTTGCAGACCAGCAACATCCATTACTCTTCCTCGTACTCAACGAATTCTTCTTCTTTTCAAGTTTGACAATAACTATCACAATTTCCTGACGTCAATTTTCCTTCCATGTTTTTTTACACATTTATATCGGAGAATCCTTAAGTGCAAGAATTAAGAACCCGGGTCCTAGAAATCTTGTGGTTCAACAGGTCTTCATGTTGCCCCTGCCCTTACCCCTTGCTCATTATTTTTAACCATCTTGGAAAAACAACGGGGAAATGTCCCTAAGGTTTTTTTCGTCACCCGTGTAGGTATTTCTTTAATTTCCGAGTTTATTGACGAATCATATATGTTATGGATTGTGATCTATAATAAATCTCGCTGGAATGGAAGATTGAAAGAAGAAATGGAAGGCAGGGGTTCATGAATTAGATCTTAACCTTAAGACGAAATGAGAGATCTTCTGATTGGAATTGGTTACGAGGATGGAGGAATTTGATGTTGGTGTGAAAGATTTTTGATTTTGATTTTGGTGAAGGTTAATCAAGGGGTTAAGGGGGATTGTGATGCACTTTGAAAACTTCAAGACGGAAGTATTTTTGATACGCACAGTCACAGTGATTACCAAATCCGGAGAAAGTTTGATCGAATTTGGGTAACACTAAGATGCATTAGGAAGGAGAGATCCGAGTGATGTTAGCATCCGGAAGAGAAGGATTGAGCAACGACGGAAACGATTGATTCATTCATTGTGAAAAGATGAATGCCCATGAATCATAAGTCGAGGTCCATGATGATAATGAGCTCCAGAATGACGGAAAGCGTATTGTTAACTCAACCCAGCGGATTGCTCCGATGCAATAGAGTGGGTGCAATACGATTGTGGCTTAAGATATAATTAATCATTTGACCGACGCCGTTGTTATTTTATATGCTGAATTATTTCTTACCTACATAAAAACACAGCCACAAATGAAACGGTCGTTTTCCTACTTCGTACTTCGTACATTCGTATTTTCACGATATCATGAATTCTGATTCGTGGGGATATCATGATTGACACTGCATGGTTAGAGGAAACAACCAATTTTGCCTCCCTGAGAACATTTCAGGCGTAGTGCGGGTGACATGACATGTATCTCGAAATATCAAATATCACCAAAAGAGCGACGAGAAATAGACCCTGAAGTTGGGATGAATTTTGTATGGAAGATATACTTCTTGAATCTGATTAGTTTAGAGATAGACTATTGATGTTCGTTTCTCACGATTCAGTTGTCTGATCTACATCGTATCTCATGGAAATGAGAAATACATACCGAGGAATAGTGAGAACAAGGCGATGTTAGCAGGAGAAAAAGAGAAGGAAGTAACAAGTAGAAATTTGAGACCTCGGAAGTCAAAGTATTCAAAGTATAGAGTTTTGGGTACAAGGTAGAGCGATGAAGGTATGCGGGAACATAAACTCATTGTCATCATCAGTATCGAAAATGTAAGATGGTTCATCGCTGTATTTTCAAGCGACGCAATAATTTACTACTGAGTAGTCACCTACTTAATAGTTAGTTGTATTCATTATTACTTTGTAGAGAAGGAACCAACTTATAGTGCCGACTTAGTGCCACCTACCCTAAAACTTTAGCACCCGCACAAGCTTGCAGCTAGCACTCACTTCCCGCTTCTAACAACCTTCATGTTTTGTTGATGTAAACAAAAGTTCATTCAAGATATATTTGTTCTGATGGTTTATGGTTTTCATAGGAGTAACATCGATTCATCTCATCGAGTCTTGCCCTTAAAAAGAAATACATTCCTCGACATCAAAGACGACAACAAACAACCGTACGTACCTCTTATCGATATAAATCAATTATCTCCAAAATCCCGATATCACGGTCAAAGCCCAGCCCCAGGCAGCCCAGTCCACCGCCATCCCAGAATCTAATTTCGTACCACGTTGGCTCGGGCTGTAAAAAGAAAACACCTACCTAGGTACCTTGAACCCTGGAAAGAGAAGGGAAAAGCTACCGAGTACAGTGCTTGGCTTGGTGGAGGTCGTTTGTGTAGCCTGAGTGGAGTGAGCTTGAATGAAAAGGAAAGGGAAAACTTCTTGTCTGAGATGTTCACTTATTTGTCTCACATAACGGGCACAAAACATTGAAATCATTTATCATTCGGACCAATTCATTCGATTCATTCCGTCGATATTCGAAAAGGCTGAAAACAAATTGAAAACAAACTCACTCTCATTCATTCTCTCTTCCCATTACTGGAACGCCTCAATTTCTCAATTTCCATACAGGCTCTTTTCTTTTACCTCTCTACCCTACCTCGCATCTCATTCGTCAAAAGGGCAATAGACGAGTACATGTTCCATACCGCTACTGGCTGGGGACTGAAAAACATTCAACATCCAAAAAAAATAACAACCCATCTACCGAATTCAACCATTTTATTCCTTTCTCCCTCCGTTCGTTCTTTTGCAGCAAACTCGATCATTTTCTTCAAACCTTTTTTTCACTTGTCGATTCCACAAATTTAGACGCCCAAAGAGAAACTTAATTGATTAACTGTTTTTCTCTCTTTCTCTCCAAACTTTACGACCATTTATTTTACCATTTCTGCGACGTGTCGAAACCTTTTTTCACCGAAGAATATAATCAAAGCGTTCGTAATCCGTAATCCATCGTACGGAGACTGCACCAAAACCAATAGTTTAATTTAATCCCCATTGATCTTCATCCGGTCAATTTCGAAGCACATTTCGTTTGTGCTTGAATACCTTCCTTCTTCGACCAATTCGAAACTACTTCGCATCGAGGTTCTCCACACTTCAACAACACATAAAGTTGGTTAATAAAGGGGAAAGATTGGCTGAAGGGTAAGATATTATATCAATTACTGTCTACTCTATCTACATTTTGCCTGAATGTAGCGTGAGTGAATAATTCAAAGTTTGGTGACTAACATGGCTACATATAGGAAGCCTGAGAAATTTGTCGCCAGACAATTCACCATGTCTTCGAACAATACAAGTATGGCAACCAGTGCGCCACCTGTAGCTGCTACTTCTTCTGCTGAAGTCCCTTCTTCGACTTCTCAAGCATTAACATCCACGACCTCTACTACATCAAGTGCAATTGCTAACACAAGTTCATCGACTACAGTCACAAGTCCTGATCCTGTAACTCCTGTTTCTAGCAGTAGTAGTGTAGTACTTCCCGTTCCACCAACTACAACCTCAACCTCAACAACAGCAGCACCACCAACCCCAACTCCAACTACACCGACACCAACGACGCCAACGCCAACGACGCCAACGCCAACAACACCATCAGTGACAACTCCAGTAATAGTTCCAACAACTACCACTACTCCTGCGGTAGTACCCGCACCTACCACTCAGAAAACTAGCGAGTCCAAGACAACACCCACAACAACAGCCCCAGCCGATACTCCAACCCCTACAGTCGTTGTATCCGTTGTTACCGTCACGCCGACTGATGGTGTATCCTCTGGACAAGTCACAACTGAATATATTACATCTACACAAGCTATTACAGCCAAAACATCTTCTACATCATCGTCTTCAGCAACCTCCGCAGTTTCCGGAACAGCCGGTCTTAGCAATGCAGGGACAGGTAAATCGGGAAAGTCTGGTATCGGAAGTGGAGGAACAATTGCTATCGCGGTAGTCGTACCTATTGTTGCAGTTGCTGCTTTAATTGCTGCTGGATTATTCTTTTGGAGGAAACGAAAGCAACGTAAGGATGCTGAAGAAATGAGAAGAAAGGAAGTCGAGGAATATGGATACAATCCGAACAATGATCCAACAATTCCAGCAGTAGGATCAGGAGGAAGTGATGGACCATTCGAAATGCGTGAAGAAGAAGGATCTGGTTATCGTGGATGGGGTACTACGGCGGTAGCATCGTCAGGAAGAAAAGCCTCAACAACATTATCTGGTGGTCAGTCCGCAGGTGGAATTGGTATGGCTTATTCGGAAGGAAACTCACCGACTCATGCAGTCTCCGATACTCGATCTGACAATCCTTTAGTTGATCATCATGAAGACGAAGGCATGGGTGCTATGGGACCAACTACAGGAGGAAATCGCGACATCAACCGAGGGCTATCGAATGCTTCATCGTCATACAGTGCTGCCAATCGATCAGATGGATCAGGTGAAGGTGCCGGTGGATATAATGGAGGTGGACAATATTATGATCAATATGGAGCAGGAAACCCATATACTGATGCAACACCATATGGAAGTCCACCAAATCGAACCGAAGTTTCAGGACAGCCAGTTATACGTGATGTATCAGCAAGGAGAAACACACGAATTGAAAACCCATCACATTACCCGGGTCAACAGAGTGCCGGTATTTCACAAAACTTTTAATCGATTAGGATGGGATTTGTAACGATTTTTTCATCCATCTACGCACACACGTTATTATAAAAAGTTTCATTTGGGAAGCCGTGCTCCCGTTATTTAATATGCGGTGGGAATGAAAAGGGAATCTTCGGGGCACAGCTTTGTAGTCATATTATATCACAATACCATTATGGGGGAGTGGATGGCGTTTTTTCTTTTCTATTATGAATGGCCTTTTTTCTCTTTCTTTAGAAGCTATGAAGCAGCTCTCTGGCCTTTCTTTGTTTGATATTGATGGTGGTTTGATGGGAGTGATGGTTTGTTTGTGCCTATACTAGGCGAGGTAGAGGGATGTGATGCGAGAGAGGGGAATTGGGGTTTTAAGGAAGATGGGGTAGTGAAGGCAAGAGGCGAGGAATTGGAGGGGAGAAGAATGGGAAGGGATCTTGGCAGGTTTGATATGGTGGTGTCACTATGGAAAGATACCAATAGCGAATGAAGATACCTAGGTAGTGAAGAGTGGCATATACAAAATGAAATAATACATTTTGATCCAGGGAAATAGATGTCTGTGCCTGTCTTGTGTGTATGTATGTTTATGTTACTAGTAGAAATTTAAATCATTGAAATAAGACTTGGAATTATATATGAGTGTAATGCGTAATAAATGAAATGTTCTTGCGGATTGGAGTTAACTTAAGGTCCATGAATGTGATTGTACTGGGGAAATATGAATGATTTCATTGATGTATTGATCGATTGAAAACTAGATAATATTATATGTATATCATACCTACGGAGTACATTGTATATTGATACTCGGACAGAATAACGTGGTTTATCATCGAGTGGCCCATATCATCGAGTGGCCCACTTTCACCTCAATTTACACTTTCAAACCCATATTATTCAACAACAATTGAATCAATTGATTGAAACTATTAAGAATCTAATAATCTAGGATCTATTACATTATTTTGACAGGTTCTTGCATTATGTCCTGTCTTTCCGCATTTACTACAACATCGATTAGAAGATGCTTCCCCATTAGAATTCCCCCCTTTTTGACGCTCATCGCGTTGAATCTGAATATCAACCTCTTGCTGAGATAATATATCAAGAGCCTCTTGTCCAGTGAGCACTCCTCCTTGACGTAATTGGGTTTTTTTCGCGCGTCGACGCTTGCTTAATGCTTCATTTGCTGTCCGAAGTGTACGAATCTCTGTATTTAAAAGTGTGTTTTCATGAGCTAATCTCTCTGTACCCTTAGCTAGAGCTAGTACAGTCTCGAATATAGGTGTAGGAGAGCTTGCTTGATGACGAGTTATTCGAGATTTAACTAATGTTGATTGAGAAAGAGCTTCAGTTGGGTTGCGAGGGGTTTGAGAGATCCATTGATCTAGGTCGAAAGAGGGGGGGGTAGGTGTGCGAATTCGAATATCTAATTTCGAGAGTACAGCTTCAGGATTAAATGGGATTAAACCTGTTCCTCGGAATCCTGATTTCATATTCTGAGAAGTGATTGATTCCTCGTATGCAGCTTTAAAAGCTATAAAGAATTCAACCTTCGAAATATGATTGATATGTGCCTTGATAAATCCATCAATTTGACCACCATATGAACGTTTTAGATTGCTAAAACAGCCAACATCAAGTGGTTGAGTTAAATGACTTGAATGCGGTGGTAAACGTAAACATATAATATCGTTCTCTTTGCAGTATGCTTGAAAAGCTACTGATTCGTGGCTTTCATGCCCATCCAGTACCAACATTCGATATTTGCCCTTTCTTCGATTCTTAGTATGCTTGTCGAAGTGTTTCAACCATTCTAAACCCGTCTCATTATTCGTCCACCCATTAGATGTAGGTTTAATAGCCCATTCCGCAGGAAGATTCGTTTCGGTGTACCAATTGGAGAGATGAACTTGTCCTTGAACTACTAGAAATGGGGGAATAGTTTCACCCTCTCCATTTCCGCATATTATTGCTGTAGCCCATTCTCGATTGCCTGGCTGTACTGTCTTGCTTCTGCCATTTCGTTCAGCACTAGTTACTACCATTGCTGCACATATAATCCCCATCATAAAGCCTGTTTCGTCGAAATTGTAGAAATCTCCGTCCAAAATGCCGTATTTCGCTCGCATATTCGCAACTAGTCGAAACCACTCTTCAAGAAGCTTAGGATCCTCACAGAGAGCTCTTTGAAAGTCATAAACACGACTAAAACGCGTCTTTAATTCGATTCGACGCTTTACGAATCGATGCGCCCAGAGCTTCCCAACGCGTTTCGCACCCCTCGATTCGAGAATATCATTCGCCATATCTTCCACATTCTTTAGTTTAGGTGGAAATCCTCTTAAATCCATATCGAGTATATATTGAACAATCACCTCTTCTTCTAATTCTGTAATCTTATGACGATTCGCTCGAGTTTCTGTACGAAGAGGTAAACCTTCCATTCTATGTCGAAGAGTCGTACGAGGAATATTATAGAGCATAGCAGCCTTTCGAATGCTTAATTTTTTATCTTTATGAATAACTTCGATAGCAAGGAGTATACGAGCTTCTTGATTATTCGAATTCATTATAGGTTGTTGATAAAACGCGTGTTGAAAGAGACAGGTGTAAATTGAGGTGAAAGTGGGCCACTCGATGATATGGGCCACTCGATGATAAACCACGTTATATTATTAAATAAAAAAGTTGTTAAAGTGAATGGTTCCTGCGTAGCACGTGCACAGGGCACTAGTCCTATTAGGACTAGATTGAGAAGCTCTCTGTAAGAGAGCTTCGCACTTCCGTAGAACTTAGAAGAGTGATTAATATACTAGACCAATATTACCTCAGTGTCACGATTCACCATTAGGATTGATGGTGTTACGATGGTAGCAAACTGATTAATTAGGAGAGCTTAGGCCTTGTGCAAACACGATCAGGTTTCATCGAATTAGTATGTGATCTTGGTCACCTGAAGATCGTATGCGCACGCACCATCAGAAATCACGTGATAAGGAGCCCTAGGAGCCCTCAAAGCTCCTAGGGGCTCCCTTTATCGTTCATTATATAGTCAGAGTAGTTTCATAGTTTAGGAGCTTCGTGCTCAACTTAGTTATCAATTAGTTTACCTACATTCTACTTGATCTAGTAACGAATTCACCTTCAAGTGAATACCAGTGATAAAGCCTTAACCCATAACTACCAACCGACGAACCTTAGGCAGCCGCTGCCTTTAGTACAGTATCGTTACATTTGTAACCATCGGTTTTAACAAGGCACGAAGGTCTATATAATCAAGATGGATTCCCTTTGTATAGAGCTTCGTGCTCAAGATAAATCATTTAGTATACTCTACTATTAGTTACGAATTGCATATCATTATTTGTCATTACTTCAAGTCCCTGCTTGACGCCTAGTTATAAACCACCTCGAGAGCCTAGAGCACTTCCACGTGATCTAGACAGCAAACCTCGTAACAGATACCGAGTAATCTGTCGTGACAGCTCATGTAAGGGTTTCAACCATTCTGCACGCTCTTGCCTCCAACTCCTCTTCCAATAAACCGGTATCTCGGAATAATGCCATAAGAAAATAACACCGGTCATGATGGTTTTTCTACCAGTGTTCTTCTTATGGTATTGGCAGCTGCAATTTGGGGACCCCTCTTATGGACCTTAGTCGGTTTGAATTAGAGACGATCTCAGGATCCAGTGCCCACCACCAGTCTCTGAAGATGGCCTGTCCAACTTCCCAGCTCTTTCCATCATATCCATGTCCATTCATATCTAAGGTAACGCGGAGTCCCTCCGACTCGTCATCAAGAGCATGCATTAGCTGCATAATAGCCATGGGGCCTCTCGCGATTGGCGGTCTAAGCTGTTCAGGCTGACTGAAAAGACAAATGAGTTTTGTCCGTACCGATGGCCAGGGAAGAACATCTAGCACTGGATAATGTGGCAACATGAGTTGTGCTGCCGTTGGATGTAAGTTTCCGGGTAAGTCTACCAAGGGCACGGAAATTCTCGTCACGTCTAGAACCCGGTTTATAGTGAGGTCTACCCAGTCATCCGCAAGTCCAAGCATGTGTGCAATCCTGAGAGAGACCTCTAAAGTCTTGAGATTTGGGATTTCAATTGCATGCTCCGATAGGAATGTGAACTGGGAAGTTTCCAGATCTTGGAGTTCTGCTGATAACTGGGAATCAGCCGTTGATGTAGCGCTCTGAGACGTACTGCCTATAAACCAATCCAGTAAGCATAACTACAGCAGGAGGGGCGACTTTAAAGTTGCCAGGGGCCATACCATAAGGTAGAGGAGTGTTGATTCGGAACTGATCCCTCACATATAGTGATGAAATTTCTGACGACGTATTACACGCCGACTCATACGGCGGCGCGAGGTACGTAAAGGACGCGTTACAAGCTCCAATCATGGAATCTGGATGCAGATCATAGAGAGGTTCATTGGGCGTGCCAGGATTTCCTGGCCTCAGAAGCGGAGGTTGCATTAGGTGCTGAGGCTGTATTTCTCCACCGGAAGCGGACATAGCGTTTGTAGTGACCAGTCTGGCGTCAAGTCTCCTTTCCAGAGAGTGCAGCCGCTCTCGCTTACGCTGACCTAAACAGTGTGAGTATGTGACGGTAAGTGATATGCATGGATCCTTTACGGTATCTCCGCTGGGCGAGCACGTTGAGAATTCGCTGACGGTCCGGGCCATGCGGAACAGAGCTTTGTTGGGATGACATTATGCTTCTCGTTATGACAAATAATCTGCAAAAGGCGAAGTTCAAGTGAGTGCTTGCATGATAAGGATCATACGTATAAAGACGATGAAAGGGTTGGAATTTGAACTTTGACTCCTCACTTCTTCGATGCGCCTTTCCCTTTCGGGTTAAACATAACGTTATGAGCTCGGGTGAGGCAAACTTACTAATAAGCTTGGGGCCGTTTTTTTAAGTTGTTAAGGGCAGAAAAAGGCGGTGGCGTGGCTTCACACCTCTTTAAAACAAAACCGCGGGAGCGGGAGCTTCGGACTTGACTGTGCTATGTAACAGTATTGTGAGACACACTAGGCAGAAAATGGGCGAAAATTATCACAGTGGGCCATCCATTTATAAGAGGGATGATGAATAGTATAGAGATTGATAAGGAAAGTTTTATAAGATATATTAAAAAATAATTATATTTTATGTTAAAGTGAATGGTTCCTGCGTAGCACGTGCACAGGGCACTAGTCCTATTAGGACTAGATTGAGAAGCTCTCTGTAGGAGAGCTTCGCACTTCCGTAGAACTTAGAAGAGTAATTAATATACTAGACCAATATTACCTCAGCTCTGCCCTATCAGCTTCCCACTATTCCCTGTGTAAGGTCATTCCTTTTAACAGAACTTTTATTTTAATGATTTTTTTACTATATAGAAATATATATTTTGTTTTATTGATATATAATATAAATCTTTTAATAATATTTTTATTTTTATTTTGATAAATTTTAAAATATAAATTATTGGTTTATTAACTATTATTTAAAATAATCCTTATAGTTTTTTATAATAAATTTGAAGTTTTTAAATCTTATTATTTTTATCAAAATTGTGACCAAAAGGGTTTTTATAGACCAGCAATTGTATTTAACTTAGAATCTACAGGTGAAGAGCACCTGTAGATGGGGATAGCTACTCTATATATACACAAATGAATGGCCTAGCCGCAATGGCTAGGCAAAAAGAAGTCATATTTATCCCTCCAATGATCTTACTTTACCGATAACCATTGATACCTAGTACTTGTCCGGATCTGATCCTCAGGCCACCTAAATCGTATACTAATCCCGAGTAATCGTATCATGTGTGGACATGGTTAATGTACCTGAGGTTTCTTATATAATAAGGGTGGGAGGAAAGCAGGGATTTCCGTCACAAAAATAATATCAAATTAAAATAAAGAAACTAATAAAAACCTTTCGTTTGAATCTATAAGGATCCATCTCTAGCATGTCTTACATTACTTATTATCCTTCCAACCTATGTATGGTAGCGAACCAGCAATGCACGAAATCATGTTCGTCAAATGCGCCTTTCCCCTCTCGGGTTAAGCATATCGTTATGATGCCAACTTGGCCATACTAGGCAATGGGTAAGCCATGATGTTAAGGCTACGTCAGGTCGAAGTTGCTCAGGATAATCTATATATAATGGTGAAGTAGTGAGCTCAGAAATATCTCTATCGTAGCTTCTTTGTACTCAAGAGCCTCTCTCTCTTTCCTCTGCCTAAACATCTTACACCCACCAACCCGCCCATCATCAGCAAAAAAAATGTCACCAACCGCATCTAAATCCTCCCTTCGAGGAGTAGGAGGAGTCGATCCTTCTGCTCCAGGCAACATCATCCGTGCCGCCCTTGCTTTCGAGTCACTTCTCACAGTTGGTGTGGGTACCTACTACATGTTATTTCCACGCCACTATTTGCTCCACACAATGGGAGCTGCTGCTGCTCAAGTCACGACAACAGCAGTACAATCTGCTCAGCAATTTGGTGCTATGAACGTCTTCATTGGTGCCACTGTTGGCCTCTTTATACCCAACACCAAGCATGCGATTGAATCTCGTCAGATGCTATATTCTGTCGTACTGGCCTTTGAGCTTTTGTTTCCTCCACTACTAGTATGGCAAGCGTTCATGATGGAGGGCGGCATGCTAAGGAATTCATTGTTGGCTGCAGCCGGGCAGTTTGTGCCTCCCATAGTATGGAGAATTTTTACACTTGGTTGGAAGCCTGAGTGGTTTGGCCGATATCAAGAGGGGAAGAAGATGGAGTAGGATGGCAATGGTTCTCGTATACTGCTGAGGAGGGAACAAGCCATGATGTTGCTGTAAATTGCCTCTTTGTCTTTTTTTTTCTCGGGCATACGATTGTGGGATGTAGGAGCAAACGGATCAATTTGACAGGCAATCTGAAGAGGATGTGTCGAGTAGAGTAACAAGATTAAGTGTATCTGCAAGCTTGCCAATAAGAGATTAGTCCATCACCATGGAGCTTAGAAACGAGTAGATCCCTTGTTCACTTATCTCATGCACTGTGGAGGCAAAATTCCCTGTCTGAGTTTCTTTAGTGTTCTTATCGTGATGTATGGCCCCTGAATCCCTACATGGGCGTCCAGATGCTGTATGAATGCTCGGGTGAGGCGAAGCAAGAAGCAAATAACTCGTGCTACAGATGGTCAGTCAGCACAGTATGAATTCCGAGTGGAAAGCCCCCCTCCTACTCATTACCTCCGTGTCTAATAGGATAGTCCCACCGGAGTGGTGGCCGGAGTATGAAAGCACGTAAATGACATGACTAGCATAACCAGCCACGTAACGATCTATCTTAGATACCTACTTCGTTGTCCCCAGTCTTGAAGTACTAGATGTTTACAGCAATGGCTGAAATGCCGATGTCGGCCCTGTTTCCAATCGCATTACATTAAATTCTCTTCAGTGCTATACATCTTTCAACATCCGTCAAGTGCTCGCCGTGGGACCAGATTATCCTCGGCTTTATTGGTATTCGTGGCTAAACAATCATCAGATCAATCTGAAGCAGAGTGGCTGAATCTCGCCAAAACCATGGGTTTCGTTGTGACTCTCAGACCTCGACCCGCGAAACATGTCGCAGTGCAGAAACAGAATGTCTGGTCCATGGTGAACGATGCTGCTGTCGCCTCACCAGTTCAACCTATCGTCAATATGGATCAGGGATTCTTTGACTACAATCCACCAGATTTCATTATGGACGCCGCTCAGGACGCCTGAAACGTGTCGATTGCAACCAATATGCGCCCACTAAAGGCAAACCTAGCCTGAAGAAAGCAATTGCAAACGAGTACATCAAATTTCTTGAGCGTCCAATCGACCCCGAAACGGAAGTGACAATTAGGACGGGCGCGAATGAAGGAATTCTGAGCGCCTTTATGGCCTTCGTGGAAGAAGGGAACGAAGTCATTGTGTTTGAGCCTTTCTTCGACCAGTATATCAGCAACATGGAAATGGCTGGCGGCATCGTACGGCTATGTCCCTCTTAAATCACCAGCGGAGTGCTCTATCGAGGCGATATCTTCCAACGACTGGACCCTTGATCTCGACGTCCTGGCTGCCACAATCACATCTAAGATAAAGATGATAATCCTCAACACGCCCCACAACCCCGTTGGCAAGATTTTCTCTCGGTTAGAACTCTCTGAGTCCCTGTCATCGCAGATCTGACACTGCGGAATAACATCCTACTCCTGAGCGACGAAGTATAGTACAGTCTGTCCTACAATACCATGACGCACACCGCAACACTGAGCTCCGAAATCCTCAACTTGACCCTAACCGTCTGCTCGGCTGGGAAGACTTTCTATGCCACCGGCTGGCGTCTTAGCTTCTTTATCGGCCTAGCCCACCTTATCAAATACATTAGCGCAGCTCATACAAGAATCTGTTACACTAGTCCGGCACCTTTGCAAGAAGCCCGCACGGTAACCTTAGGATTCTCGTAAGTGGAAGAATTCGGCTTTTGGGATACCTTGTATAAAAGTATAGTTTTTAAGATCAATTGTTTTATCTCTATATATGTGTGTGTGTGTGTGTTATTATTTAACGGCCAGAGGCAGAGGGGGCGAAGCCCCCCCATTCTCATGACATCCCCTATTGGGGCAAAGGCCGCCAGGGAGTTACTCCTGGGCTATGAATAGCTATGTACATATAACTATATCTAAAGATTGTAGTGATTCCTAGGCGCATTTCCGTAGCTGCCGTGATCTTATATATCTCTATATATATGTTACGATCACGGATCTTACAGTAACCGATCGTGTGTTTACGAGATGCGATTCGATCAAATTAGTATGGGATTAAGGTCATGTGAGGATCTGAAGAGCACAGACTCTGTTATTATATGATTCCCACCGATCCCACCGACTTAAATCAAGTGGGAGCGATGGGATGATGGGATAGGGAGTACGAAGATCTATATAACTAGGAGGGATTCCCTCACTCTAGAGCTTCGTGCTCAAGATCAATCATTTAGTATACTCTACTATTAGTTACGAATTGCGTATCATTATTTGTCATTACTTCAAGTCCCTGCTTGACGCCTAGTTATAAACCATCTCGAGAGCCTAGAGCACTTCCACGTGATCTAGACGGCAAACCTCGTCACAATTCTATATAAATTGAAAATCGTAATCTCAATCATTTATATTTCAATCAATAAAATCGCGAAAAATCCGAAATTTTGAGAATCAATGAATAATTATATAATAAATCTAGAATTAAAATTTCAATTGATTTCATTCATTGGTTGTTGAAATATTAATAGGTGAAAATCATGATTTTTTGTTACAACGGCTATCTTCTATGCCGCGTCACATGACTAAACCAAGGTAACGTGATTAAAGTCACGTTATGGACCGCTGAGGAACGCTGGCTGTCCAGGACCGCGCAGCGGTCCTGACTAGCCATAGGCATGAAGGTCTATATAATCAAGATGGATTCCCTTTGTATAGAGCTTCGTGCTCAAGATCAATCACTTAGTATACTCTACTATTAGTTACGAATTGCATATCATTATTGTCATTACTTTAAGTCCCTGCTTGACGCCTAGTTATAAACCACCTCGAGAGCCTAGAGCACTTCCACGTGATCTAGACGGCAAACCTCGTAACATTTTTGGTGTGAAAGGGTAGCCGAAAAGTGGGGTACTAGACTTAATTGGGGAATAGGAGTGAGGACTCAAGAGACTCTCTTGAGGAGAGGAGGAGAGAGATAGAGTTTCCGAATTGCGAGGAGTTGATTCGGTATTTCTTTTGAGAGAAGAGGGGCGAGGTGGGGTTTGGTTGTGTGTAAATCAGGCCTATTTTCTCTGGTGTATACGGGTTTCTGGTGTATTGAGGTTGTTGTAGCTTTGTTTTCATTGTGGGCTTATTATATGATCAATCTATCAAAATTCTCAAGGTGGGGATATAACAGGGTTTATCTATATTTATCAAAAGTGTTGTATTAATAAATAATACTTGTATATATTGGAATCATGAAATTGTTGTCTGATGTAGATAAAATACCGAAATTTCCGGTATAATCATAAGGTTACAAAATAATGAAAGCATACGAAATATAATCGGTATAGGCGGGATTCCGGTATAATAATGTCTGGTATAGCGAGGTTCTACTGTATGTGTGCAGAGGATCTTGCCGGGATGGAGGGAGGGGGATAGAGAGGGGAAGAGGGAGAGGAAGAGGGGTAGATTGAGTGTTAGAATTTATACAGGAATTGTTTGTTGTATTATATAGTACCATAGTAGGTTCTTAATGATTCGTGATACCATAGAGGATTTATCAACCGCACTCAGTCATCCTATCTCTGATTCACATGACGAGAATCTGATGCGGTTCACTATGAAGTAAATATTACTCAATCTAGATAAAAGATCCCGAAGTGCGGGGTTTATGGTGTAGGATTGGGAAGTGTTTTATATGTGGAATCGTGGATAGATGGATGAATGCCGATGTGCTCCGATTTCATTGTTAAGCCTTTTGGTATACGCAATAATGGTGTGTATTTGGTAGAAGGAACTTTCTTGGTATTTATTTAAGAGGGATGTTGGTAGGTAGAAGATGTCTTATCATGATGATGGATGATTGTCGATTGATAATTGATAATTGATACTTGCATTCCCAGCAATCTCGCCGTGTGAGTCAAATATCGATATCTTCATCTTCATCCACAAGTACATACAAATTAATACAAGTACCGTATAGTTTTATCTCTAGCTTTACAATACCCCATTAGGAAAACCTCAGGAGTGTACAATTAATTAATTACCTTACTTACGTACCGAGTTCTGCGAATTTCACAAGAGGTGGGGTATCCAAAGTAAAAGCTTGCCCCTCACTACAACTTGTCCGAAAGAAGTCCGCTCCAACCTCCTTTACTAATATATTGCTACACGGTACTTCATACTTGATTTCTTTCGAAGCATCTACAACGTAACTTTTTGTACACCTTGAGAGCTTGCTTTATACCTTGATAGCTTTTTTTGTCAAGCGGACGAATTGTGTTACGGAGAGAACAGAAGAACGAAAAAGAGAATAGGAAACATGCCGGCTGATACTGTTGGGAAGGTAGGTTCGATTTTATTTGGATTGAATTGGTGGGGTGAGGTGGGATGATGAGAGTGTGGCAGAACTGTTTACGATTGATTGATGTATATTTGCGGATTGGCCTCATGGACTTGTGGAAACATATGCTAATGAGTGGTTTATTATAGACCATTACCTGCAAGGTTAGTTCGACAATTCTATATTCTACCTATTAGACTATACGATTCTGCTATATCATAGCACTCGGTGTACTTGGGAGGGCTTTTGTGAAATTTGCGGATGCAGTGGCAACTCTGCGGATGGCTCGATAGCTTTGCGTAGAGTATAACAGTTCTGCGAAGCTTCAATCCCCTAGACCCAAATCCGCAGTTTTCTCAAACACTCCCCAGCCCACTACATTCATCCCATATATTAAACATCACTCTTGGAATGAATAGTGAACCGGGGTAGGCAGAAGAAGAAACAAAAGCTGATGAAATATATAGGCAGCAGTTGCCTGGGACGCAGGTCAAGAACTCAGTATTGAGGATATTGAGGTTGCTCCTCCCAAGGCAAATGAAGTGAGAATTGAGATTTATTATACCGGTGTTTGTCATACTGGTAGGTTTTAATGTTTCTTCTTGTGTGGTGAAGCTTGGAGGTGGTGAGAAGGTGAGGTAGGAGAGCGGGGTTGTGATTCGGAAACGGATGATGGGTGTAGTACGCATAGGGTCGTACAAAGATGATGGAGCATGAGAAAATTGATTCAAGGATGAATGCTAACAAATCATCATAATAGATGCATACACACTTTCTGGCAAAGATCCCGAGGGAGCTTTCCCAATTGTTCTTGGACATGAGGGTGCTGGTATTGTTGAATCTGTTGGTGAAGGTGTAACATCTGTTAAACCTGGTGATTATGTTGTTGCTTTATAGTATGTCCTCAGCGTCAATTTTCTTCTACCTCTTGTTATTTATTCTTATTATCTCATCACCATCGCTGTACCTGATACCCTTCTAACTCCATTTACCTCATCCTCTTCTCTACACAACCCACTAACAACTACACAGCACCCCAGAATGTAAGGAATGTAAATTCTGTAAATCTGGTAAGACCAACCTTTGTGGAAAAATTAGAGCAACTCAAGGAAAGGGTGTTATGCCAGATGGTACATCCAGATTCAAGTGCAAGGGTAAAGATCTTCTTCATTTCATGGGAACATCTACCTTTTCTCAATATACTGTCGTTGCCGATATTTCCGTTGTAGCTATCACTCCAGAAGCTCCTATGGATCGAACTTGTTTACTTGGTTGTGGTATCACTACCGGTTACGGAGCTGCTGTCGAAACCGCTAAAGTCGAAGAAGGATCTACTGTTGCTATCTTCGGTGCGGGTTGTGTTGGTCTCAGTGTTATTCAAGGAGCTGTACAAAGGAAAGCTTCAAAGATCATCGTGGTCGATGTTAATCCATCCAAGAAAGAATGGGCCGAGAAATTTGGTGCAACAGATTTCGTTAACCCAACTGAATTGAAGGGTCAAAGTATTCAAGAAAAATTAATCGAGATGACCGATGGTGGTTGTGATTATACTTTTGATTGTACTGGAAATGTTGGAGTTATGAGAGCTGCTTTGGAAGCTTGTCATAAAGGTTGGGGTCAAAGTATTGTTATTGGTGTTGCTGCTGCTGGACAGGAGATTAGTACTAGACGTGAGTTTTTCCCCTCTTTCCACGTTACTTCTCAATCACAGACATAAATAACTAACATAATATTAAACAGCATTCCAACTTGTCACAGGTCGTGTTTGGAAAGGTTGTGCATTTGGTGGTATTAAAGGTCGTTCTCAATTACCTCAATTGGTTGATGATTACATGCAAGGAAAATTAAAGGTTGATGAGTTCATTACTCATAGACAACCTTTGAACGGAATTAACCAAGCATTTGATGATATGAAGAAGGGGGACTGTATTAGGTGTGTGGTTAATATGAGAGAATGACTGCATGGGGTTATAAGGGAAAAGGAAAAGGCGATGTTGTAAGGAAGGGCAGGTTAAGAATGAATGGGAAATGAAAATGATTATGTGAATATGGACGTGTATATGAAGGAATCAATGAGCTTTGTATTACGAGGCTGTGATGTTGGGCGATTTTGTGGCAGTCATTGGATTATGTGAATATTTTCTATTGGTTTAGTTCTGGGCAGCGTGATTAGTATTTGACACAGGGCACTTTTATATGGTACAGCTTTCGTGATATTTCTCAAGTGAGATATTATTGACCTGCAAAAGCAACTTTATCGTTATTATACACTTAGTTCTACCCATTTCCCATTATACCTCTTCCATGGTATACTTACATTGTCGAACAGCAGCTATACTTTTTGGGGGGTTTTGAAAGTTAGTATGTATGCTTCTTGTTTTTGACCGCGGGACTATGATTGACTTACGACATGGTTTCTTAGTCGTTGCTGACCTGAAGTCCGTGAAGTTTCCTCCGGGAAAAACTTTTCATGCTTTTTGGAGTATTCTTTTGATGTTCTGTCGGTCCTAGAATCACCTCGCTCTACTTCCGGAAGCATAACATCCTCATCAAACGTTTTAATCCGGCCGTGAAAATGTTTAAAACTTGTCATTTTGTATCCTCCTGGTGGCGTAGGAAGATTTGCATTTCCTGCCACTGCAATTGCTGGTTTTTTTGGTCTGCGGGGGCTTTATGTTTCCTGGTTGCTTTTGAGGAGGATAGTGAAGAGTGTTTTGGAAATTGCGTCGTGCGCGCACCGGAGTGCTTGCTTGCTTTTCTCCTAGTTCGCGTCGAGGGTAGTAGTATTGAGGCCAAGGATCGCTAGTTTTTATACCGGATCTGTCGTTTTGTGCTTGGTTCTGAGGGGTTGCTTGGTTTTTTGAATGCATATCGTTGCGCGAGGGTAACATACGGATTTCGAGGTGTTGAGGTTTGAAGCTTAAAAGCAAGCAGGACAAGGGCCGCGAGAGGAAAGATGATGCGAATTATTGTTAGTTCGAAGTGTTTTGAGCGACGCTGGTGCGTAGGAGGGCCAAAGATGATACACTCATGAGTACTTGAAGGTATATGGTTTTGATGTTCTGAGAAAATCTACAAGAAAGAGGATGAAAACATATATTCTATAGTGTAGATAGGGTTATGAATCATATATCCTCCAGGGACGTGTAGTCATAAGTATGACACTCATAAGCCCTGAAGTACCTATGAGTCCTGAAGCACAGGTTAGCTACTCTTTGGTACATTCTCATCACTTTTCTCACCGAATGCCAAAACTCACATATATACATAAAGCTATTTCAATACAGTTTAGATTTGCGAAAAGCTAGATTTCGCCTAGGAATCGATTTTTCATTATACAGTCAATAAATATCCAAAATCTACATGGAATTCCTGGAGCATCAGTAGTTCTAATGATAGCTATAACTTTGGGGAGAATGGTCATTCTTAAAGTGCTAGCTACCCCGCGAAGAATTGGATATAATACGGAGGTAAGATGATTCTTGGTGTTTAATCGTACCTATTTCGATAGTGTTTATTTGCAGTGATGCCCGTTTTCAATAATATACATTTCCAATTATGTTCATTTCCAATAGTCCCCCTCTCCATTAATATACATATCTGTTGACCTCCTGGGATCTTGGCAGCATATGCATATATATTGCATGATGCATATAAGGAGCAAACAAAACTCAACTTTTAATTCATTCTTTCCTTTTTGGTATACTGTTTGTTTGCTTTCAATATTTTGATTTCAAAGCACTTTAATTCCGAAGGCTGAATACCTAACCTGATTCCTTCATTTTTTGAATATATACTCGCAGCTTAACTGCTTAGCTAGAGAATCAATCAATTCAATCTGATGCTCTTTCTAGTCTCAAGAAACCCAATAATATCCAATCATATCCATCTTCATAAATATACATGTCCCCATCCCTATCTAAGAGATATCCGCTGGTAATCCTCGAACACACGATGCAGTCTACATCATCAAACAAGTACATCCCGATCTTTCCTTACTCTGTTATTAAAAGAAGTTAGTACAATCCCCGAACATGCTAAGCGAAGTTAGCTGTATTAATTATACATCATTCTTAGTACCTTTGTATCAAGACGAGCATCAGAATTCCTCACTTCAAGTATATCGTCAAAACATATATTACGCGGATTCTTGATGTAAGCTGATGATGGTCTTTGTGATGGTCCGCCATCGATATCTAATTCGGTGAATATACTAATATATGGTTTTTCTTTCGAGGCGACCTGCGCTTTCGGATCCATATATTTTGGCGGGGATGCCATGCTGAATAAGGGTTTGAGGATGAACGGGAAATAGAGTGAGGTGGGTGAGGTAAAGGGGGTGAGCACGAGGAATAGCGATATGAATGAATGACTCTTCGAGGTACGTGAGGGAAAGTACAAGAGGGATGCTCGAAGTGTGATAATATGTTGAAGTTTGTATGGATGTGATATGCTGTGATATTTTGATATCTTTGATTATTTCCTAAAAGAGATAGATGGTGGTACAATATTATCTATGTATTTACCTTTTTTATTGGCGTTATAAGTCATTATTGCGGTGGGTAGTCATAAATAAGTATGATGTGACGCATTATTGGAGGATGGGAGATGGGGTTGAATGAATGAGCGGATGACGAGGATAATATTATGGTGTGGATATGACTGTTTGGTATTTATCTTGGATGGTTTTGAGGTTGGAGATGTGTTGTGTTGTGAGAGGATTCTGATCTTTGGAATTTTTGAAACTTGGGGAGAGGGGAGGGGGTCTAGGAGGAGGTAAAGAGTTTGTTGATTTTACAAGGCTAGGAATATTTAATATTTATTTGATAGAAGCAGAAATAATGATATAAGATCTTATATCCTTCGTGGTAGTACCTTACGGTGTTCTCTCCACGATGAAAATAACAGCATCATTTGAAATTTTAGTCGCAGCTTATCCGTAACCATTTTTCTACATGATTTAACATATGGATGGTTCCTCCTCGCATCGTCAAAGGGAGTTACTGTGCTTTGTGTTTACGGAGCGAAGTTTATGTATTATCTTACTTCCGAGTCCTATGACGACGATCACGATCACCAGATTTAGCAATTACTTCACTTCATAAAAATCTCCCGCTTTCTTTATAAATACAAGATACTAGTTGCTTTACAAGTTGCCAAGAGTCTTATGTGATTTACCTATACTGGTGGGAGATTTATAGAGCGGTCTTTCAATACGTATGAAGACTTATGCGTGTGCATGAGCGAGTAATATCTAGTGTTGTGATATGGCTGATGCCGTGGCTATAGGGTCTTTTGTGTTGTTTGAATAACTTGTTACTTGGAAGAGGCGGTACTGATGGCTATCGAAGCGGATTTGCCCCTTGTGGCTTGCTAGGTATACTAGTTGCTGATCGCGTATTATCCTATGCGGAAGATTGTGTAGAGGGTGTGGATGGCGGTTTGAATGTGAGGGTTTGCTCTGGTTTTATTCTGTATTTGAGTAATTGGGAAGGGGCTGGTCGTAGTTGTGGGTCAGGGAATCGGGGAATGAGATGGATGGTGATGGGGATGATGTAGCTTGAGGTTTCAAAGTAAGATATCTAGCAAGATGTTCGAGTAAGAATTTGAGGGACCTTGTTGAAGTCAAAATGTGTAAGGGGTGGATATCTATTAATATTTGCAAATTTGAAGGTAAATTTCTGTGTATAGAATTCGAAAAAGTTCTTAGGATATTCCGAGGTGCGGAACTATGTATCGTTAATCTAGGTGTACTGTCCTCGATATGAGTGCTTGGGTTATGGGAGTCACCGTCACCGGTTTGAGGGAAGGAAGGAGATTAAGGGTGGATGAGTGTACTGAATGATGGTCAAGGTTCTGCGGTGAAGTTTTGTGGAGGATTCAATGATATTTCCTTAATTTGGAATTTACTTGTGGGCATCATTTGACATGTCTTTTTCCGCTATATTTAAAATAGAGGTCATTTGAGAATGACTGCCAGATAGTTCATGCCGAACTTCACAGGTGCCGCCGAAGGCCATAATTGCAATTCACTCTCTGTGCATCAAACTATTTATATGCTGTCGATTTCACATATCGTGCCATGCCGCGCGACTCTGAAGATTCATACACATCAAGAAGCTATTTCAGAACAGTCTGACCTGGTATATTAAGGGGTTCCTATGCATTTAAGAAACCTATTGAAAAGCAACGATTATCTAATATCTACTATACAGTTTGATGCACCTGAACGTATATGTATATCCTATATCACTACTAAGTATTAGGCCACTGACATTAACTCCATCCTCACAACATCATACGCCATAGTTTACAGTATCGAACAACCACAACCGCCATCCTTGTCATGTTTCTATCAATAGAGGTTAGTATTTCCGGTAGTCATTTAAGAAAATGGAGGATTGTGCTTACCTGATTCTTCTTCCGAGGATCGGGAATATCCTTTACATTCTTAATCGGGGTATTATATGAGGGAACATCTTCCTGATACACAGACCATCCTAGCCCCGATGGTTTTCTAGATACGGGCTGAAATTTGGTATGATACGTATCATTTGCATGATTAGGTGCCTCATGCATAGGCTTTCGACCATCCGTCGGAATTATACTAATCTGTGGAGACGGTGGTGAGTGTACTGGTGTTTGGGCCCATGGATTTCCTTGTGCGCGGTTGAATTCGTCGGCACTAGGTTGAGAGTCGTGAGCATACTGGAACGGATTTTTGAATTCTGAGGCTTTTTGGTTTCCATAAGGAATTGGTTGAGTTGACTCCCTGTAGTTGGGGAATGCATTGCTTGTGCACGAAGCATTGGTATCGTTTCTTCTCGGGGGAGCTGGGCCTTGTCATGATGCAGTGTTGCGTTGATGAGTTGACATGTTGGGAAAGGTTTGAATATGAACAAGAGGAATGAGTGGATGGCGATGACGATGTGTGCTTGAGTGGCTAGGCTGAACTTCTTTGAGTGAAGTAGGTACGTAGGAGGTTTAAGGTTGCCTAACGTATGAAAGATTGACGGTGGATTATTTCGAATTCTGAACGTTTTGTTGTGTTGTGATTTGAATGTTTTGTATCGAGTGGTTTGTGTAACTGCGAGAGGACGCGAAACTATATACACACGATATGGCCATAGTATGAATCATATTAATAATTCTTGGTATAGTTATATGTGTGATACTTATGAGTCGCAGAGTCATTTTGTGTATTCGACGGTTAATGACTGGATTTCAGAGATAGACCAGAATTTGAAGTTTTTGTTTGGGGTGAAATGGTGTTGATTTTTAGATAACTTCATAGTTAGCGTTGGAAATATCGATTTGTATATCCAAATCCCTTTCATGTCCTAAAGCCTGGAGATCTCTAGTAATTTCATCCCATGCACCCTAAAGCTTTCCAGTTAGCTATCGTCAACTCAACCGCCATTACGTCTATAAATCACCAAGTCAACTTGCTCTCTAAAAGTCCCAAAGATTACCCCCAGCGTCGGAAATTCTCTTCGGAATTATACTTATACTCGGATAATCTCTTGTGTCCGGTATATATTGGCACTGTTCAGGAACCTCTCCCACGTTCACACGATTAGTAGTAATTGGAGGCAGTTTAATCGGATCTGGCTTTAATTTCGATGTCGTTATGCACCTTCAACGAACAACTCCCAATCAGACTTGCAAGTATACTAACCGCCCTAGCATTAATACACCCCGCGCCTCGCTTCATGAAGCACATCCAACTTCCCCTTCCTAGCAAGAGAACAATGACTCATTCCTTGCTCTCGGACCAGTCCTTTGATTCGTACTGAAATCAAGCACATAATCGGAGATGCAAGTTAAAATTATAATTCGTGTTGATGGAAAATTGATATCGTTTAATGTGCTGTAATATTCCATCCGACTGATTCACTTCCTTTGCTCACTTGGATATTAGAAGTGTCATAGACGAGGAGATGGACACGCGTCTTGAGGGCTAACATTAATGTCGCATCCCTGCATTTGCGATGGACCAGAATATTGCCTTTATAGTAAAAAATTTGGAGGAAGAATTTTTTAGTGAAGTGGAGGAGTCCATGCAGAATTTGATTGAGGGTGCCGGTTTGGAGGCGGCGGTGATGAGGTCTAGTCTACAACACTCAAGATGTTCTTGACTAATGTTTATGATTCCTCCCAAAGATATATTCAAATAGAAACCTGAGAGGCTATTTGATTGTCAAATTTAGATTAATTTAGCGAATGTGATAAGAGGCTTTGAAGATTACAAACCTCAGTCTGAATTTGAAGATTCTTCTATGTATTATTATAAACATGTTTTTTAATTAACTTTACTTTTAATATTTCAATAGATTAATCGATATAAGTATTTGAAAGGTAAAGATATAATAAAGTGTAAATATTTAATCCGAGTTCCAAAAAATATAAAGAAAGATTGAAGTCGATAATTATAACTATTAATATTATACTTATTCTGAAAGGCTTGAATAGAAAGTAATATATAGATGGTATTATAGAACTATGAAGTCTTCATTATTATAAATCTTGAAATTATTCGATACAAATTTGAATAATATGATAATTTTGAAGTTGGACATATAGTTGAGAGAAGGTTGAGATGTCCGATCAGATGTAAGGTTACGTACGATCAGATGCACGAATTCTACCCCACGGTCAATCCTTTCACAAAAAGGGTTTAGTGTAAGACGGAGTTGCGTTTACACGGTATTAAAAAGTTGTTCCTATGTCCGAGGTGATGGAGAAGTTCTCGATTCACCATCCAATCATACATTTAAAATCTTATTCCACAATAGCGAAAGTATAATATGAAGCAGGGTGGCGTTGTTGATGCGTTGGTGCGATTAGAAGATGAGTCACGTGAATTGTTTCAATCATTCCGTCGAAACGGCGGAAGAAGGCACTCCTTCCCACGACTTTTCTCCCTTTTCTTTATTTGGTAAATTAAAAAAAGGCTCTCACGTAATTCTCATATACACGAACTTGTTCTCTTCCCTTTTTACATCCATTACTAACTACTTTGCTCTATTGAGACGACCGAAAACGAACTTTGAAATTGGTGTAGAATCGCGCAAAACCACCTATCCACCCGATTCCGGAACTAGCTCGATATCCTTATCCACCCCTGCGCCTACATTCCAGATTTGAAGGAGGTCAAACTTATAAAGATATTGAGCCTTTCTTGAGACATCTAAGCTTCGAGAAACATCTGACCTTGGAACCTCTGGTACCATCAAATTTCAAGAGACATTCAAGCCCCGTCAAATCTTCAAGCCTCCAGCGCCATTCAATAACCCCACAATTCATCATTCGATATGTCAGCTAGACCAACTTCAGTGGCACTCGCTGATGAAGAGCATCGTAAGAAACGAGTTAGGAAAGGAACCAAAAGTTGCTGGGAATGTAAAAGAAGAAAAGTCAAATGTCAATTGAGTTCTGAAAATGTCAGCGTTTGTTCTGGTTGCCTATCACGTGGGACGACTTGTATAAGTCAAGAATATCCAGAAGAACATGATTCTTCAGGTGGTCCACAAATTGGTGAACGGCTTGGTCGTATAGAGCTTACTCTTGATAAATTGATGGCAAAATTGGATCAGTATGATGAGCAAGAAAATGCCACAAAAATTCATACTCCAGAAAGTATGGGTACTGGTGATGTTCTTTCACCATTCCCAAGTACTACCTCAACTGGATATGATAGTGCTACAACTGCACCAATACTTTCTCTTTTTGATAACTCTGTTGTAAGTATTGCCATATCCCATATCCCATATCATATCTCATGTCCAATATCCCGTATACTCATATATTTGCTCACGTCCATCAAAGTTAGGCCGCCGAGAAAAGGAGAATGAATTCATAATTTCCAAATTGAAATCAAACGGAGAGAAGTCAAGTAAGCAATGTCGACCCCTAACAAAGGTTGAAAGAATCAGAGATGTTTTGATAGAACTCCTTCCGTCACAAGAAGCTACAAATAAACTTTGTTCTTTCAATGATTCTTGGCTATTGATGCATTCTTTATCACAACATTCGCCTCAAATCATGTTACAGCCAACAGGATTCAATCCGAATCATTCATTTAACATTCCTGGCATTGGGAAAGAAAGTCCTGCAACAATAGCACAAACACTTCTTTACGTAGCTGTATGCTTACAGCAAGTGCCTCATGGATTTGATGCCAGTCAACTTGGAATTAACACAAGTATTCAAGCTCGAACAGACAAAATAATATCAACCGTCTCGGGACTCGTGACCTCGGACGATGAACTCGTGGCTTGCATCCAAGGGTTGGAATGTTTGATGCTCCTAGGATTATTCCATATGAATGCTGGAAACTTACGTCGTTCATGGCTTACATTTCGTCGAGGTATGAATATCGGTCAGCTTATGGGCCTACATAGACGTGAGGATTTTGGTAGTACAACTTTACCACCAGGAGGAATTCACCTTTGGAGAAGCCTTATGCAGGCAGATAGATATCTAAGTTTACTCTTGGGTATGCCTGCCGGAGCAGGCGACTGCATTATTCTATCACACGAAACATTCAGCAATCCTAATGTCAACCACGACCTTCTCTTCATTAAAAAGATTACAAATTTGGCAGGAGGGATCATTGAACGAAATCAAACCGAACATATTCATGCATTTGCTACTACTCAAGAACTAGATGAGAAACTCGAGAGTATTGGAAGAGAAATGCCTCCGTCTTGGTGGGAAATACCTGATCAATTTGAAACCATCAGCGAAAAGACGAATTCAGCCGCAAAATTCGATCGAATCATGTCACAAATTTACTACTTTCAGTTACAATCATTCTTGCACCTACCTTTTATGGTTCGAGCTGACACAGAACGTCGTTACGAATATAGTAAATTCGCCTGTATGAAATCATCACGAGAATGCATATCACGCTATCTCGCCATTAGACGCTCCGGTGCGGCATCATTCTGCTGTAGAGTCATCGATTTTGGTGCATTCACGGCATGTGTAACTCTCCTCTTGAATATTTTGGAAATTCCACCTGTAGGAGGAGATACCACTCTGGTGCAAGACCAAAAACGCTCCGACAGGGAACTCGTGGAAACTGTCCTTGGTGTCATGAGCGAATGCGCTTCCGCTGAAGATGTAATGGCCATTCAAAGTGTCGAAGTTATCAAAACTCTCCTCACATCCACTAGCACCAGTGGAAATTTACGTCTAACAATCCCATATTTCGGAACTATTTCAATAGCACGTACGCCAAAATCTTCAACCGCCCCGAATATCACTCAATCGACCCCCTCTATTAATACTACAGACCAACCCCCATTGAACAATACTCCAGCTCTTATGGACATGACACCAAGAGCCACCGCACAAGCTCAGAATGAATTCGTTACTGCTCTTAATTGTCCATGGGCTGCTCAACCAAAGGTCTCTTTCAAGAGTAGTCAATTTCCTCCACTGGAACTAGAACAACAATTTGAAGAATGGCCCGGTTTACATGCAGATAATACGATGTTTTTTGATAGTTTATTAAATACGGATTTGGAGGCTAACTGGTACTTGTAATTGTGGAATGAGGGAGGGAGAGGTACCTAATGGATGACGTAAATCCCTTACCAATTTGATGTTCCAACTCACATTTGGAATTCAGAGACCTGTCAGACTCCATTCTTGAAATTCGGAAAGGAATAGGAAATATTTTGACAGGCGATTCTTTCCGCGCATTACGAGGAAAGGTGACGAGTTTGCAATGTGGTGTCACTTGAAATTGTATTATTAATTATTTTTTTGAGACGATTTACAGTGGGGTTAGCGGAGCATGAGAACGGGAGTCAAAAATGAATCACAAAGAGATACTAATAGTAATCAACACTGAGGATATAAAGGATGCAGGACGAGACACAATCTTAATATATGTAGCATGTATTTTATAGGGTATATAACGGAAAAGGCATCAGTACGCTCTTCTCATTATTTCAACCAATTTATCGGATATTATCAGATAACTGAGTTCAAGTTACATGTGCCTCTTTTTGCCATCAACATCGCCATTATACCTCCTCCCGCATCTTTAAAATCTGCCCATCTACCTTTCTTATATACAAAACCTCTTCCGAATTTAAATCAAGCCATCTCTTCCTTTTCTCTATCGATAAGTCAAAGTTTCTTGGGTTGGGACTGGTCATTGGGTTTTTAATAAGTAGCCTGGGTAATAAAGAAGAAGATTCCCAGGGCTGAGCATGTTTCGGGAGAGAGAATGGTAATGGAAGGTTTAGGTGCGTACATGAGGGAGATTGGGGGTGATGGAGGGTTAGTGAAATTTTAAATGGGATTCGATAAGGAGTAGGAAATTCGGTGCGAAGGATGAGGAAAATGGTAAAGAAAAAAGAAGGGGTGGTAATAATAATAATAGGGAAGCAGAGATAATAATTACGATCACTACGAGGTTTCAGAAAAGGAAGTAGTTTGGAGGAAATCAAATGTAGGAATTGAGGTGGGTGCACGTGCTAATTCTTCCTTCATACCAAAGAACTTCCCAACGAAAGCAGAGATAGCCAGATGTGTTACCTCCTAGCACCGAGAACTAATCAGAAAAGTAAAAAGTAAAGTAACGAAGAGGAGTATCGGTGATAGACTAGGTGAAGGACAAAGACATTCAAATGACGGTAACAAGTAAACAAGCTCAGCTTATGCCCATGAAACATTGATTTCTCCAATAAATAAACTCCACCCATCCTAAGCATAAGCCCCGATTGAAAGAGGCTTATACCTGTGAGTATAATTTAGAGTTTTGGATGTAAGTCAAGATCTACAACTAAGAGATATTTAAATGCCCGTTCTCCGCAACCTCAGCTGTGTTTCGCACTTTGATTTGGATGCCCAGTTGAATTTCTCGATACGCTTCTTCTTGGTCACGATCCGTTAATATTCTTTATAGGCTTCCAAGAGTTGAAAATCTGGTAGTTTGTAGTACCGTTTACATTTAGTGGTCTAAATGGTTTATTTGGTACACGTCGTCATGTGCTCATTCCTTGGAGTTTTTTTTTTTTTTGTTTTTGAAAATAGATGTAACTAATCGATGAAATATCTATTGTATCAAATCAGACATGACGTCCTGTAGGGATTCGAATCACGTTGTTTCCGCATAGGTGGTTCCTTGTTTTCGACATATGAGACGCTAGGTTATTTATGGACTAGACGTGAGATTAGCAAGAACACAAATTTAACTCCACTCCATCTCCCACTTTTGAGCTCAACATTGCACAAAACCATTGCACCGTCTCTTAAAGATCTCGAGTATGGATCATGAAAGATGGTCATTAATGCATATCTTCAAGCCACACGATAACTCCCCAAAATCTCACGCCATCCTTGAGTTGCAAATTACTAAATTACGGCAATGTACATGTCACACAACTTTCAACGCAAAAGTCTAAGAAAATTCTCCATTCAATTCGTTAAGATATGATACTACGTTGCTTGTACAGGCTATAACGAGAAGCCATTTGTATCTACCGTCATATCCGTCATAAAATCATCAATCCTGCACCAAAAATACTGTTTCCAAGTGGAAACCGAAATCACTATCAAGCTCCTTATATATCAATCTCTATCCAAAACTGTACTCACCCCATTGCGTTCATTGCCATGACTTCGTGTCAGTGGCTAGTATTGTCCGAATGTCAATCCTGTGGCTCTATTTCTACTATTAGAAAGTTGTTGATTAGCGTTATTTGTGGATTGGAGTGTTTACCATTTATTCTTTTCCATATCCATAAATGAGGGGGCCGGGGGTAGCAGACTCTTCGCGCTTCTCTCGACCATATCCATAAATGAGGGGAGCGGGAGCTACAGCTTCGGCACGTTTCTCCTGGCCATAACCATACAAAAGAGGGGCTGGGGTCTCGTCACGTTTCTCCCGGCCATATCCGTAAATGGGAGGAGCTGGTGTCTCAGCCTCCGCCTTCTTGAAAACATGTTTGGTGACGCCATTATCGGTTCTAACTGGCTTATCGCTCTTGGCAACTGGCAATGCAGAAGCCTCGTAGGCGAGATATGCCACAAGCGCAATGAATGAGATTGTCTTCATGTTTGCTTTATTCGTTATGTTCACGGGAAATTGTTTTCTTGTCTTGCTCTTCACGTTGAGATGTTGAGAATTGGTCAAGTGCTTGTTGATGATTCTTGTCAAAGTTAGTGAAGGCGCTACTACTTATACAACTTTCTTCCTCCCTGTCCTATTCATTATTGCATTTGATATCCCGATAGCCGAGCTCGCTGAAGAACAATCTCACCTGGAATTTTCCTGTTACCCCTCTCTATGGATCTACCATTCCCATTTCCTTATAGACTATCAAATTCATGCAGCAAGGATTTTTCGACGTGTTCTCTTGAATAGTAATCTAAAAAGATCGCATGATGGCACCTTCGTCAAGTATCTCTATCTTTCAGTCATCTTGTCAGACTTGCTTCCTCATTGTCCCAATAATATCCGAGCCGTTTGTCCTCTACATCCGAGGATAACTTCACAGACACTTAATCAGCATCATCGCAGCTTACTTCTGTATTGAGAGGGTGATACCTGTTCACCACTTTCGACTGATTTTAGTTTGATTACTCTCCAACTTGCATGTTTTAGAATTATAGGCTGACATGGACGCGATTGGTCCTTGTGGCTTCTTCTCCTGTTAAGTCACTGATATCGAACTTGCCACCACCTGTTTCACTGATCCTCCAATCCTACGTGATGCTTCACCTATTAAAGATGGACAAGAGCATTCAATCACTAGAGTGTGTACCCCTAGCCCGAAACTCGTCTAAGCACGGATAATATCGTAGAATTAAGCTTAATGAGCTTGTGCAGCCATGCCGTCAACAGTACTCATATATGTATACCTCACCATACATCTTGGCTATGATAAGCTTTACAGAGCACTAAATTGTCAAGCACGCAGGCGTTACACTTCTACACTGATTGCCATCAGTGTCACGCCATCGGCCCTATCCTCTATTCTACGTATGCTTAGTTCCGGATGAAGGAATGAAACCAAGCTGCCGATATCAATATTGAAGACCCGTCGAGCCACTAAGCCACCTGCATATGTCTTGATGATGCTTGATCATTCTAAGCATATCTACATGTTCTGATTGTCCCGTTTTGTAACACCTAAGCCAGGATTGGATTTATCCGGATATAAGCCTCTTCCCGGAGCTAAAATCGTTGGCAAATTGAGTCTAGTATTCTTTAAGTACCGTTTTCCACGAGATAAGCACCAAGTGGGGGAAATCTTACTGCGTATGTAGGCCTCGTCTCAGTACACGCGGGAATATCAAATGCTTCATTCTTATGATATATGCAACATACATGAATAATCACGACAGCATTCCTTCAAAAGTCCGATTTGCGGAGTATTTCATGGCAGATAGATGAAGTGGGAAGGAGGTTTCATTTAAAGGTGGAAGACATTGATACGTCAATATATTCAAGATTTGAAGGCTCTCTTGAAATTCCCTCAATGCGAAAGATCAGAATGAACTTGTAACTCTTCTGGATATCTCATCAATTACAATCTTTTCCAACCTTCAATATGAAATCATACTTCATGCGTTGGAAGAATTATCGTCAGGAAGATCAACCTGACGATTCTTCTTCAGAGACAAATGAACCCTTTCTAGACAAAGAAAATGGTTATCCAACTTTCCATGAAAAACCAAGGCCATTCTTAACTTTCATTTTGGTTACCTCTATCGTTTTCAATTTCTTTCTTCTTGCCTTTAGTCTAAAGTAATTTTGGACTCCAAGGACAGATGTTTTTCAACAGATGTATAGCAAGTATCGATCTTAACGTTGATATTGAACATGACTGATTTGAATCAGCACCTGCAAAAAGTGTGATAGAATACCATAATCGAAATTTCGAAAATCCTATACCGAAAATAGATGATGAATGGGCAGGACCTCCTACTTCTGAGCGCAATGCGAGATGGGCAAAATTGCATTATGTTGGTGATACTGGTCTTACCAAAGATGAAGCTTCTCAGCTACTCAATAAAACTGCCGCCTCTCTTCCTGGTACCGATGATGATTATCCAATTGTCTTGACTGTATTCCATGATCTTCATTGTCTGGTGCGTATTTTCTACCTTTTTAACAAAACATTCCTAACCTGTATCAAGGATGCAATTCGTCTCACTCTCGGCTACCTCAGAGATCCAAAATGGAATGCTACGGTCAACCCATATAACACCGAATGGCCTGACAACTTCAAAAGTGGATCATGCACATCATTGTTTCAATTCTCTTCGACAATCTTTACAATGTTTCTCGGATGTTACGCCACAAGTTTTTCAATATCACCCAGATAGAAACATGGTCATTAGCAACTTTAATGTTATGCATACTTGCAGAAATTTTGATGCGGTATGTGAATGTTTTTCTTTATCTTCATATTGATAGTTCAAAAGTTGCTGATTTTTGTTGATGATAGATACATCAATGGGTACTTGATCATGCTTATGCTGGAGTGTTTAATTTTACAGGATGGAGAGATGAACAGGGAATTTGTGGTCCGGATGGATGTAGTCATTGAGGTAATCTCTAATGATCTTGCCGGTACATCTTGTTCGAAGGTAGTAAATTCTATTTTATAAAAAATGATTTTTGCTTACCATATCTTTTCTTGAAGAATTTTATGTGATAACCTGTGATGTTCCTATTATAAAGTGTCAGGACGTGTGAATACCTACTCAGATATGTAGAAATGACTCGGAATATCCAAGGGATTAAGCAGATGAGTTTTTCCAATGCGTTGTATTTTATATTCAGTCAAATCCCATTGAAGGGAGAGAATCAATTCTACCACTCAATTCCTCCCACCCTTTTAGCACAGTCCCATTTCGCACACCGTATTGCAATATATTTTCAGACAACTTTAACCCTGTCACATACGACCATAGACTGAAGAGAATTGGGCATCCCGTCCGCTCTGCCATACACAAGCTTCAGATCGGTAGATTAGTAGTTGGGTGGGTGACCACCAGCGAATCCCTACTGTTGTATGTTTTTTTCCGCTTTTTGTTTTGCTGTTTGTAGGGAAGGACGAGATCTCGTTTCCTGATACGAAATGGCATGCATCATGCGTGAAGCGAGCCTGAAGATTGGCGGTGGACTACGGTGTGTAGGACGGGATAGAAGAGATAGATCGATTACTACCTTGATAGAAAAACATGAAGATGAAGAGTTTTTTACGTATACTCACATACTCATAGAAATATACCAGTTTTCCAAAAGCTATCCATTCATTTCATACAGTTCATAGGGTAGATACCTAGTCCTCCATTCAAAACCTAAAATCAAATCAGTATATCATAAATTTGATACATATTTACTTCCTAAAGTGGGTATAGTCGTGTAAATTTTCTCTCTGATCTTGGCATGGTGGGAGGCTCGAAACGTACGAAGAGTGAATAAGTAAGGGAATGGACTTAGCATGGAGACCTAGGAACGTCTTATTATGAGATAAAAATGAATTGGGATCACTACCCCGCAATTCTTCTCTATAAATTAAAGCCATCCCCAAGACTAGAAATTCTCCTTTATGTATCATAAGACTACATTAATACACGAACGAAATATTGTAATGAGGAATGGTAGCTATATCCTAGTTTTTAGAACATGTAGTAGAATGAAGTTCTGGTGAGTAGATAAGGAAAGGATGTTGGAAATAGGAGGAGGGGGAGAATGAATTTAGAGTAATAATGATTATTGGGATTTTTTGATGGGAAATAATTATATCTTAAATTAGAACATAAAGATGAAGAGAGAGTAAATGACAGTACTACTTAGTATAAAAAGCAAACGACGAAGTAAAATGCTGTCAAATCCAAGGAAGTCTTACAAATTTCCTTTCGTTTGAAATATTCGACATTACCCCTAGTTCCCCCTCTTATGAGCGAGCGGTCTCAATGGCTTGGAAGGTATAATTAAGGTAGCTAGAACGATTTTTATATTTTCACGATGGCCACTGAGATCCATACTCAAAAATTTCGAGGTGACGTATACGTAACGATGCCCATTTTCGTTTCCGCGTAAAGTTCACGTTCTTCCTACTTTACTCTTACTCATTCGCCATCTATGAGTACAAATTTAAACCTCAGAAGTTACATCCATCCTGGACTCTGACTTTCCAGAATAACACCTAATACGCACTATTGTGTAGATATGGGACTTATGCCGCGAACCGAAGAGTTGGAACTACCAAACCGCGAAGCCTCAATTCTGCTGTATGACTGACATGATAATGCCAAAACATCCATTATTCTTTGATTCCACACTTATACAGCTTTCACAACGACAGCAATTTTACTGGCGACAATGGCTCATTCCAAGAAACAGGATAAAATCAAAACCCCCAGATTATCAAATCCATGGACCGTGGACACCTTTGAAAGCACTCCTGACCTTGTGGTACCAGGATAATATTTGCCTTGCTTTGCTTCGGTAGCGAATCTAAGTACACAAATACTGGATTACTGTACACTATATGGCTCATCATGAGTTTTATTAGTGTGCTCATGAGTAATCTAGAGCTAGTATTATCAATCAAGAGATACTGGATATATGTATTGGCCTTAGTGAGACTGAAGACACGAATACAAGGAAATGATAATGTTACTGCACCACATAGGTGGATTCATCACCATTGACTTTTTCTTCAAGAAAATGACATCTTGATGTAAAGCGACAAGAAATATATCCTTAGACTAGTGGACCAACGCCGATATACAAGGCGGATGAAGAGCCAAATCCAAGGTCACGTTTCCAGAAGGTTCACTAAAACCCCTAATCCAACGGTCCCTAAGCTCCAGTACGAAAATTGTTTCAAAGCAAAATCATCTTTCTGGGTCAAATATTTATTCGAGGATATAAAAAAACATCCAGACCCTCTCCTTTTCCTTCCTATCCTATCCTCCTATCCACCTCGACTTACATCATGATCTACAAAACCCATCTCCGTCCGGTCCATCTAAAAATAAACCAAGCCACATCGTATGTATTAAAATAAATAAAGAACATATCTCTATTCCGGTAGTTCGGTACCAAATATCTGTATGACAAAATAGTATGGTATCATCGTATCGTATTTTATCGTATCGTGTCTAAAATTTCCAACGTGCAGATTAAATCACCCAGACAATACTCCGTATTTCACACATGCATGCAAACACGGGCACTTATAAATCCCCTATATACTTCGAGAAAATATACCAAACATAAATTATAAATCATCAATTATAAATCAAAAAACATAAAACATAAAGTATAAATCATAAATTCCCAACTAAGATTTAAGAAAAGAACTGGTGAAATCTCGCTTCGAATTTTCAACCCCCTTGACCTTGTCAAGATTCGCAGATCCTCATATCGATAAAGACAGATCTACGTTATCTGTCTGCATATACTCCATACATACGGAGATATATACGAACCATACCCTACCCTACTCTACTCTACATCTACATTATAGCATATACATACATGTATAATAACCTTACCACAAACTCGCACATAAAACTAGACACTGTACTCTAGGTAGGAACTCAATAAGTAGGGTAAATTGGTAAACCTTAAAATTCGAGCAACTTCCTGCTACAATAAGATAGGTTATCAAACATTTTATCTGAACTCAATCTAAGTCTTACATAGGTACTCGTATTTTCTTTCCCTGACTGAATGATTGACTGATTGACTGACTCCTTAAAATATCAAGTAACAAACCTAAGCACAGTCTTTCGAAGGCGCGAAGAGTTCTATTCGTGGATATTATGTATGTATGTAGGTTATGTATGTATCTATACATATATATAGATAGTAGATAAATAACGAGAAACCCATACATGCGAGAGGGAGGTTGAGTTTGTAGATAGATGGATGGGACGGATAGGGCTTTGGGTCCCCTTACCGGACACGGTAATAATGCATGCTGCACATCGGATATCATCTTCATCTTCATGTTGAATCTTCAATGTCATACATATACATACATCAATAGGTATGAGACAATGTTTATCTAAGCGATGTTTCGGAATGCTTTCTCTCACCTGCATAGGATAGGATATTAATGTACTCAGTACGGAGTACTGTAGGAAGGAAGGAGACGCGATGCACGGATGTGATTGATATCTATATCGAGGTCTATATTTATACAGAGTATTTATAGGCAGGCAGACAGGGGTAAGTAAGAAAGAAAGGGAGAAAGAGAGAGATTGAGGGAGAAAAGTATCTTTAGAAACAAAGTCTGTGATTTCTTGTAAAAGATACAATACCGGTAGCGAGATACAATCCCTAGATTCACCACTTCTCCTCGAATTCGAATTCGAAGCGCGTGTTTCAGATACGATACAATGAGCGAGCTTCATATGCATATGCAAGTATATACCTAGGTACCCGTACCCATACATACATAACCTTAACCTTATAGTACCCGCCCGTAATGATTTATTTTTAAAAGAGCGCCAGTGGAGCGACGGACGGGACCAGACAAGACATGAAAGTGCAGGACAAGACAAGCAGAGACAAGACAAGACATTGATGGATTGAATTGAATTGAAGATTTCTCATCTCATCTCATCTCATCTCATCTCATCTCATCTCATCGTCATATCAGATATATATACATAAACTATCTATCTTATATTTGAAATCTTCGTATTCTGCTTACCACTTTTGCTTACCATAAGCTAGGTACAAATACACAGACGCGTACACTACAGTACAGTACAGTACAATACAATATAATATATTTCTTAACTTCTTATTTTCCTAGATATACAAATTCTCCTCATTACTAACCTAGATATTTATATATTTATAGTAATCAAGATTATTAAACATCAATTCACCCTCTCTACCCTCTATTCATATTAATATTTATATTTCTGTTTCTTATCAATTTTCTCTTTTTGGGCTGAGTTTTTATTTTATTCTCTGTTTCTATCTTTCTTTCTTTCCCTCAAAGTAAAAAAATGATGGATGGATGGAAGATATAAATAAATAGAAATAGAAATTAACTTCCATCATCTGAATCATTGATGCTCCTTTTTTTTTGGTTATGATCCGGATGCCTGGTGTGTGGGTGGAATAGGAATACTCTGTGAATACACGAGGACTGTACTGTATTGTACTGGACTGGATGGATGTGTTACGGTGATAAGTTGTGTGTGATACTCCGTTGATGGATATAGATAGATGAATCACTTTCTGTTTTTATATCTATCTGGTGGTTGAGTGGTTCTATAATTTATAAGATTTCAAATAGAGGAGGCTGAGAAAGATAAAACTTTATTTCGTTTGGATTTATTGATCGTTACGTATACGAGTAGAGTATGTTATGTAGATAGGTACTTAAGGTAAGATCTTATTATAAGTGTTAGTGTCTGGTCTGAGGGTTATTCAACGTCAGTGTTAGTAGGAGGTATTCAGTATTCATCAATGACGGACGGAGTACTCGGGGCCTGAATTGTGCAAATAATTAAGTGAACGTGTTAGATCTTATTATTATTATTATTATTTTTTTTTAGGTAGGTAGGTAGGCTTATAAGTGAAGCTAGGAGTTTCTATAATAGAAGCTAAAGCAAAGCATACACACAGGAGAAAGGAGATAGAATGATAGGCTGGATACCTATGAGGACCTATGAACTACAGTTACTACTTAGCTACTACTTATTCGTACCGAGAACAGAGGAGTAAGATGACGGAAGAAAGATGAGTTACAGAAACAATACATACATACATAGGTACATAAGCAATGCATAGGGAGTACATACACATACAACCCGCCCACGGATAAATAAAACCTCAAAAATCCACCATCTATCCATCCATTCAACCAATAACTCGCCACCCCCAAAACAAAACACCATTAAAATAAACCAAATAAGACCTCACAACAAGCAAAGCAAACTCACTCATTCACTCACACACCCTCATCTTCCAAACCAGATTGGACGTTCTAAGCGCCGTGGATGGTTAAAAAGACTCGGAATGCATAGATTAAAAATATAAGCGGAAATCATTGGATAGGAAGATTTTGATGTTCGCGGGAAATGCGTGCTTTGACCCCTGATGAAGTGCATTGGCCTCGAGATGGATGGGTGGAATGATTTTTGAAGAGGGGAGGGTAGGACTCGGTATTTTGACTGTTTTTGTAGGATGGATGGATGATTGAATGAATTGGATGAATGGATGGATTGATTGAATGAATACGAGATGAATGTTGTTTCTTAAACTTGTACGTTGTATGCTATGCGTAAGGTGTTCATTCCTGAATCGCTAGTATGATATTGTATGTACGGAGTATGCGTATTGGAAAGTTAAAAGAATGAGATCCAATGATCTATCATTTATCATTCAATTCAATCCAATTAAATCATTCGTGAGCATAAATAAATAGTTTTTAGACTAGGGAATTCCTAGGGAGGGATACATGTTGAATGTTAAATGCAATGGTAGATGGCGAAATACATGTGCATAAAATCCAAACTTAATAATTGATTGGATTGGTAAGGAAAGAACCCTTCAGTCTTTCAGCCCTGAGAGCAAATGCGGCATCCAATTAAAACAGCGTTTGTCCTGTCAGCATGGATGTAGGTAAGAGCCGGATTATTTGTACCTTGGATTTTATTGGTATATACTATAAGGTTAGTGAGAGTTTGACTTGGCTTGGTGACGGATAGGGAAGGATGGGGATGTTATGCGATGTGACGAATTCAATATGAGAGTATCTACCTACGGAGTAGTATATACCTAACTAACCTATAACAAGCATCTTAATATGAATAAAAGAGTTTCCAATTTTGAATTTATTCAGAACATACATACATAGTACATACGTACGTACGTACTCTTTCTTAATGAAGAGAAGCTTGTGTGAGAAAGGGAAAAAACATTAAATGGTAAAGTACAAAATGCAGATGGGAATATGTATGCAGTATAACCAAGAATTTTCATAGAAGTTTTGAAACACAAGCTTAGGAAAAGGGTATCCATTGATCGATCATGTGCGTCGTTGATGCTTTCGTGTACATTTGATGTGGAGAAGAGTGTATGGATGAGATGGTAGATGCTTAGGCGGTTGGGCTTTCACTAACTCTAACGAGTTGGTTGCTCCTCCGTTATATATATATATATATATTGCAGGCTTTACAGGCTTGGGTTTGTAGCGTGTTGATTTATCTATCTATCTTCTTGTTGATGATTTGATTATTATAATTATTATTATTATTATTATCAGATAGAGTGGAATTTAGAGGATTTTCACACTTTTTCATGCATTATTTCATACATTTCTTACATCTTTAATGTATCCTTTCAAGCATTGTTCAATTCTAGGCACGAGACGAGGATGGATAATAATAAATCTGCAGAGCATATATACCTAGGTACCTAGTATATCTTACATGGTTACTTCTAATATACAGAGTACGTATGTATGAATCATGATAATCGATATTAATTTCGATAGCGATTAGAAGGATCCCTGATGAGAATCATGAGATACAGTAGATACGAAATCCATGACATATACCGGTTACTGGTGAGACTTTAGGATGATAAATGCCGTTGGAAGATTACGGAGATTCCTATTCCTTTGAGACTTTTTGTACCGTGTGTATATGATATGATATGATGTGATGTGATGTCGAGACCAATTCGTATTCCTATTCACAGCAGGAAAGGAAACTTTTTTAACTCCGAAGATGCGTACCCGTGTACTGTACCCACCCTGCTCACATGGCAAAATTGTGGCTCAGCAATACATTAATATTCCTAGTCGGGATGGATGTAAGATCTTAGTATTTGAACATTGGGTCTGATGTTTGATTTTGGTGGTTATCCACGCAATAATTACTCTTTTTGGTGGGAGTGTTATGGAGATGGTACTGGATAGTGGGTGTTGATGTTTTATGAATAATTGATTAGGTGAGATATTGGATATTGGTCTAGATCAGGTCAGGTCTTGTAGTAGGTTGATGTGGATGAAGCTTGTACTCTGTCTGTATGTGTTTGAGAGCTTTAGTGGCTTGAGATTTAGGTTCATCACAACAACTTCATTTATGCAATGGGTTTCGTCCCTTTCCCTCGGTTCCGTCAAACGGTTGAAGGATCCCTTTGAAAAGAGCTTGAAACTTAACTAAATATTATACTTTTTACCCGTTGTACCCGGACTCTATCCATTATCAATAAAATCTTATACTCTGGACAGAGTACATATTTACTTTGAACTACGGAGGAATCATTCAATCACGGAATTGTCGGCTTGTATTCTCCTTCTTCTTACTTCGCTTGTACTCTTATTTCTTGACTTACACTTGGCCTTTAAAAGTTTGAAATCAAGTCACAAGAAACTGACCAATTAATAGAAGTGGAACCTGTCAATATGGTTTCGTGGCATCAGAGCATCAGGATTCAGATGTCAAGCAAAAGTGCCCAAGTGCCTAAGTGCCTAAGTGCCTAATAAGTGCCTCGATGATTCCCTTTTAGTATTTAGTACATTGAAATTGGATGTCTAGAAAGTTACCCGTACAGCTCAGTCTCTTAGCTCAATGAGGCTTTTCCCCTCCCTTATTGAACATCCAATTCATACCAATCAATCCTTCGGGACTCGATCGATGAATGATGTTGAGTAACTTCCTTACCTCCACACACCGCCCTTTTCCCATTGTTCTTCAAAGGAATATCAATTCAATTCAATCCAATTCTCTTCATTTTCAGGTTTTCTTCCAACTTTTCCATTCAACAGCATATCCAAGTGTTCAAGAGTGACGAACAAGAAATTGACAAGACTTTCATCAGTTGAACTAACAAAATCTGCGACAAAGAGATTCCCCCACATCAGCTCTTTTTTTTAAATTAAAACACAGAGTGGTCCCTTTGAATAATGCTCAAGTGTGACAAGGGATCTTTGTTGATCAAACCAAACTAACCGAAGATCCATGTTCATCTACCAGGTAAGCTCAAGGGCACGCAAGCCTTTACTTCTTTGGGAAATGCTTGATAGCCTCAATGACCTAATCAGGAAAGGTAGAATGTCGATATGAGTGAGAAGATGATCATGTTCCCTGTAAACCTGGTGTGAGTTTTTTTTGAAGGGAAAAGTTAAACCACTCAAACCACTGCAAACCCTAGTTTATTTTTTTAGCCATCAAAAGCTTTAGCCATACATAATATATGCTCTGTACAAAAGTTAAACTTGTTACTGGAGTCTGGGACTAAAAAGCTTCGTTGCTATACAGGGGGTGAAAATGCAAGTAAAAATTCAGAGACCTAGGTACCTACTACCTAGCAACATCTACTTTCTGTCATTGGAGCGTTTCCATTTGCCTTCCACTTTGAAGACCAATTCGCCATTTTAATTCGCCCAAAAGTAGACGATCTAAATCACTTCCCCCATCGAAAACAGTAAATCTCATTCCTTTCTTGGATTCTTACTCATTGCCTTGACTCTCATTTTTGAATCTTCAAATAAATCTTTCTCATCAAAAGATCCACTTTCACTTCCATCCGCTCTTTTTATCATCATCTCTCTTTAGAAATCTTGATCGATAATCCGTATAAAGAAAGAGAACAATCAAAGATATCAATTCAAAAAGGATTTCTTTCTTCCTCTCTTGATGAATTAAATTCTCTCAGATACTCTTTCTTCCTTTTCTCTCTTTTCGTTCCGCCTAATTCGCCTCTACTATTCGCCTTTCGCGCGTTTAAATCGAAAACTAGACTCTACTACCTGTCATTCCATTCGCTCTTTATTGATTGAATAGAGCTTTTCTACATTATTATTATTATTATTATTATTATTGAAATTTCAATTCATTCAAGGCATTTTTGGATTGGATACTGAATTGGATTATCCTTCCTCGTTTCTCCACAACACTATACTATTTCAACAAACTACGCACACCAGGGCACTCTCGGCCTTGGATCTTTGATATTGGCCTTTGGACTGGACTTGGGACTTGGGACTTTGGACCTTCGACCTTCGACCTTGGACCTTGAACCAGAACAACTTAATTGATTACCAGGTACTTATTACTTTACTTACTTATATGCATACCCTACTTTCTACTTTCTACGCTACTGTGCGCACCTACCTTCACTCGACCATTCACACATAAACTCCTCAATCCACCCACCATCTTATCATCCACTCATCCACCCATTCATCCATTCACGACCATTCCACTCATCCCTCATCATCCACCTAGACCTTCTCTTATTTCTCCACATCCACAACCACGCACACATACATACAAAAAACACACAAAAAACACGCATCAACTTTTTTTTCTCCTCCCAATTTCTTTTATTTATTTTCTCTTGAAAAGAATTTAAAGTACTGGTCAATCCTTCCCAAGAAAACTTTGCTTTATTTTCTTCACTTCGAGACTTCCTTCTCAATCAAATCTTTTTCACACATCGACATTGTGGTTATCTTTTTTGACTTTCTTCAAGATACTTCCTTCTTCAATCGATTCGATTCATCAATTATCTTCCTTCATCCCAATAGAGATACTACATACAACACATTCAATAGATACTCTGTAATATTCCATCCAAAAACGATCACGAACACCAACTTCTTCGTCAACCTCATCGTCATCAAAAAAAACTTTAAGAAGGCCAGGCCATTCTTATCAGTCCGCGACCGAAAGCAATTCAATCTCATCTCATCTATACCACATTCTCGGAATTTTCCAGGTTTTTTTGTTCTTTGAATTAATCAGACCTTTTCTTGGAATCACCATCAAAAAGTTATTCTTCATTTACACAAAATACCTTGACATCTTCGATAAGAATCATTTCGATCAAACTCCACACTCTACACTTCACACACACATTCACCCTCCTCTTCTGCGATTTGTTTGTTGCTTGTGTCGAAGGAAAAGGCTTGCCTACTTTTCAACACCACCTCATCTCACCACAACTTTCGAGCTTCTTCCTCAAAGAATTACATTTTACAAAGCAAAACAACATAATTCCATTGAAAATCTTTCAACTTTACGTACATTACGAATCGATAATACTCTTTTCGATTTATCTTAATTTATTTAATACAATTCCACGTCCTTTACTCACTCAGGTCGACCTGATAATCCATCCTTACACGAAAAAATCACGTCAAATCGATAACATTCCCTTCGATCATTGACATTTACGAATCTACGAATCGAACGATTCCTTCTTTCAAACTCGCATCAACAATACCACTTTCAATTGTATAAAAACATCAAAATGGACGCAGGCGGTCTTGCTCAGATGTCTTACAACAACTTCTCTTCCAATAATGGCTTGGGTATGCCAGTTACTGGTTTCGCTGCTAGAAGAGCTGCGAATGGTTCCAATATCAAACGTCTCTCCTTTGAACCCACCAACAAGTCTCTTGATGCTCAGGATAATGGTGCACCAACTCCAAGAACATCTCGTTCTCATCTACTCGCAGGTTTAAGAACTGCACCAAAATCTGCCACTTCTGCCAACTTTCCATCAACTGCTCCACCTACTCAAGTTCAACACAACACTGGAAACAATGGAATGAACTCTAGCAGATATTCCGACAATGGACCAAAGACTTCTGGATATGCTTCATTCAATCAAGGAAATCATCAAATGAATCAACATCAGATGTATTCAGTTCCCGAACAAATTCTTTCACCACCTGAGATTCACATTGATGATGGAAATGATGGAATGGATCCAAATTTGTATGCTCAACTTGTTGCTACAAATTTGTATCTGGCAGAACAACAACAACGTCTTCAACAACAATTGATGAGTGTTCAAGCTGCCGCTCAACAAATGCAAGGAATGAATTTGAGTGGACAGTATTCAACTCCTCCCATCACCCCACAAAACATGGGAATGTATCAACAGCAGCAGATGAAACAAAACATGCAACCAATCATTACACCTGTCATGGGAGCTCAACCGGGTATTTATTCTTACTACAATCCAATGACTGGACAACAAACCTATTTCATGGATAACAGTGGTCAACAATATACCGAGTCACTAAACGAACAGAGACTTAGCTATTCTCCACCGCAACAACCTGGAACGCCAAGATTTCAAGTATCCCCACCACCCCCATCCGATACACCAACTTTCACTAGATCAATCAGTCCACCAAAGAAACCAGCATCACCACCACAAGATCATGCTCCTTTACCACCACCATCCGCTGGTGCTTTCCGTAGAGGACATCGTAATTCAAAATCGATGGCTATGTCTATGTCTGGTGACGTTGCATTGGATGGTCCAAAAACTGCAGGATTACCAAAATCTACTTTCCCAGGTACTCCAACTCAAGTAGGATTTGCTCCAGGTGCAGGACGTGCTGGTGAACATCCAGTGAGACAACCAAGAGGTCCACCACCTATTGAAGAATTGAAAGCCAAACCAACTGCAAAATTTGAAGGTTCCAAGAACTTTGCCACTCGAACTCGTCGAAGTGCTGTTCATAATCTTGTTCGTGCTGGTTTGGAACGTAGAAGAGCACCAGGCAGTGCATCAGGTAGCATGTCACCTGTTTCAGAACATGGTGAAATATCATTTTCAGTTGATGATAATGATTCGGATTCTGGTCGTAGTGGAAGTGGAAGTCTTTCAGGTCGTCCAAGTCCACCAAGTTCTCGAACATCTCAACATGGTGCTATTGGTTCTAATAGACCTAGTTCACGACAAAATTCTCCCGAGATGAAATCAGTCATCTCTGTTGATTCATTCACTGCTGAGAGTGTTTCCGGTGATGAACAAATTGGTGGTAGCTTTGCTGCTGTTTTTAAGAACGGTGGAAAGAAGCCTGAAACGGCTGATGTTCAAAAGAAAGCACCAATGCTTGTTCTCACTAGCGCTGAGAAACGTAAAAGTTCCATCTTTTAAGATGATCATGTCATCAATTTGGGTAGATCCCATCTTTTTTGATTATTCGATCTCTACCTTCACTTGTTGAACAAAAGAAACAATTTGATATTGAATTCAACATTGTCCATATTTTGACACGGGGAATTGGTTTATTTTTTTGTGTCAAATTTTACGAAGATGACGAATACTTTTCTGAGAAACAAATTCTTAATTAATATTGGAGGAACTTTTTGAGCTTTTTAGTCTCATGGTTGACCTTCATTTGTTACATCGATTTTATTTTCTCGTCTTTCGTTTTGGGGGTTCCTTTTTCGAGATTGGATTTTCCATTATATTCTCGTACATTTCTTGATACTGAGGAATTGTTTGACTTTAAAGAATTTTCTTCGATTCATAGTCTTCAAATTACCGAAGTTGATAAGGAGTGAGGATAGGATATCTTTTTCAAAGGTAAAGGAAGGATCTTTCGTAGGATGGAGGTGAAATGGATTGGGGATACATGTTTGGAATTTTTTCCCTTGTTCTTTCTGGGAATGGAATGGTCAATGGAAATTGTGATATGATTATATGCCTGGGTTTTATTACTCTCTTTTTTATTTGCTGTCTTTTCTGGGGCTGGGGGTTAAGGAATAGGAATAGGAATATGAACCTGTTGATCAGATTTGGAGGAAAATACCAGTTTGGGATGGGGGACATGGTGTGGATTGAGGGAGATGGTAGAGGAGAAAGTGAAGGGTTGTGTATCGGGGGTGAAGATTTGATAAGGTGTGAGATTAAGTGGTGGTGCTGGATGGATAAGAAAAGAAGAGATGTGTGGAGTTGAGGATATATTTGTAGCAATATGAAATACCATTCTTTTTGAGATTAATCTTTTCTGATGGGATGAATGTGATTGATTGTGGCATTATGTGATGTAAATGTATAAACGCGAATATGAGATATTCAATAAATAATATAATTATATATTTATTACATTATTCCATTATCAGAAGTTGAGTAAATGTGTACTAACAGATTTGAGATGAGATAAAGAGAGGGGAAGATTATTTAAGAAAAAAGGGATAAAGATAATCTATAATTTATAAATTTGAATAATTTGAAAATTTTAAATAAATTCATAAACATAATAAAATTTAAAAGAAAATGAAATTTATTATCCATTAATCTCATGATTAAAAATTCTAAAGATGGTATCTATCTTAAAAATAAACTCAACGATTGTCTTGTCTTGTCTTTCTTGAATATGGAGGTGAAAAAGTAAAAAGTAAAATGCCTTTGTCAAGGTTTATCAAGTGCTATTATCGATCGCACTGCAATATCTCTTCTCTACGTATACACTTTCGTTCGACTTTCCACTAAATATCTTTCCTCCTTAATAGACGAGAAAAAAAAATTAAAAAAATTTCCAAGAAATCCTTTTACCTATTCCTATGACCGACCTGACTCACTCACTCACTCACCCGATAATAAATCCACTTCAATTCCCCCACCCCTACCTAAACAAGTTCCTTCCTCGCCACACCAGCTACATCATTCCCAGTACTAACACCCCTAGTATCAAGTTCATTCTCCACCCACTCCTCATCCTCAAACCTATAAAGTTGCGGTTCTGGTTCCCCCTTCCTCCTCAAAAGATATTTCCTCGCCCACCAGGGAAATTGCTCCCGAATTTGAAACTTCGCATGCGTTCTCGTCGGTACCGCAAATACATAGTCTAATTCCTCCAGTGTTCTCTGTTTAGTTTCGGGGAGGAAAAAGAAAATAAGTGCGAACGCGAGGAGATTTAATCCGGCGTAAAATCCAAATACTCCCTGTGGTTTCATGGCTGAGAGCATACGGGGAAGAGTGAGGGAGAGGACTGAGGCCCAGAAATTATTCGTGGCGACCGCCCAGGACATGCCGATTTCTCGATGAGAGAGGGGGAATACTTCTGCGGAGTAGGTGAATGGGACGGGGCCTTCGCCGGGGGAGTAGGCTATGTCGAATAGGTAGATGAAGAATGCTACCATGCCGATGTGAGCTTTAGATGATTCGGGGATGAAGTAACATAATCCTGCCGCGAGAAGTGTCCAGAACATTTGAGGAAATGTGAAGAGAAGAAGGGTTCGACGGCCGAAAGTGTCGATGGTCCAAACGGCTGGCCAGGCGAAAATAAAATTGATAAGTCCGAAACCGAAAGAGGCGAGAAGAGCACCAATGATGCTTGCACCTGCATTTTTGAAGATCGTAGATGAGTAGAATGCGATAATGTTGACTAATTAGCAGAAATTGGTTAGTGAATTATCGCATACATAAACTTCCTCGATGAGATGAAGAGATAAAAAAACAAAAGAACATACTTCCACACATCTGTTGAGCAATCATAACAATACCCGAAGCCTGCGTCGCCCGTCTCAATCTAGGTACTGTAAACAATTCAATAAACCTCGTAAACATGTTCCCATGTTTCGCCAAACCAGATTGTTCCAATAAACGATCCTCATAATCCAACTGCGCTTGAATATAATACAAATCTCTCGCGGCCTGAAGTGGCGAATTTCTCAATCGTAATAGAGATCTGTAAGCTTTCGCGACCCGTCCTTTTTTCAATAACCAACGAGGTGATTCGGGACAGAAATATATCCCAATAACGAGAGGAATGGCAGGAACAAGCGCAGATCCAAATTGTAAACGCCAAGCCAAAGCACCGGAATGTACGAAAACTAAATTAGCACAAGTACCGAGGAAAATGCCGAAAGCGGTCCAGACTTGCCAGGACATGACGAGACCACCGCGAATATTTGTGGGGGAGTTTTCGGCAGAGAAGACGGGGACGGTTACTTCTTTTAAGCCCATTCCTACTCCGAGGAGGATGCGACAGGCCATTAGTTCGCCGTAGGTTTGGGAACATCCCATGCCGATTGGGGCGAGGAGGGAGAAGACTGCTGCGATGAAGATGGTACCTCGACGACCGATGTAGTGATTTACGGGGTCGGAGATCCAGGCGGTGCTGTATTGAGTATGTGGTTAGTTTCGTCAGGAGAAGAGTGGACTTAATTGAGGGTGAGGAGTTTTCCGACGGACTATCATGGTAGATGAGATACTGCGTAATGGTAGATAACCATATCGCACACCAGAACTTCGTAAGATAAAAGAGAAATTCGAACAAGAAGTACTCACAAAAGACAGATAGCCATATAAGGCATTGCATTAATAGCACCAATAATCCAAGCATTTCTATCACAAGTACCTTGAGCCTCACAAGTTGGACCTGTATCTGGAATACCCAACGCCTCTCCAAAAGTAAGATTTGCACCATTTGAACCTATTCAAACTTATTAATATCCTCAGAATCACAAAGGTTCAATATGAGATGAATTACCAGTTTGATCCCACTATACGACGAATACGTTAGTTTTATTTAATTTCAGCTGGAAGAAAGACCACAAAATATAAAGGTCTGGGGGAAAAAAAATAAACTCACACCCTGAATAGCAGCAGCAATAGAATTCAAAATAATCGTCATGTAAAGTTGTTTAGGATGTTTCCAACGATGCGTAACCTCCTCACTCAAAACCCTTCGATCCTCATCATCAAGTTCAACAATTTTATCCGCATGAGAGGGACTTTGAGCAACAAGAGCACCTTTGGTAAGAACGGGAAGGATTTCAGTAATACCATGTTTATTTGCGAATATTTCGACATCTTGAAGAAGTTGATGTTTTGGGATACCGATGAGTGGATTACGGATTCTAAGTTGTGAATGAAGATTAGTGAGGGGAAAGTGAAAATCAGAGAAGATAAACGTACTCTCCTGTTGGATTTGCGGATAGTTGGGTAAGATCGATTTTTCCTTTACTATGGAATTCTTCTGCTTGTGTTCCACTTTCTACTTTTTCGTCGGCAGAAGCTATGTCGCCAGTATTGCTGGAGTCATTTATCGCACTATCATCAATTCTGTCAGTAATAAACTTTGGAGAATTAATAGCACATCAGTGGATACATACCCTTTATCGTGCGTATTATGCGCGCCGGTTCCATCAGCCATTTCGAAGATTGATATTTTATTTGATTACTTCAAAATAATTTGTGTCTGGAAGACAATCAATACGTTTATAATAAATTGTAGATTGTGGTTAAAGTCCCAAGACCGAGGACCGTTAATTTTCTAACAGGATATTGTACAGCCAAGCAGACGAATGACCAACCATCCGGAAGGGAATCATAAAACCACAAGAAAAAGTTTTACGACTGAATCAGACGGGAACACAAGATTTTAAGGAAGCCATAGGTGACTGACAGACCAGATGCATGAACATGCATACAACGCCTTGCGGATGATTCACCATATCGGTGATGCCCGCACCGATACTGAGTAGTTTATGCCTCAAATTGACAGTAATCATGCGGAATCGTATATGAACTACTCACATCTCATATGAATAAAAATCCCAACCTCAGAACTACCCCACATTTGAATCCTTGAAGCTGACAGAATCCTAGTATGCATTGTGTTACATGAGAATAAGACCATCCCTTGGTCAACTTCAAAATATTGGTCGATACACAGTGAATAATTTTGTGGCGTGAATAGCTTCATCCAATTTGCTACTCGGCCTGCACAACTGAATAACGTGATTAGGTGTCACCAGAGCTTTGTTGGTCGTATAAACATTTATGATTACATGGCCAAGGTTTTCATAAATTAACGTGGCTTGCAAGAATTCACAATGGCGAGTTGGCTTGAGAATAGCTGCAAGTAATAGATAGTTCCAATACGTAAAAAACGATTTATTGTTGGTAAATATCCATACTTGAAATCATGAATAAAAAGAGCTGATTTTCGTCGGTGAAGCTTATGGTTGTCCAAGAATCCATTTCCAATCATTTGGGCGTCGCGAATAACCCGAACAAGTAACTCATCACAAGTGTGGTGTAACTTTTGGTACGACAATAATCGAATGATATGTAAGGAATAAGGGTAGATTGCGCAAGAGGGCGGATAAAAAGTAAAACAATGATTCAAATACATCTGCAAGGCACCGGTTAAAACTTTCCAAAGACTTTGGATATACGGAGTAGAAAATTGATCTTGCGATGAAGGCTGCAACCAAAACCCCTAGATATAAGTGAGCAGTTAAAGTCCAGCAAGATCTTTGTGGAACATTAATCGTTCAAAACTATATTGCTGAGCCGCGTACGAAAGGGTCAAAATTTAGCCTAGTCCTCGAATTACTAGTCTTTCCAGGAAAGTGACATACTTTCCAAATCAATATAAGATCTTACACAAAATGTATGTGAGAAAGTTCCTAGCACTCTATTCACCATCCTATTCAAAGGTTGCGGCGTAAACTAGAATAAAGTGTATTTCTAATCCCACGTGAGTCCCAAGGGATTTAATTCAATAGACCAACGCTCCGTTAAGAACGACTTCCTATACGAGAAGATGTTCCTGCAGTTCCTAAAAAACTGCATCGCTGGGAAAAAGTCAAAAAGTTTGCTCAACCATTGACTCGAAATCTCATACACCTCAATTCGACCTAGCTTTCCCTCCGACACTCGCATTAAAACCCTTCTGCATCCCAGGCAGTTCCTGAAGGATTAGCTTCAATGTAGTTAGCTCTCTTCATTAAAATTCAGAAAGTGGTATACTTATCCCCTACTCGGAGGGGTTGCCTCAATACTTTGTGCAGAAGCATGAGACAACCCAGGACTACCAACCCATTGGCCTGTCCTTAATTTAAATCCCCAAATGCCCTGACCATCAACCCACTAGATATATTCCCATCATGTACAACTAAAAAGATATAGAGGCAGAATCATTCAAAGAATTTGACAAAGTGTTCAATGCTACCCATGACAGACAAGCACTAAGCTTTGACACCAACACGAGATGGGTCCCATCATGGACACTAAAGTACTTTTCATCTCCATGATGAATGATCTGAAACTATCCCCATTAGAGTAAATGACTTTAGGATAATCTCATCATCACATTCCATCATTTTCCCCTCACAAACAAATCATTCCAGACCAAAACTTTCATCAACCCATATAAGAATTGAAACTCTTTGTGAAGTGATCATCCCGAATTCCAAATCATATTAGGGTCGTGCGACATAAACGATCAAATACCTCAGCGTAATTCGAAAATTCTCTCTGTTTGAAAAGTATAGTCCACGGAGATAAGTTTTTGATTCCTCTGCCATAGCAGGGCACAAACGGACAAAAGACATCAACAAAAGCCGTGAACATCTCTAACAATTACGAAAGAGGAAAGGGAACAAACATCCTAGAATGTCGTACAAACTACCAGCGTCTTTCATCGCCCTAAAGTATGTTATAGAGGAGAAAGTTAATGCGGATGATCCTAGTCACATCCAAATGAATGACAAAGCCTATGGTTGATACCGCGGCAATGGTCTTGAGAAATGAATGCGTACATAAAAGTACGAAGCATTGGGATGAGAAAGGTTGGAGACAAGATTCACCTCCAAAGGAAGTAGAATACAATGAAAACGGAGTAACTTCACTATCGAAGAACCACGTTGACTCATCTCTCTAGATGTTCATGGCGAAAATACCCAAAGACCTAGACTTCCGGAGCATGGTAATACGATTTTCTTCAAATGATAAACATTTGAAGGACAATTCTTCCTGCAATGTTCATTCCCAAGACCACCCACAGCAATGAGTCTTTGGTCAAGGAAAATATTAGAACATGCAATCCGAACAGCCTGTTTGTAATCTTCAAAAATATTCTGCTCAGTCTTCATCCCTTGAATAAACCCGTCATGTAATCTTCGAGAGTGTATAGAGAAACCGCAACGATTCGTGATAGCTTATATGAAGACCCTCATGATAACTTCTCAAGGAAGAATCAGTTCCATCTCAAATTGGCTCTCCTTTCCCATACCAACTTGCATTATCGTCGAAGACAACCATGTTGATCAAAATCGTCCAGCCAATTTCCCTGACGAGCGTCCCTGCTGCGGGATCTTACTAGAATAGCTCATAGCAGAAATCCGTTTTATCATCTTTCGACATCTGGACTATTTTTATCTAACTTTTCGACCTTTTGTACATTCCTCAGTCGCGTAACCTTTCGGCTTCACAAAATTGGTCCGAGACAAAATTTCTATTCAGAAAGATAAATTGAAACCGCAAAGCTTTAAACCGGCGATTTATTTAGGGTTAAGTTCTGATTCGTATGATTCCTTTCGGAATATCGAGCCAGAGTCTGTGGGGTAGACGATATACTTGGTTTGTAGGATGAGAGAGGGTTTTCGAATTCGTCGCATTTGATCGAGGTATTTGGTATCGTAAATGTAGGCTCGTTGCTATGTGATATAAGAATCGAGGTTGGAGCTCTTCGAGTAGCAATTAAATGGAAGGATGTAGGTAATGAGTACTGGAGTTTATTGTTAGCAAAGATTTGCAAATGATGATATAAGAGGTGATGATGTTTTGTTTATGATGATGAAGGGGGAAAAGAAGATGGTGGAAGTTTCGCGTTCGCGTAAGGCTGAATTCCAACGCGACACGCTAGTTGACAGCCTAATTTTTAAGCTTTAAGCTTGAACCCCTAGTCTTGCCTTAGGCCTTCGAGCATCGTGGGTTTTGGAGCAGGGAGGTGAAGTAAAAATGGGTACCAAGTATGTGGACTATGTAGTATGGGCTTTCTGATTGTCAAAGACAACATCCACTCTTCGTATCTACTTTACCAAAACAGAAGCCTCTATATAAATCTCACTCAAAAGGTCGATGTGACCAGAAGTATGATTTCGCTCGAGAGCTTCAAGCCCAGTTCAATCTCACAGGCTCTGCAAGTGGTTTCTGACGATGGAAATATCTGCTTTAATGTAAAGTTTCTTCACCAAATCCAACCCTGTCATAAAGGACGAGACATATCTAAAGGATTTTAGTGAAGATCGACTTACTTAATATCAATCAGGAGTCGCTTCATATAAGCTCATGAGGTATTTCGATTTGAATATGCACGGATTTCCGTGCATATGCAGATAGTCGGTCTTATTAGATTCTAGAGACACGGTTACATCACCTAATACCTCTTCAAGAACGAAAAAGGAGTCCGGACTTCAAGGGAACCGTGCCTACCATGGACGAACTTCCCATTCGGTTATGATCTCCTAGAAATCAAAGCGAAAGACAAGAGATCAAGGTACCAATGAAAGTAACTTGAAGAATTGTGATTGGGAAGTAATGCTGTAGAGAAATCAGAATATCAAATGAGATTAAAATCAAAAGAATGATTTTCTAAATGTCAATAATAGTTGGCTATTTGAAAGGCCGACTATCTCGTAGTCGGGGAAAGAGAATGTCCTCGGAAAGCGAATTATCTTGTTTTTTAATTTTAATAATTTTTAATCTCTATATTATTTATATATTTATTATAATACAAAAATTCAAAAAGAATTAATATTTCTTTTCCAAATACTTTTATAATGATATGCAATTCGTAACTAATAGTAGAGTATACTAAATGATTGATCTTGAGCACGAGGCTCTACAGGAAGGAATTCATGCTGAATATATAGGTCCTCGTAATTCTTGGATCACTCAGGATCACTGATGATCCAAGGTGATCCAGCATACCTGTTCATATGCTCTGATGGTGCGTGTATATGAGTTTTTAGGGTGACCGAAATCTCATATTAAATTGAGCGAATCGTAACAGATTTACATATGGCTCAAGCTTACAAAAACAAGTCAGCTGTTACCATCGTAACAAAGAGTATCACAATTCAGAGAATTATTTCGGCCTCTCCAGGCGTTACGAGGTTGCGGTCTAGATCACGTGGAAGTGCTCAAGACTCGAGGTAGTTTATAACTAGATATCAAATAGAGACTTAAATAACAATAGTAATGATTGCAATTCGTAATTGATAATTAGATTATAATAAATGATTGACCTTGGGTACATAGCTCTACAGTAAGGAAGTCTATTCTGACTACATAGACCTTTAGGATTTCGAAAGGTTTTGAACCTAAGGATCTAATGGATCTTTATCTTTCGTACATATTATATAGGGTTTATTATATGATTAGATCCCGCAATACAGTGCTTTGTGAAGTCCGATGCAATACGAGGCCAACTCACATACATATATAGCCCTTTTGGTCGTCGATCTGTCGATCGTTAGGCGTAAATCCTAAGGAACAATTGGACTCTGGGTTTCCAGCAGTTTATGGCAACTGCGTCACAAAGAGTGGTTGTCTGAAAGTGGGGTACTAGACCCGTAAGGTTGAAGCGGGATAATTCGCTTTCCGGGGATATTCGCTTTCCCCGACTACTCCGTACTTCGTAGTCGGCCTTTCAAGTAGCCGACTATTATCAAAGCAGATGTATCAAATGACAAAATACCAAGAAAGTTCCGGACACGGTATCGTGGTCGATTGTTGATTATGGAGGCTGAAGATTGGAAATCCAAAGCGGTTGTGAGCGGGATGATGTTTATTTTTGACACTTCGAAGCGCGACAGCAACCATGTCTGTGCAGTGTGGACGCCTTTGCCCTAATTGCTTCATTGGGTCGTTAATTGCATAATTTTTATATTCGCGAGATAATAAGATTTCATGTTGTTTTTGTTAAAGTAAATACAATGTTGGATTTTTGGGATGAATGGGACGAGTATCATGTTCTATTCTCTAAAATACCGAGATTATCACGCCGAAAACACGTCATCATGTGATTATATAAGACTTACCTAGCTCTGACCAAGTATGTCATGTGATTATCTAAGGCTTACTTACCTACGGTACTGCGTAAGTGTCCAGTATTCCAAGTTACCGTGCGGGCGGGCGGTGGTTAGTGAGTATATTCCACTCCACTTAAATATGGGCCGCTATTCCTCTTGCAGTTTACCATTTTGGGGGATGTGCTTAAAAGTGGAGTGTGACATATTGACTTGGCAGCACGAGTGTTCATCATCAATTGATTAACTACCTACCTAGCTAGTAAGATCCTAGCTACCTACCTACCTACTTACTATTTATCTACTGATGCCTCACATCATTCACTCATCACCACATACTTCAATACTTCAATACTTCACAAAGAAACCTTTTATCACCACCCACCCCCCTGGCCTTATTGATCTTTTTCATTTGATTCTCGTATTGCCTGTGCCTCTTTCATAGCAGCATACCGATCTTCCCGAATCACAAAGTCCGGCTTTGTCTGTTCGCTAAACTTCCGTTTCTCATAAACAATCTTCCTATCTGTATTGATCAGTCACCACTCCAGCGATGGATTTACAGAATTCATCCCCCGAAATCAACAGTGAAAGAGATCCGAAGCATGATATTATTGAAGAAGTCGATCTCTATATGGCTTCTTTCAAACTCGATGCAAATGAAAGACGAGAGACATTCCTTTTAGATACTGAGCAGCATTTGATTGATTACCAATGTCGTAAAAATGCTTCGCTCGAGGCTTTTGATCGACAGAACGACAAGTTAAAATACGATTTTCAGGATGAGATGCATTTACATCAACTTGGCTTCCGTTGCGAGCAAAAGAAGCTTGACGACGAGTTTCGAGAGGAACAACAGAGGACGAAAAGGAAATTCAATGATGCTGAACATATTTTACAAATAAGGCACAAATCTCCATTTCCACAGCAAGTTTTAGTAAGTAACTTGGAGACTCCCATTGCTGATGATCGATTATACTAATTTATTTTGGAAGGAAAACGGTGCTTCGTCAACACGAAGACTCACTCAACCTGCATATGTTTTCGAAGGATTTCCCCATCTTCCCGTGGAACTTCAAATAATCATATGGCGTATGGCAGCAGAGAACAAGAAACCTGACCGCCATTCTCTTGTGCATTATGGAAAAAGTGATTATTTTAATAGAGGTTTCCACCGACGCGTTTCCAGCGCCATATCAATTAACTACACGGGTTACGAGCAGATTAACCCGGGAAACAAGTCCTCGGGCAAGAAAAACATTCCAGCTGTACTTCATGCATGTAGTATTGCACGGGAGGTGGCCAAAACAGTGTACACATGCCTACCGATAGAGTATGGTGAGAGAATCATGGATGAAGGTCTATCGCGACAGGCCTATTTTGATCTGATTAATGACGAATTCTTTTTGCCGTGGAAAATGGCTTTACCCAGGCTTCGCTGGACAGAGCATCGAATTATTGTCGACCTTCTGATCAGACATCACGCCACTAAGAACCAATGGAAAAGTCTTCCAGTAGCATTAAGGGAACATGTTGAAAATATGTTAGAGATTCGAAATCTCCAAATGGACCTACGTGCCTTTGTCACGGTTCCTCCTCATATTTGGGCAGAGTTTTCGATGCTTGAATGCTTGACAATATTGATCCCACCAAGGGACAGCAGAGATATTTCTATGCATGATCATACTTTCAAGCCCAAGCCTGGTTCTAAATTTGGCAAACGTGCTGACTGGATATGGGGCTACTGCTATAAATTACTGAGCAGTGTCAAAAAAGATTTCCCCGACTGGAGACATCCCAATATCAAGGTTCACCTAGTCGATTATCCGGAATGTGAAGAAACTTACGAAGAGGCAAGCCCTGAGGAATACGACAAAGTACATTCAACCCCTCCTCCTGGGGATGAATTGCATATTCCATTTCCAGGTTGGCTTGATCATCTAGAAAGGGCTGTCTCTCCTACACGGAATACTAATGTTTATCTGCCTAAGAAATCGGAACTTGATGAAGGCGATGATTTCGAATGGTATAGAATGAACAGATTACCCAAATTTTCGTTTGAAGTAACAAAGAAAGACTTGCAGTTTGAGCACCTGTGGCCATTTGATGTTGATGAAAGTGAGAGGTCAGGCTAAGCACAATTCGAGCCCTTGTAATCGTCAAATCGAAGGAGTTTGAAGTGGCCGATGTGAGATATTGTGGAAGGTGTTCAGTCCAGCAGAACCAGTGGTACTATTTTGGAATTTTCATATTTTGTCTATATTTGCCAATATTTCCTAACACAGGGGGCTCATATATTGCGAGACACGGACGGGAGTAATCTGGGGATCTTTTTACAAGATGAAGATATGGGCATGTAATCACTATCTGGAGTTTGTCAAGGGACATTATTTTCGTTGTATTTATATAAGGCTGGACCAATAAGAAATTTAAGTAGCTGTAGAATTGTATGAATGGCAATTCATCATAGAGACTTAAAAGATGAATTGAATTTTTCAATTTCAAAAAACTTTTTTCTTCCCTGGAAGAAGAAGAATAATAACAATAATTGTCTTGATTATAAGGACCCCGTCACTAGTAATTTTTCTTTTCCATCAGAAGGTTACAGCAAAAAGAGATAGATGGAAACTACCTAATTCAAAACGTCTACATCCACACTAGAATCACCTGTTAATGATATGATAAATTGTTCATCCATTCATCCATTCATTCATCGACTACAAAACTACCTAGGTATTTATTTATTGATTAATATCGGGGTTTGGGTTTGGGTCACCAGGTTTAGATTTAGGTTTGCATTTCGTTCCGGCGGAATGGAATGGGAATGGAGATTTATGGGGTACTCCGTACTTGTATTATTGGGGTCGGGGTAGGGATAGGGGTAGGTGGGGCTGGGGCTGGGGCCGAGGGAATACTTCGTAGGTCATTTGATGTATTATTGATTACTCTGTAGATTGATGGGTGGATGGGTGGATAGGTGGAGAGATAGGTAATAGATTATTCTAAACTCTGTTTTTTTACTAAATACCCGAGTATGTCCGTAGTCTTTTTTTGGGGGGGAGATTCTTGAAGTGATGTGAGTTCGTCTGATAATTCTTGTATGAGTAATAATAGCTTTGTGGATACATAACCTAATCAGGAGATATTTTAACCTCGCCACTTCTACCTCCTGACGCACGACACATTCTATTTTCGCCTATCTAAATTCAAACATCATCACAAATCAAAATATTAATATATTCTTCCTCCCAAGACGTAGCCTTCCCCAAACATCACCCAACCCATACAACACCACCAGAACACCACAACCCCACACTCCACCACAATCCCCTACATATCCCTAGTATTCCCATTATCCGTCCCTCTCAATTCCAACTCCTCAGCTTTAGCATCCAAACTATTCAATTCATCCTCCTGATCATCAAGTTTATGATAACAAAAATAAAACACAATCCCCGCCCCAAAACTTCCACAAGCAAGTCCCACAAACATCCAAAGGATCGTCGGATTACCCACCAAAGGAATAAAAGCCTGACATAGCGCGAATCCAAACGCATTAGTGAGTAAAAACATAGCTTGCACGAATGATTTCATCGATACAGGTGCTTTCGTATATGCATATTCGAGACCGGTAACCGAAGCGAAGATTTCTGATATACCGATGAAGATATAAGCAGGGATTTGAATAGCGAAATGGACGTCATTGGGTTGGATTGTTCCATCAGGTAGAACGGCGGCGGGACATTCGAGGGGTTTGCCGTAACATGGTCCGGCTTTGTAGATGAGGTGTTGCACGATGGCTGCATACATCATGCTTAGACTTGCGACGATAAATCCAAATGTGATACGAGAGATGGGTCGGAATTTTATGTGCAATTTGCGGAATAGTGGGTATACGAATCGATCTATTACTGGAACGAGGAGGATAATAGCGATAGGATCGAAGTTTTGAGAAAGATCGTTGGGTACTCCGTGGGTATTCATTTCTCCGGCTTGTGAAACGAAGTTACTAGAGAATTGGGCGTAGACGACCCAATAGATGGGGTAGAAGACGAAGACGCGACAGGCTATTAATGCGCGCTTTACTTCTTCTACGAATTGATCGTTCCATTGAGTTGATTGTGGGATATTGTTTGCGGCTTGATAGGAAGGTTTGGCCGCGTCTAGTTTTCGGTGCTTTATCATTGTTCCAATGACTTTAAATGCATCGGTGATTACTGTTCCCTTTGGTGGGCGAACAATATATCTCTTTCTTCCTAAAAGTAGTGTGCCGAATCCAATAAGGAAAACGCATAAACACAGAAGGAAAGCAGACCAAAATCCAATATCTCGTTCCATGTATGGTGTTGCGAGAAGAGAAAGAGCTCCAATATTGATACACCAATAAAAGATCAAATAAATTCGCTGGACAGTAACGGTTGGATCGATAATTACACGCTCACCATTCTCAAGGACCTTAATTGCCATTCGTTTACGGGTATATTGATCAGCTATTAGAGGACTGACGTTGGATTTTATACCTCCGGTTCCAACACCAATGATGAGAATGGCGGTGATGAAGCCTCCTAATCCGGCTCCATTTTGAAGTGAAATTGGTAGGGATGTCAAGACGAGAACTAGGAGTCCGACCATATAGACGATGGCAAAGTAGCAAATTGCCTTGAATCGACCAAGATATTGATCGGCAACGATGGCACCGAAGATTGGGGTAACTAGTAAGATATGAGCTATCAACGCGGTGAAAATGACGGACAGGAACTGACATACAGTAACACCACATGGAAAAGAATACGGTAAGAGCAGTGGCAGTTCGATGTCCAAGGCCTACAAGGTTAGTTAACGGTCCTAATGCAAGGTGATTAAATTCTTACCAAGAGCACCTCGACCCAAAGAACCATCTAAAGGTCGTTGAACATAATTTTGAAATAATCCAACGCAGCCATAATATGAGAATCTCTCACATAATTCTACAATAGCAACAAGCCAAGCGGACATGGGCAAACTATCACCAACTAAGATATTATCAGCTTCTCTATCACCTATGATTTGTAAAATTGCTACATACTACGTCGCAGAGTTCTCCTTTCTTCATCAGTGGGCTCTTCTTCATTTATTATGGTCTCCGCTCCGAAACTACTTTGTCTTGCGTCTGCGGTGAGGGCTATCTCATTTTTTATACTCTCCGTACGAGCTAGATTTGAAGATATGGTGTTACCACTCATTCTTGGAGCAGTCTCGGCCTGAGTCTGCTTCTCTGCTCTGAAAGGTAAGTTAGCATTTAATTGCGAACGGTTTGGGAATAGGTTCTTACTGTTGACCCGACATTTGGAATCGTTGTTTGCGAATGGTGTAAAAGTTTAGATGTGGGAGGTCAACAAATTATATGGAACCTTGGCTAGTGGTTTGTTGATGTCACTAATTTGGGGATTCTCTCCTAGATAAGGTAGGAAATAATCTATCATTTTAAGTGCCATGGTTTTTTTAACCAAAGTTGACAGTAAATGGAAATAGGAAAGGTTGAAGAGCAGGACTTGGAAATTAGAGCCGCTGTCAGTACTGCTTTGGGACATAATCTACATAGCTATTAATTGAGCATCAAAGCTATTAAAGAGACTATCAGAGTTGGTGGGTATATATGCTATGTGGGACTACCCCGGTCTTGGCTCATGAGAAGTATTAAAGATGGGAGATCTCAACCTCATAGTTGCCAATTGAAGTAATGGTAAACCTTGGCGAAACGGGAAATAGCTCGTGTACCTCAAAACTATATGCAAGGTCTTGATGGAAAATTTGGAATGCTAATGAATGAAGATGAATTATGTGAACAGGTAAAGAAAGGGGTGAAAGTGAAAAGGAACAATATCTGATTTAGTTAGGCATCACTATGCTCAGACGCGCTCTGCTGAATACCGAAAAAGATACTTCCAACTTTTCTCTTAAATCACCTACCCCCCAAGGGCCTCTTACCTTATCATTTCCCGTCATCCGTCGCTTTTCGCCCTAGTCTACTCAATGAAGATATACACTTGTATTTATCTCCATCCCAACAGATAAACTCGCAACATCCCATTCGCTGCGAGAAGTTTAGCTTCATATTGAATGATAACAAGTATCAAGAAAAGCTATGATCATGAATCTAGACACAAACTTAGCCATGCGGGGTTGCAATCGATGTACACCATGATTGACCCCATCGGTTAGCATCCGGCTATAATTGACGGTTGCCAAGGACAAAGAGTTCTGCAGTAGATAGATATACAACCTGGTATTCAAAATCCAGATTTTTAACCTACTACACCATTTACTTTCATGGCAGCACCACCACGCTTTGCGATGTGTAAAAAGAGACTTCTTCTGCCATAACCACTTTGTTATGAAACGGATGCACCGAAGGCATCGGTATGGATGGGAACGCAAAATTATTCGTAAAGATTTGTAGAGTTCGATTAAAACAAATAGCATTTGTATTCCAAGCTTTGGTATTAGTATCTGCAGATCCTATTACCAACTGCAACGAACCTGTTTGGACCTGATGAAGGAGGTGCTGAGTAGTGTAAATAAGGTTTTCGTTTATCAAGAAATGACGGCAATGGCAGAACCCGTTTGGAAGCGGTGAGCGAACGATACTACTACCAAGACCAGGAGATCTTCACGCGGACACCGAAGTAGAGTGAATTTGAAGATTTGATATACAAATAGAATGAAGGGGAAAGGTTCTTATTGTGGGTGTGAAGATGGTTATCTTGTTATTGGAGCAAGTAGGACAAGCGGTAGAAGGAATTATTCTTAGTTGTTTGAAATGAGTTGAAAAAAAGGTGCATTTCTTGTATGATAAACCTTGGACCGAAGCCTTTCGACACACAAACTCCTGCACAAACATCGAAATTTGGTAAATCACACCCGATGTACTAAAGGATTTCTCTAAAGAGATGATTTTGTGGTGATTGTCGTAATGATGGTGATGTCCCTTATTCCCAGCTATTTGTAGTATTGTAAAGGGCACAATCCAGTAATGTGACCGTCAAAAAACCGCAGAAGGGCAAAAACGTCGCAATCTGGCGCTCCTGCCTCTTCCAACAATCAGGCATCATTGTATTTATATTGTAAATATAGTATGATAGAGAAAATCACACGGTTGGAATCTGAAACCCAAGTATGCATCAAATGATCGTTGCTTGATATCCTTTCTGGTAATGTTTTCCTAAGGGATGATTTCTTGATTGTGATTTCGATGGAGCTTATTATAGAAGCCGATTTAACGACATGACCGGCACTATGAGTTTAACTATTTTCGTATCTTTTCTGATTGGTTTGACGGAAGCAAAGTGGTCACATGAAAACCAATTTCAGGTTTTATTTTTTAAGAAGACTAAAGCTGCATATATAACCCCAAAACGTATAGGTTTGTGGCCTGGATCAAGGTGATAACCTTCCTCTTGTCTCAATCTTCTCCCCTTGGTCGGCATTGAAATTTTTTAAAGAACATGATCAAGTTTTCGTCTTTGCCGTCTCCGATCACAACAAGCATAAAACCACTCCGCTGCGATTCGGAATACAAGTATTAAAAATAACACAAATGCAATCCCACAAAGTATAGCTGCTACTAGAACACTAGTGAATCGGCTTATATCCCGAACGCTTTGCAATGGAGTATTATCAAGAGGTACTACAGCCAGTTCCAACTGCAAAGCATTCAAGATAATTGATACTATTCCAAGAATAAACAAAAAAGGACCATAAAAACGTCCAAAATAAGCACCATATTGGCCATAGACTTTATGGAAAATGCTTTTCCCAAGAATAATCTTGACATAAAAATTTAATCTTGAAAGACATATCTCTCCAAATGCATAACGTCCCGTAACATCGCCATCATCGATTCTGCGGAGATCTGAAACAAGTCTGGAGAAGGATTCCCATGTCGTTGCTTCTGGTAAAAGCCTCCTTTCTATAGCAATATTGAAATCGGATTCATACTGTACGAGATATCGATAAGTACGAAGAAAGCTGAGTGCTGAGCGTTTAATAATCTCTCTCTCTGAGCCCAAGGGCGAAGTAGGTGATATGAGATAGGTATGCCAGAAATCGAAAGATAATAAATATTTTGGTACAGGTTTGATGAAGATCTTGCCGTAATACCAAATCTGATGAAGCTCAGGATTCTCCGAAATGACGATATCGCGTAATTTAACACCTTGATGATGGAGAGGTCCAATATGTGCGCTTGATTGTGTGGACATCCACCATAGACGAGGGGAGATTTTCTCTAATACTGGTGTACGAAGATCTTTGGATATAAAGGTTGCCAGTTCCATTGTATCTTGAAGCAAAATTTGAAAATAGCCAGGTAGTCGCTGAGCTTCATTTGGGTTATGTAGTCCATTATGCAATTCGTGCTCTTTCCCGAATGGGTATTTTAGCGATGTTGAACTGATACTCATATTGCTGATTATCTTATCGTTGCATTTGAGCTTAGTGTAATATTCACGATGTAGAAGAATGTGCCAGGAATGCTTGAGGGATTAATAGTTAAGTTGAATATACCAAATTCACGCTGAAAATGGGTTTCGTATATACACCGAGTACATATATGCATCGTAGCACCGTGTCTGCCTCGACGTTATTGCCTGCCCAAAGTGTGTCAGCTTGCATAACTAATACTCCAATCGCATCAATTGAATATGAATAGCACATAGAATACAGCCTCAACACATAGCCTTTTTATTTATTGTTGGAAATCTATCCTCGAGAAATTTATAAGGGCATAATAATCGATACTTCTCTTGAGGTATACCAATCTTTTCGTGATTGCTCAATCAATCGTTGTTTGTCTTATATAGTTATACACCAAAAAACCCAAGGCGAAACGTAGAAGGCAAAGCTAAGATGGAAACTTTGAAGATGCCAAGGCAGATTGATCCGCAAGATTTGGGAATCCATGTACTTGTCGATTACGAAAGCCCTCTTGTTGAGTATGTACTCTTATTTGTTTCACCTTACCTTCGGATAATCCTATCTTCGAATACTGACTCTTTTAAAGTATAGTGGCTGTTCATGGACTTGGGGCCACACCAATGACGACCTGGACCAAAGCACGGAAACCACAAGAACATATCGATCGTAATACCGAATCTAGCATTGCACCCCCTTCTGTTCCGACGAATAAATCCGAGGATCGCGTTAATTGGTTAAGCGACCCAACAATGCTTCCAGCAGATATCACCAATGTCCGAATAATGGCCTTCAATTATGATAGTAACTGGTATGGCGATAATGCTATCAAAGTTCGTCTTGACCATGTTGCGGATGATTTGAGACGAAAGGTTTTGCGACAACGAAAGGTAAAGAAGGGTGATGTAACGTATGTGACTTATGTTATCGGCTAATGATTACTAGAATTGTTCTTTACGACCATTAGTGTTTATTGGGCATTGTTTTGGTGGTCTTGTGATTGAAAAGGTATTTTGGTTAGCAAACTATGAATTTACTTGTTACTAACTTCAGATGAAGGCTTTGATCAAACCTCAAACGTCGAAAATACTCGATTTTACGATAGGGGTTATATTGCTTGGGACACCACATAGGGGCATTGATAATATTACCTCAAGCGAACTTCTGCAAAGAATTATCCGCGCTGGTACTGCAGGAGAAGCATCCTCATTAATCGCATTAGAAGCTAATAACGAAATGGTGTTGGATGCAGTACAAGGGTTTTCAATGGTGATTCATGAAAAGAATATTCCAGTACATTGCTTTTTTGAACAAAAAAGCTCCAAGGTATCCAAAATGTTCGGAGATGATTATAAGGATTTTATTGTGGATGAAAAGTCGGCTATCTTAGATGGCTGTGAACGATATGGCCTGCCACTCGATCACTACCAACTCAATAAGTTTTCCGATCCTAAGGATGGAAATTGGAGAGAACTTTCTGATGTCATCACCAATCTTTGTGATAATGCACATCAAGAACTAGCTAATCGCAAGAGTGGAAATGGAAATGGAAATGGATATGGATATGGAAATGGATATGAAAATCACAGTCGTGATGAAGGAGCTAGCTTTTCAGGCCATTTTTCTACTAATGGTGGAAAGCAATTTATTGGGGGTAATTTCAATTCGGGTGGTGGATCAATGACTTTTTAAAGAATCATCATTAAAATTAATCGTTGAAGGATTGTCATTATAAGTGTGAAGAGGGTTGTCTTACTATTGAAGCTACGATTCCTGATTATATAGACCCACTCATTATCGTACTTGCCATATTAGGCCTAACATCGTATAGCTCCAAGCCCTGTTGGTCCCCCACTCGATCTACACCCCATTGATTAGTTACTTTGAATCTCTTTCACGTGACAAACCGCCTCAAGGTCTCCAAAAGCGTCCTCTGTGGTTAAGCGCTTTGCGTTCAGCCCCAGACATAAAAACAACAATGACAATCTACGCAGTAAAAGCGTCTATTCCACCCAAGGATGCAATAAACAGTTCGAGTAACTTGGAAGCTTTCGAGTTCAATTACTTCAAGTATATTTATCACAATGCCCGATTCACTTGATAGTGTTATCGCTAGAATCGTTACTAGAATCGAAGCTTTACTCCACCTTGGTAGCACAGTCCATCAATATCTAAGTAATATCAAAGACCCAATCACAGATTACAACAATATCATCAACGAGATCAACTCTATATATGAAATCCTTTCTACTTTACAAGCTAATATACAAAACAATTCAATCAATAATGAAGATTGGTCGATAATTTCTCAAAGACTTGAAGGCTCCGATGGCCCATTAAACCTCTTAAAGACAGCACTCCAGGAATTAACTACGAAATTCGAGGATACAGCTTCTACCATAGATGTAAGGGTCCTTCCATGGGATTTCAAGCAGAATGAAGCAGAGCAACTCTTCCGATTTGTTACAAAGCAAAGATCCTTACTATCTTTGGCTTTGAGGAATAACTATGTTGCACCTTCGACGGATATCCACGATAATACACTCCCTATTCGAGATGATATCGAGGTAAGGTCTACTCCCCAAATGATATATGTAGGCTAATATCTTATATAACCAGAATACAAACCTTCATAAACGATATTACACAAATCATGATACAACTTTCAACTCGCAGTATCAAGATGATAAATCCCGATATCTACCTGAAACACAGTCTAAACGACAGAGAATTAATCGACAAGGCAATTTTACAAACGCGGACGGGTCACAATTCATTGCATCAAACCTTAATTCTGGAGGAGGGTCTATTAATATCAATACACACACCTTGGAAAACCGTTGCCTAATCGACCTACGAACCACCGATCCACGATTGGACAAGAGACGTATCGAAGAGACTAAAGGAGGACTACTTGATAATGTATATAATTGGATTTTCGATAATAGTGATTTTCAACAATGGCACTTTAACCGAGATAATCGCCTACTTTGGATTAAAGGAGATCCTGGTAAGGGCAAGACCATGTTGCTCTGTGGTATAATAAATGAGCTGCAGAGATCGGATGAGACTGCCTTAGCCTATTTCTTTTGCCAAGGCACTGATGCACGCATTAATAGTGCTGTAGCTGTTCTACGTGGCCTTATCTATATGCTCCTAGATCGGCAGCCTGTCCTTCTCTCGCATTTACAAAAGAGATATGAGAAGGCAAAGGAACAGTTGTTCAAAGATGCTAATACCTTTATAGCACTCTCTGAGATTTTGAAGGATATATTGCATGATAAGAATTTGAAGCCGACGATCTTGATTATTGATGCACTTGACGAATGCCAAAAAGACCTGCCACAATTACTTCGCCTAATTGTTTCGGGCTTATCCATTTCTTCTCGTGTTAAATGGCTTGTCTCTAGTCGGAACTGGCCCGAAATCGAAGAGCAGTTACAACAGGCCGAGCAGGGAACCCGGCTCAGTCTCGAGCTGAATGCTGAATCAGTATCTGCTGCTGTCAGGTGGTATATCCGAGAGAAGGTGAAATATCTTGCGAGAACAAAAAAATACACAACGGAGACAAAGGATACTATCGAACGTTATCTCCTAGAACATGCAAATGGAACTTTTCTTTGGGTGGCTTTAGTTTGTCAAAATCTTGAAAAAGCTCGATTATTCACGAATTCAAAGCTACAAGATTACCCTTCCGAACTTGATCCTTTATATAATCGTATGATGGAACAGATAGTAGATATGGAAGATATCGAGGCGGCTCAGATATGCCTTCAGATCCTGGCTATTGTAGTAATAGCATATCGGCCTCTTACGCTTGACGAACTAATATCCCTGATGGAGATGAATAATGGGAATCCGCTAGAGGAAATAATACAACTTTGTGGTTCCTTTTTGGTTTCTCGTAACAGGAGTATATTCTTTGTTCATCAGTCAGCACAGGATTTTCTTTCTAAAAAGGTTGCTGGAACAATATTTCCCGATGGAATTGGGAAAGTTCATAACAAAGCACTTCTAAATTCGATAACAGTTATGAGAAAAACTCTAAAACGCGATATATACGGTTTGGGTTATCCCGGCTTTCCTATTGATAAAGTCAAACAGCCCGATCCCGATACATTAGCTTCTATACGGTATTCCTGTATTTACTGGATTAACCATTTAAGAGATGGAGGTCCTGAACAAAACGGAGAACACATTCAGGATAACGGCAATATTTATGAATTCCTGAAAAATCATTTGCTACATTGGCTGGAGGTTATGAGCTTGATGGAGAAAACTTCAGAGGGCATCAACGCAATAAGTTCTTTAGAGTCTTATATTCTAGTGTGTCAATACTATTTGGTAGTTCTTTTAGGAATTCAGCTAATAGATAATAAAGGCTAACAAAGGTTCTGAACTTTATACTCTCATACATGACGCTAAACGCTTCGTCCTTTACAATCGAATAGGAATTGAACAAGCTCCTCTTCAAATCTATTGCTCAGCTCTTTTCTTTGCTCCAGAGAATAGTATTATTCGAAAAACATTTCAAGAATATATTCCAAGTTGGATTTATAAAATATCAAGGACACGATCAAATTGGAGTGCCGCCCTCCAAACGCTCGAAGGTCATTCGGATTCGGTTACTTCAGTTGCCTTCTCACCAGATGGTACAAAAGTAGCTTCGGGCTCTGACGATAAAACAATCCGGCTTTGGGATACAGTTACAGGCGAATCGCTTCAAACGCTCGAGGGTCATTCGAATTGGGTTACTTCAGTTGCCTTCTCACCAGATGGTACAAAAGTAGCTTCGGGCTCTGAAGATAAAACAATCCGGCTTTGGGATGCAGTTACAGGCGAATCGCTTCAAACGCTCGAGGGTCATTCGAATTGGGTTACTTCAGTTGCCTTCTCACCAGATGGTACAAAAGTAGCCTCGGGCTCTGACGATAAAACAATCCGGCTTTGGGATACAGTTACAGGCGAATCGCTTCAAACGCTCGAGGGTCATTCGAATTGGGTTACTTCAGTTGCCTTCTCACCAGATGGTACAAAAGTAGCTTCGGGCTCTGACGATAAAACAATCCGGCTTTGGGATACAGTTACAGGCGAATCGCTTCAAACGCTCGAGGGTCATTCGAATCCGGTTACTTCAGTTGCCTTCTCACCAGATGGTACAAAAGTAGCCTCGGGCTCTGACGATAAAACAATCCGGCTTTGGGATGCAGTTACAGGCGAGTCGCTTCAAACGCTTGAGGGTCATTCGAATTGGGTTACTTCAGTTGCCTTCTCACCAGATGGTACAAAAGTAGCTTCGGGCTCTGACGATAAAACAATCCGGCTTTGGGATGCAGTTACAGGCGAATCGCTTCAAACGCTCGAGGGTCATTCGGATGGGGTTTCTTCACTTGCCTTCTCACCAGATGGTACAAAAGTAGCTTCGGGCTCTTTCGATGATACAGTCCGGCTTTGGGATGCAGTTACAGGCGAATCGCTTCAAACGCTCGAGGGTCATTTGGATGGGGTTTCTTCAGTTGCCTTCTCACCAGATGGTACAAAAGTAGCTTCGGGCTCTTTCGATAAAACAATCCGGCTTTGGGATATAGTTACAGGCGAGTCGCTTCAAACGCTTGAGGGTCATTCGAATTGGGTTACTTCAGTTGCCTTCTCACCAGATGGTACAAAAGTAGCTTCGGGCTCTGAAGATAAAACAATCCGGCTTTGGGATGCAGTTACAGGCGAGTCGCTTCAAACGCTCGAGGGTCATTCGAATTGGGTTACTTCAGTTGCCTTCTCACCAGATGGTACAAAAGTAGCTTCGGGCTCTGAAGATAAAACAATCCGGCTTTGGGATGCAGTTACAGGCGAATCGCTTCAAACGCTCGAGGGTCATTCGAATTGGGTTACTTCAGTTGCCTTCTCACCAGATGGTACAAAAGTAGCCTCGGGCTCTGACGATGATACAGTCCGGCTCTGGGATGCAGTTACAGGCGAGTTGCTTCAAACGCTCGAGGGTCATTCGAATCGGGTTACTTCAGTTGCCTTCTCACCAGATGGTACAAAGGTAGCTTCGGGCTCTTTCGATAAAACAATCCGGCTTTGGGATATAGTTACAGGCGAGTCGCTTCAAACGCTTGAGGGTCATTCGTATTTCGATACATCCTCAATCTTTGAACAGTACTATATATCAAACCATTGGATAGTTGAAAGGTCAGATAGAGAAGTACGAAATATTCTTTGGCTACCTTCTGACTATCGGCCCCTTTGTATTATTTTTCGTAAGGGAATTATAGCTATGGGATTTTCCAATGGTAGCATTTTCTTTTTGAAATTTGAAAATGGAAACAAATTTCATATTATCTAAGTAAAAACCAGTTTCAGTGTATCTATTAACTACTACATTATTTGTATCTTTAATATAATATCCTGTTAAAGTGAATGGTTCCTGCGTAGCACGTGCACAGGGCACTAGTCCTGTTAGGACTAGATTGAGAAGCTCTCTTACAGAGAGCTTCGCACTTCCGTAGAACTTAGAAGAGAGATTAACCTACTAGACCAATATTACCTCAGTTCTGCCCTATCAGCTTCCCACTATTCCCTGTGTGAGGTCATTCCTTTTAACATATCCTTTTATTTTTTTCCCTCTTTAATAGAAAGGTTGGGGGAAGTCCATGATTATATAGACTTTCTATTTGCCACCTTGATTGATTGATTGATTGATTAAATTAACGTCTACACTGAGTCTATGACTATCTAAGACGGCTAGGAGCTTTGTAGGCTTCTAACAATAATACATGGGGGGTAGCTGGCCTTATTCGACCGTAGCTAATACAGGTTGGGGAGATTGAAAGCCTCAATCTTCTAATGTTTGAATGGGGGAAGTGAAAACTAATACTAGGGAACCAAGCCCGCCTTACAGATACTCTCGTATTCAAATAAGAGGAATAACAAATGAAGTGTAATGAAATTTGACATTGGGGTGATTGCCCAAATTGACCAAATTGACCAAATTGACCAAATTGACTAAATTGACTAAATTGACCAAATTGACTAAATTGACCAAATTGGCCATAATTGATCAATTCAATCACAATCTGTGTGAACGAAGTGAATGACTTCAATTCAATTACTACTGTAATAAAGAACTAAGCGAACGCGAAAGAGACTAGCTCTTTTAGTAAGTCTATATAAGACTTACTACTTTCAATATGTAGCTAGCTCTTTAGACAGAATACAATTAGACATACAGGACCTACGTAATCCGTGGGTGCTACGTCTTCCGTATCCTTCTCGTACCAACACAATCTTTCGGTCCACCCCCTTCTTCTCCGCCTTCTTCCTCTTCTTCTTCATGCATTCTATTGAGATGCCATGATCTGGTGGCTATTCTCGTCGCCTCGATAAATTCGAGGGTCTTGATGATTCCTGCTTTAGTATGAAGCAGATATTTCATGGTAGGTCGGACTATGGGGTTATCCTTATTGAGGGTTTTTGTTGGGTTTCTTGAGACCAGAAAGAGTATCAGATTGAATTGATTGATTCTCTAGCTAAGCAGTTAAGCTGCGAGTATATATTCAAAAAATGAAGGAATAGGGTTAGGTATTCGGCCTTCGGAATTAAAGTGCTTTGAAATCAAAATATTGAAAGCAAACAAACAGTATACCAAAAAGGAAAGAATGAATTAAAAGTTGAGTTTTGTTTGCTCCTTATATGCATCATGCAATATATATGCATATGCTGCCAAGATCCCAGGAGGTCAACAGTTTTCCTTGCCGTTTTATATATAGGACAATTGAGTAGAAGATGATCAGGAGATTCCTTTCCCCCACATCTACAGCTGTCATTAGAGGAGATCCCGAATCGTTTCAAATAAGATTTGAAGTATCCGTGCCCAATTTTGAGTTGGAACAGAGCACAGATTGTGCTTCTTTTGATGTTTCCTGGAACTCTGATTTTTGAGCTGATCTTCCAGGGGTAGTTTCTTGAATATGTTGACGATGGTTGATGAAAATTGTTAGTGTTAAGGATGGCTACCCAGTTCTCTGATTTCATTCTTTTTATATCCATTCCAATGGAGGCATAACTGGTTTCGTGAGATGAGGATGGTATTTTGGTCGCCTCTTTTGCAAGAGAATCAGCTAGCTCATTTCCTTGTACAGATGTATGTCCGGGGACCCAATTGAGAGAGATTTCGGCTCCTTTATTTTGAATAGCTTCCGCAGCTTTTATAGCTTTGATTTGGCATGATTGACCAGGTAAATCGGAGGGGGTTTTCGACCGGAATAATCCTGCTTGATTATCTGAGTATATCTTGAACTTGTTTCCTGGCTGGGCTATTGAATTTGCGTATTCGATCGCTTTAGTAACTCCTAGGAGCTCCCCATTATAGACAAGCTGATTCACACCTATATTGATAGTCTCTTGATGTGAAATTCGGCCATTTGGTAAGATAATCGCTATCCCGATCCCAATCCCTATTCCCTCTAAAGTGGATAAGGCATCGGTGTATATTGTAATGGTATTTTTGCACCTATATTTGAAAGCCAGATTGTGGATCATCGCAGCTTCTTCTTTTCCTAATTTGCTGATATTGACTTTATATGGAACTTCTTTCTTCCAAGGAGGAAAGTAGAAATGATGGATTCCTTCTAAAGTGAGAGGATCGAAGTCTTTCTGAATTGAATTTTTGATCTTTTCGAGTTGAGTAGGTTTTAATTGCTTTCTTTGAGGGGTTGCAACTACATCTTGATTCTCCTTTTCTGTAGCCAGCTTTGTAGCTATTAAATTGACAGGATGAGAAGGGGAGATTTTCAATAATCTGAAGGCGTATTGTTTGATTCCAGCATTTAGCCTTACTTCTGGAGGGCACAATGCGGCTTCTATTTCCATTGGTTTTATTGGTGAGGTTTTGGATACTCCTAGGATTTTTCGAAGGGCGAGGTTTTGCAATGATTGAAGGATTTTCTTGAATTGGTTTTGCCCTTTCCACCATAAAATTGAACCGTAGTCAGCTATGCTGGTGACGCATGCCATCTAGAGCTGTCTCATTGCCTTGGGACTAAGGCCTTTTTCAGAATTAGCAAGTCTAGCCATTCGGTAGAATGAGGTTTTAGCCTGGGTAGCTCGGATTGTGACATGTTGTTTGAAACTGAGGCCAGGGTCGAACCATATGCCTAGCCATCTGACTAGTGTTGAGGGTTGAATTATCTCCTCGTTCGGAAGCTTGATTGAGGCTGTCTTCGTATCTTTGGATGTAGAGAAGTTGTTGACCTCCTGGGATCTTGGCAGCATATGCATATATATTGCATGATGTATATAAGGAGCAAACAAAACTCAACTTTTAATTCATTCTTTCCTTTTTGGTATACTGTTTGTTTGCTTTCAATATTTTGATTTCAAAGCACTTTAATTCCGAAGGCCGAATACCTAACCCTATTCCTTCATTTTTTGAATATATACTCGCAGCTTAACTGCTTAGCTAGAGAATCAATCAATTCAATCTGATACTCTTTCTGGTCTCAAGAAACCCAATACCAGAGCTTTCCAACCTTCTTCGCCCTCCGCGATTCAAGAATATAATTCGCTATATCTTCTACACCACTTAATTTAGGTGCAAAACCTCTCTCATCCATATCAATTATATACTGAATAAGCACTTCCTCTTCTAAATCGGTAATTTTATGACTATTTGCTCGAATTTCTGTACGAGGGGCTAAACCATTCATTCTGCGGAGAAGTGTTGTATTCGTTATATTATATAGCTTGGCAGCCTTTCGAATGCTTAGTTTTTTATCTTTTTGAATAGCTTCGATAGCTAAGAGTATTTGAGCTTCTTTTCTATTTGATTGCATAGTAAATGATTGATAAATCGCGTGTTGAAGTTGGAAAGTGCAAATTGAGGTAAAAGTGGTGCACTCGGTGATACGGTGCACTCGGTGTTAAACCACGTTATATAATCCTAATATAATATTGATAAAAATCTACTTTCAATAAATATAAGAGAATTTTGAGGCTATGCTTACCCGACCAACAGACTCCATAAGATTTAACATTAGGGAATTGATAATAGAATCATAAAAACTGATCATATAGATGTACATTATTAAAAGATCATAAACCAACAATATGAACATTATCACGCACATTAAAACGACGACCAATCACACCTCTACCCAGCGTAGTCTCAGCATCCAACTCCCTAGGCTCAACAAGCTCATCTACGTTTCCCAGTCCCAATCCCAATCCAAATTCATTAATATCTTTAACATCCCCTCTATCATGATTTCCATCCCCACCATCAACATCGATATCGATATCTTTCCTAACGAAAAACGCCTCCATTTCCACAGGTTCCATATTAACACTAACATGTTTCTTCCTCATCAATTCACCATACGAATTCGTAATAGCTTTCGAATCACTAGGTAATTCGGGGTTTGATTTTAATTGATGTTCTTCGTACCAGGAATCTTTGTCGATGTCATCGGCGATTTCTCTGGTGGTGAGTTGTCTTTTTGTTCGAGGGATAGAAGCTAGATGGCGACGATGTCGGATGAGCATGAAAGCTATGACTAGGAGGAGGGTTAGGCCGAGGGTTATACTAATTGCGATGGTGATTTTGATTGTGTTTGTGAGGGAGTTGGTTTGATTTGTTTCTGATGGGGTGTTTATTGTTGAACTCGAAGATGAGGTTGCCTCCCCTTTCGTCGTCGTTGGGTTTGATGTTCCGGTTGATGAACTGGTTTTGTTTGAGTCGATGGAGCTAGATTGGTTTTTGTTTGAGTTGCTTGTACTGTTCGAAGAGCCCGAAGCAAATTGACCGAGTGTGAACGTGGGACTATTCACAGATTGAGTATTGTCTGGAGAAACCCAATATATTTTATAAACTCCTGCTTGAAGCGAATTATCAGGAGTCCAAGGTAATGAATTTCCCGTTATTGCAACTGTCATTCCTACTGTCAGTTTCTCCTACGAACGTCTTAATATCTGTCGACCTAAAACACACCTCCTATGGATTCTGCACTGGCAAGTGGAATACTTTCATTGTAATATTGAATTGGAACTAAATGAAGATTTACAGAACCAGTTGAATCAATCCAGGTGATTGTAAACTGTTGTCCTAACACAGGATTGAAGGCATTGTTCGTGAAACGAAATGAATGGACTAAACTCGCAAACGCAAGCAAAATTAATTGCAAATAAACATTTTGAAGTACCCGCATAGCGAGTACTACACTTCGAAGGACAGTAAGAAAGCAAAAGAGTGATGACAACAAAGTGTGAAGAATACTTTACTTGTTAAACTTACTTGAATTGCTTATATTTGTTCAAGTATTTAGGATTTTCGGCAGCAAGGCCAATTCAGCGTAGTATTTTGGAGCCACTCATGGCGGTGCATAAGAGGAGGATCCTTTTATGATCATACCATACTAGATGCAATGGAACTATGACATACGTCCCGCTAACATTCTAAACATCACGAAAAAAATAAACCGTTGTATAAATACATCATATTTAGGTACCTATGAATGTACCGTTAGTACCATAAAAGAAACATGGGAAATTAGTGAAGTGAGATTGACAGGCTACACTGCTCGTTTATTCCTGAATCCTGATGTTCATCTCGTTAATGCGGGGTGTGGACGTAAATAGAACATTTACGGGTTACAAGGCTAAAATGTAAGATACTTGATTTAGAGGTATTTCAATCGTAAGAATCGTAGATTGGTAGTAGAAATAAATAAAGATATCAGGTTCACCTCAAACGAGCCTTCCATGGATCTCCGTAATGCGACCAGACGCGAGTACAAAAAATCCTGAATGTGTCTGCTGGAAAGAGGACCAATAGTTGTAACTTGAGAGACATGCACATAGGTATCAGCAAGGATAACAACAGAGCTAAAGACGCTAACAAGATGAGGACTCCCCGAAAGATTGTCCACTCCTTTCAAATATAATCATGTGATATTCACATGACATTCTCTGGGACGACATATTTGAAGTTACTCGTCCGATAAATCTGGGAATAGCTTCAGAAAACTCTAGAAGATTGAGCCTGATAATCAATAGTCTCTTTGGAAATTAGCTGTTCCTAATCTTACCCCAAACTTGCTTATCGTCTGGCAGAAAGTAAACAACGGTTGGAATGATTCCAAGTTCCAACTGTGTAGTGAGCTCAGTACTGAGCCGCATTGATCCTACTGAGTAGCCATAGGCACGAAGGTCTATATAATCGTGATGGATTTCCTTTGTATAGAGCTTCGTGCTCAAGATCAGTCATTTAGTATACTCTACTATTAGTTACGAATTGCATATCATTATTGTCATTACTTAAGTCTCTGCTTGACGCCTAGTTATAAACCACCTCGAGAGCCTAGAGCACTTCCACGTGATCTAGACGGCAAACCTCGTAACATTATTACAGATATGTACTTCCAAGACTTCTTGGAAGATTCAATGATATTGAGTAACTATATATATATATATATCTCTGCACATTATTATCTTCAATTCCAGGGATAAGATTATCGGAATATTGGATTTCCTATGTTTCTTAGTTTCGTATTGTCGGATTGAGGAGTACCGGCCGGCATCATGCATGCATGCATACATAGATTCTAAGTGATGATTTCCATTGCTGATATTGAATGTTTGCTAAACATTGATGTATTATAAACATAAACATGAACATAACATACAAGATAAGTCCTCGCGTCTCATCCAAACTTTGCACTACTGGTATGTTGATAGAATAAACCAATTGGTTTTCCTGAAAAGAGAATAAACCCAAATAGAGTACGTCCAAGCCCCAGTCTCAAATCAGAACTCCCATTAATGCGTGACATGCGTGCCCAGATGTACACAAGAATCTTTATGCGCGCCTTGAAGAATCTCACCAACCCTTCACCAAAACTCGTTTAGAAATTATCTATATCATCAATTAACTCCCGACACTTCCTCCAAATGGATGACTCTCCCGAAGATCCGCCACCAAATCATCAACATTATGAAGATATCTTCCCAAGAGTTCCTGTTTCTCCTCTAAAGTTTTGGTTTGTTCACTCTCACTTTGTGCTCTTCTCCTTCCTGCCTCTTCTCGACTATTGAATACGCCAGGAAGCTTACTTGGACTGCGTTGCAATAATGCTAACGAATTTGATGCGGCTGCTGATGGTATTGAAGGGGTTTCGGGCATTAGGTAGAAGTATAGGAATTCAACTAGCTTAAGCTTTACTTCGCGACTTGTTTCTCGAGATTTGAAGATTGAGGTTATTGTTAAAAGACCGTCGAGGGTTTCGAATGTGCGAGTATTTTTAGGTGTCTCGATAAGTGAACAGACGAGTGTGAGAAGGGTTGCGGATTGGATTGCGGGACAATTGACTGGTTCAAGGAGATCAAGGAGGTGCTGGAAAAGTTAGTATCATGCATCTCAATTCCTAGCAAGCGCGTAAATTTGATTGATGTACATACATTCATATATAATTCTCTGGAAAACAAACTCCTAGAAGGAGGATGTAACAAAAGAACCCCTTGTATCAATTCCAATGTTTGAATTATCAACATATCACTCTGTCCATCATTACTCTTCCCCATCAATCTATCCAAACATGTAACCAATCGCATAGCAACATTCCATTCAAATCCCTCTTGTAATCTAAAGAATTCTCGAAATGCAGCATCATTAGGTAGTTCATTGAGAGGCTTTCGTGGAGGTGGTTCTTTTCCCGGATCAACAATTGAACGGCGCTTATCGGCATTGGACTTTGGAGAATTGGATAGACAAATTTGGGCTAAAAGTCCTTCGACCTGTCGGAGACCTTTTCGAATCTTTGATGCATCATAGGAAGAGAGATTATCGAAAGATAGAGAAAGTAAAGCTTCCATTGTTTACTTTTGATTTTGGACGCGTTGGTTGAATGAATGGAGTTTTGTCTGGGATTTTGAAAGGTTGCGCAAATCCAAATTCGCAACTTGGTTTGAATTGAATTATACACTTTGAAAGAATGATACCCAATGTAAATGTAGATTCGAATGTTAATACAGGAAATGAAGAGAATGTACGGGAAAAAGAAAATATTATCTTGTTTGGATTTTTTGGGTCAAGAAACACAGCTGAATGGTAGATTTACTATTAATTTGCAATAATGGTTTCGGGTTATAGGATCGTTCTCAGGGCAACGAATGCAAGAGACGGGAAGCTTTTCAGGTTCAGGGAAGATATTAATAAGTCGAGTCTTTACCATCGGACATCGGACGCAGCGTGTAAATCTGTGCTTTAGCTTACGGCATTGGTGCATTGATAAATGACCGAGTGGCAGATTCTGTATGAAATAGGGCGGTGAAGAGATAATTGACCAATTTTGGGAATAGTGCGAATAGTGTGGACATTTCCTTTCTTTTTTCATTGAAGTTTATTGACTACGATAACCTATTGATCTATGACGTGAATTTATGTGAAACAATTTATTCTTTGATATATATTTATGTACCTAGGTATGTTTAAATATATATCAGGACAACCCTTTTCTTCATTATTAGGAATGAATTATCTAAAATCCTCTCATCTCTAACCATATTAACAATATGTTTCTCAATATATTCTCACACGATCAAATGCGATCAGATGAACATACCATTCACCCACCACCACAGACTACCATCTGCGGAAAGCCTAATATTAACTACCACGTGAAGAAATCTGGAAGCCGCCGGCCTTTTTTGCACGACCAAAAATAAATGACGTTAAGCATTGGGTAGTGAAACGGTAAACCAAGAACCTCAGAATCACTGTTACATTCTGCTCACTGCTGATACTACTGATTTGATACTGCTGATTTGACACTCATCGAAATCGGATCCTTATAACCAAGCCACTCTACTCTGCTCCTCTGTACATCTGTAAAGGGAAACGAAGGAACAGAAATATACACACAAACAGCTTCATTAAATTTCATTCTTCAACGCCACAAATTCATGCAAGGTTACGAATCAATCATATCAATAGTCTTGTTCTCTCCGTCTTTCAATTAAAGGGTGAAAATATCTCTAATAAGCAGGGCCAAATGTTTCAAACCAATCTTTCAAATAGAGGTCCTTCCATTATGCTTTCCGAAAACTTTCCTTCTCCAAACGCTATTCCTCCACGAACTTCCTCCACCGGTCACAACAACATCAATCATACAATTTCGAAATCAGTTCTACGTCCTGTACCTGAAGGCGATTGGATAAGTCAGAGAAATAGTATGCATACCGCACAGTCTTCAGGGACCTTGAATCCTTCTGTTCAAGGGGGTTCTGCTCCAGATCCAAATAAATACAACAAGAACGATATGGCATTCCATGGTAGAAGCTCATGGGCGCCAGAAAAGGAGAAGATATTGTTCGGTCCATATGATTATTTGGAGGCACATCCAGGAAAGGACATTAGGAAACAATTGATCGCGGCATTCAATGAATGGTTGGAGGTACCACCGGAGAGTTTGGAAGTTATTACAAAAGTTGTGGGAATGTTGCACACGGCATCATTACTCGTGGATGATGTCGAAGACTCATCATTATTGCGACGTGGATTACCCGTCGCACATAGCATTTTTGGCACGGCGCAAACGATCAATTCCGCGAATTATGTATACTTTTGCGCGTTGCAAGAACTGCAGAAGCTCAACAATCCACAAGCGATTACCATTTACACAGAGGAGTTATTAAACCTTCATAGGGGTCAGGGGATGGATCTATTTTGGAGAGATAGTTTGACTTGTCCTACCGAAGATGATTATTTGGAAATGGTTGGTAATAAAACTGGTGGCCTTTTCAGACTCGCTGTCAAGCTTATGCAAGCTGAGAGCAAAACCTCGAGGTAAATACCCCGCCCCCTCCCCCCACTGGATCTACAAACATGCTAACCCCTGTTTAGGGATTGTGTGCCCTTAGTTAACCTCATTGGAATCATATTTCAAATCCGCGATGATTATCAAAATCTTTCTTCTCCTGAATACTCACAAAATAAGGGTTTATGTGAGGATTTGACCGAGGGAAAATTCTCATTTCCGATTATTCATTCTATTCGTGCCGCACCGGATAATCTCGTTCTTCTCAATATCCTAAAGCAGAAACCGGATGATGAACAAGTCAAGAAATATGCAGTAGCATACATGGAACAAACTGGTAGTTTCGAATATTGTCGAAAGGTTCTCAATACCTTAGGAGAAAGAGTCAAGAAATTGATCGAAGAGTTAGATGATGGAGGGGATAAGGGCAAGGGAGTATTGAAGATTTTGGATAAAATGGCCATCTAATCTGTGGATGTAAAGGATTGGGAACTGGATTAAGGTATGGTTGCGCTACTTTGATATATAGGATATCGGAGCATGCTGGCGTATTTGGTCGATGGGTATTCATCTTTGAGGCATTTTGGAGGATTGCTACTTATTTAGGTTGATTTATTATTATCTTTTCAGGAAATTATTCGTTTTCTCCCTTTTTTGGTCTACTTGTCTGAAAGCTCTTTTGGTTTTCCTTCATGTGATACTTACCGATTGCACGTTATATTAATGGATTAATGGCTAGCATTAACTATAGGGTCCATGCCATTCCATAATCTCTTCCCTCAAGCTACCAAGCATACCAAACCCAATGGTATGCCAACTCATCTTGAGGCTCCGCGCAGAGCAACTGCGTGAAGCAGTTATTGTCAATTGGGCAGAACTAGAATTACAACAGGGATCCTCGACCACTGCAGATGCATTAATGTTAGTTCTTGGAGCGGATTTCCTACTTGTTGTGCAAGTGCATAAAGATATCCAATTAATGAAATCTTTTGAGGGAAAGATCCTTTCGAGCTTGTAATACTAGTGTGACTGGAAGAAGCGCCTGTGAGTACGTGGTATAGTATCACAAAATTAACGACGCATACTTGTTTTGTGTTCTCTTTGCTGCTTCGCAAGAATGCTTCACGAGTAATTCGGGCTCGGCTTAGGCTATGTCAAAATATGTGGCCTCGCTCGCTTTATGTGGATATTAATATTTAGTTATATAATTGTAGGGTTTGATTAATTCTTGAATACGAGCCGAACATTTTTTGGGAAAAGGAATTTGGTTTGAGATCATTGGATACGAGGGTGAATTTCGTACGAGTACCCTATGTTAGTGTCCTTATCATACCGAGTACGAAGTCCTTTACACCTTTCTTTAAGTTAGGCTTACCGTCTCTAATCATCTGTTTATTGCTGCACTGATACCCCCTCCCAGAGCCCTGAGCGTGTTTCGATTCAAAAACTCTTTTGCTTCATCTAGGGCTCCTGTTCAACCGACAATCAAAATGTCTCGGTGCAGCTCAGAGATGGACCCCGACGTCCCCGATGTAGGTCAGGAGGCAATGCCTTTAAGACTTTTATCACTCGGCAAGTTGAAACATCCTCTTTTGAGATATCTACTAAACGTTTGATTGCAAACGGTGGTAGAAATCGAGGACTATCCGAGCTGTTCATCCTCAACGAGACAATGCATCGTCTCGAATACAAGTGTAAATCTTCCGGTAACCTATTACCGGCAGGCTATTTTGACATGATGTGCGGCACAAGTACAGGAGAATGAATATTTTCCATCCTAAAATCTTCGGGCTGGATGCTGGATGCTGGATGCTGGATGCTTACCAAGTCTAGCTTAAATGTTTTGCTGCTTGGACGACTCCGTTTATCTACAGCAGAAGCTATTAAATGTTATTTTTCAATAGCAAAGCAGATTTTCAAAGGCAAAAAATCGAAGGCATTGCATGGTTATATTTTTTACGCATCCAATCTGGAGCAAGCAATCAAGTCTTTGTTGGAAGCTAGACATGGACCAGGTCACGGCGATGACCGGAAGCCTTATGAATGAGGAAGAAAATTGCGGGGCATGTAAAACGTATGTATCACTGCTTAGAAAATATTTTGCGGTAGCACAAGTCTCACTATCTATGGTTTCGTGTGTGCTGTCAGTTCATTGCACGTTGAAGGTGATCCTACGAAATTTCGTTCATGGTTAGCTATTACGGATCAAAGTTACAATTGCAAGATCTGGGAAGCAGCTCGAGCAATGTGTGCAGCCCCTCGACTTTTCAAAAGTATCATGATTGAAGAAAATGGTATCAATGAAGAATTTGTGGATGCTGGGTCGACTGCAATATCCCCGTTAAACAAGTGCTAGCAGAAGCGATACCCGTGTTTGGTCCACTGAGGGTCATTTGCATTCTCAATATTGGTGCTGGGGCTAACAGGGCTCTCGGAGTCACGAAGCCAAAATCGGCACTGGAGATAGCCTTTCCATCAGATCTCGTGAACGTCCTAGCAGGTTTGGCAACACCAACGGAAAAGGAGGCTGGCGAGATGGACAAGAAATATAGACATATTGCTGAGATTTACCACCAGCTGAATGTTGAGAGAGATATCGGGGAAATTAAACTTGAAGAGTGGGAAGAGCTAGGCCAAGTCAGTGCGCATACGAAAGCATACCTCCGGAAGGATGATATTGATCATCAAATTGATGAAATCGTAGCTTCGTTGGCACATGAGCGTACCAAGCTCACTATTAACCTTCAAGTGCTTGGTAACTAATATCTGTCATATTATTATGCCATCATGGTGGCTAATGAATTTAGATGGTCGAATACATCACGATCCTGTTACCATTCATAAGCATGCCTGCTTTCCGGTTGATTTGACTGATACTAAAGCCCTCGTAAAACGTTCCTGCATGGGCAGAATTGAGGAAAGAATAAACCAGGTGTTACTAAATGGATCGACAGAGACTGTAGTTCTTCATGGAATTTGGGGCTGTGGTAAAACTCAGCTTGCTTTTCATTGTTATCGAGAGATGAAACGTACTAGTTCTTTCTTTGCTATAATGTGGATTGAGTGTGGGTCAGGCATTGATGGAGGAAAGCTTTCGTGGAATTGCGAAAACGACCATGTATGACCACGAAGACAGGATGGAGCCAGAGCGCCGCTCCGCCGCTGCTTTTGCTAAGATGCGAGAGAGGAGCCACTATCATCCATGGCTCATCGTCTTCGACAATATGAACAGTCGTTCCTCTCTCAACACAGATACCTATGTCTCACGTGGTAGCTACGGTTTCATTATCATAACGAGCCGTCACCCAGATCTGAGTAGGCTCGGTCACTCTATATCTATTGGGAATTTAGATGAAAACGAGGCCATCAATCTACTCTTCAATCACACAGAACATATGAATGGAATGACAGATGAGGATATCAGGCAAGCCTGCGAAATTTGCCGTCTGCTCTCATGTCTTGCATTAGCTGTAGCCCGAGCTGGAGCTTATATTAAGAATCGGAAACTTGAATTCAACGCATTCACCGGAGTAAACGAAGACCGGCGGGAGGAAATAATGGCTTATTATCCTCCAACCTGGACATATAGAGCACCCAATCCATTGAACCCTAAACAAAAGATACCTTTTCCCTTTCTACTATATGGGGGCAATCTTTCAATTGCATTAGTGGCGAGATGGCAAATGCGAAGCACCACTTTCTTTGTATCAGTGCGTTTCTACTAAATGGGACTCGAATGAGCTCAATAATTTTTCAAACCTGTTTCAATATGGCTACACGAAGACCATGGTGGATGGATATTTTCAGGGACAAAGGAACAGATAGTTGGAGTCAGAGCAAATTTGAAGGTGTTTTGGAAGAGCTTAGCAACCTCAGTTTGTGCCAAACCATAGAAAAGACCAAACACGACGAGTGCTTCTATTTTTTTCATCCCATGATCTGAGAATGGGCGTTTTATCGACCAGATCCGCGTACGAGACATGACCTTGCGTTAGAAGCTTTGTGCATTCTTCAATATTCGTTGAAGATTTCTAAGGGCGTTTTTATACGCAATTCTAATTCTGGCATTGAGAAAGACATAGAAGCTTGCTTCCTCAACTGGGTAAAGTTTGGAAGTCAGCCCCTCTCGGGAAACATTGAAATCCCATTTCACTTTATCCATGTCTTTTTTTTTTTTTTTTTTTTTTTGAAGAGAATGGAAAATACAGTGTGGCGGAAGAGCTAAGACGAAAAGTTGAACTTTCTTCCAAGGAACATGACCCCAATCTCTACCGCCTAAGCTGTCGTCATCTAGCACTTGCGTTAGTGAGATTGCATAGGTATAAAGAAGCCAAAACGATTCTAGGCGTAATTTTAAAATCTCTCAAGAAATATTTACGCAAAACTGAGCATAAACTCTAGCTCTTATTAGAACTTTCGTACACCTATGTCGAAATGGGCAGAAATAGGCCAAATGAAGCTCAAAGTATTTCTGACGGTAAGAATCTACTGAAAGAAGCCTTGGATATTGGGAAGCGATTTAACAAAGGCTGGAGACCCAATTCTGATAAATCATTATATATTCTAATATCAATAGCTTTCTTAGATGGCAGGATTCCTTTTGACAAGCAAAATCCGACTAAACAGTGACTAATAAATACATATATCGAACTTTTTAAGCATGTTAAAGATCACGGTGGAAAAATGGAAAAAGTCTTCACTGCTAAATTGTTTCCGGAGGAGGGGAACTGTGATGCTTTCGAGGCCATAGAGAAAGAAATTTACAGAGATGGCTTGAGGAAGTCTGGTGATACGGATTTCTTTGCCTTAATATCACAGACAAACCTAGCGGGATACATGGAGCGTCGGAAAGACATTAAGGGGCTTTGGAATTACAACGGGAGGATTTCCGCAAGTTTGAGGAGAATTATCGACTTTCGTCTTGGGAAACTCATGCCGTTGTCATCGATCTCTACTATATGCTTATGGACCATAGATATCGCGAAGAAGCTGATATCATGTTTATGAGGTATTACAAGGGGCCGCGTTCGTTTTATGATCATAGTGATCTGATTCAGTTCCCAGAGATCGTTCATGTTTCGATCTAGTCAGTACCAGAATCAAATTTTTATTCCCCATGTTTCATTCAATTCAGCGCTCGCTTTTCCTCGTTCGCTTATTCTCTGTTATGTACTCCATCATCGACAAGGCGAGTGTACCGAACTTACTTGATGACTTGCCTGAAACGATAATATAATTTGATATATCTTGATAAGAGGGGGGATATATAGTAAGGGAAGAATGTAGCCATGTAATTGAAGGAGAAGCCTGGGCTGCGTAGGTGATGAGAAGTATGGTCAGATAGGGGGGTGTACAAGGGGGTTATATATGCTTTAAATTCATGGGTAATTGTTAATAGAATAAAAATTATATGAATCAAGTCCATTTGAGTAAAAAATCATTTCTAATGAGTATTGTTTTCTGTGAATAGCTTCATTTGCAATTGCACGTGAAAGATTGTCCACTCACTCCGTCTAACATCGGGTTTACCCCGGCTCAGTGACCTACCCCACCTTCCAAGTTAGAATAACACCTTACGCCATTTTTTCTCTCTCCTTCCATCATCACCACACTTCCACCCGCAATAACATCCCTTCCACCTTAAAAAGAGACATAACATATATCTTCACCAAAAATGCCACTTTCATTTCCCGTATTCAACGACTCTCCACAAGTCCTCCAAAAGCATCTCGAAGAAGCCAGCAAACCACAATATGTGATTTTTTTCGCCTCGCTCAAACCTGAGACCAATGAATCTTGGTGCGGGGATTGTAGAAATGCTGAGGGTCCTTTGAGTCGATTTCTTGATAAGGCTGCTGTGGAAGAGAGGGTTAGGCTTGTTTATGCGGGGTTGCAGGTCGGGTATGCTGTTTATGATTTATTGATTTATTGATTACCTGGAGATCTAGATCTAGATTTGGCATGTAAAGAGAAGGGGAGATTGTGGATTTTATATAACTTATATCATGGTGAGGATGATGGCTGATGAAAATTGATTTTTAGATGGAGGGATATGTCACCTGGAAAGAAAAGTCCTTGGAGGGAGGAACCCTGGGGGATTAATAGATTGCCTACTGTGGTGAAGGTTACTGGCGAGGTGAGTTCAACTGCTTTAGTCCTTGTTATTAAATTCATTGGCTTATTTGCTGTAGAAATGGGAGAAATTGATTGAGGAAGATTGTTATGACGAGAAGAAGTTGAGTGCTTTTGTTGCGGAATAGTTAGTTGGCTGTATTTATGCAGGAGGAACGAGAGAGGGGTTCGATACCTGTTGTGGAACTTATCTCCTGGCGACCCCGCGCCTTGGAGTTCATAGTAGTATTGTCGCATCAAGTTTGATGAAAGGGGAGTTTGTTTATTCATTGAGTTTATTAATTCACCGAGTCTACTGATTCACTGAGTCTACTGACTCTTTTCTTCAGGTTGAAACCAAAGATTTGTGAATTCTCCCAAGAATGGTATTGAAACATTCTTTAAGTAGAAAGTTTGAGCAGCAGTGTGCTTAAAAGTGATACATTTCTAATAAAGTTATCTTTTTCTTCGAAACAAATTGTTACGTCGGACAGTAACATGGGTCACGTTCTTGATCACATGATCAAGAAACCGACAAATCGAGATCGGTTTTGCGGTGATCGAATTGTCGGGTTTATAGCCATCGGTTTTTTAACGAGGCACGAAGGTCTACATAATCAAGATGAATTTCCTTTGTATAGAGCTTCGTGCTCAAGATCAATCATTTAGTATACTCTACTATAGTTACGAATTGTATATCATCATTGTCATTACTTTAAGTCCCTGCTTGACGTCTAGTTATAAACCACCTCGAGAGCCTAGAGCACTTCCACGTGATCTAGACGGCAAACCTCGTAACACAAATATACTATATCGATTTATCATAGGTTTTAATTTGTTACTTATGTTAAAGTGAATGGTTCCTGCGTAGCACGTGCACAGGGCACTAGTCCTGTTAGGACTAGATTGAGAAGCTCTCTTACAGAGAGCTTCGCACTTCCGTAGAACTTAGAAGAGAGATTAACCTACTAGACCAATATTACCTCAGTTCTGCCCTATCAGCTTCCCACTATTCCCTGTGTGAGGTCATTCCTTTTAACAAAATATTTGATTTCAGAATATAATTACAACAAAAAATTAAATATTTAAATATCGTTTGATGAGTTGGCACATTTAATAAACCAATATCATATACTAAATTTTTAGAATCTAATAGCCCTGATCAAAATTTACTTTTCTCAAGGACATTGTTTAGCTACAAACCAGATAGAATCCAATGAGGAAAACACTAAAGCAAACAACTTGTAGCGCAATTGTAATTAACTCTATGATCAACTGAGAGAGAAAAGAAAGTGTGTGAAAAAGTTGTAGAAGATTGTACTGGGTATCAAATATTAATAGTTAGTGTCTGTAAAATGTAGTGTAGACCAAAGTTCTTGGGTAATCCAAAAATAGAGGTATATCCTTTTATTGGGTTTATTGAAACCAGAAAGAGCATCAGATTGAATTGATTGATTCTCTAGCTAAGCAGTTAAGCTGCGAGTATATATTCAAAAAATGAAGGAATAGGGTTAGGTATTCGGCCTTCGGAATTAAAGTGCTTTGAAATCAAAATATTGAAAGCAAACAAACAGTATACCAAAAAGGAAAGAATGAATTAAAAGTTGAGTTTTGTTTGCTCCTTATATGCATCATGCAATATATATGCATATGCTGCCAAGATCCTAGGAGGTCAACACCTTTTAACTCAAGGCAGCTGTATATACTTGACATCTCTTACCAAGTCTAGGTGATCTGCCTGTCTAAAAAGTGAAAGCTGTAACGGTTATTATATCATATAATATCATAGTCACCTGCAAAATATCATAGAACTTTCACTCTAGGAGCCTAATCTCGACGAGAGACCGCGGCTTCAAATTAAATATATGATGCAGGTGCTACCGATGGGCCATTTTAAGATATTGTCACCACTTAAGTAGGTCTCACTAAACAATTAGATGGGTAGATAAAGTTCTTTGCATAGGTATTAATTGTCAAGACGTATCTAGAGTCTTAGCCTTGTTGGATTCCGTTGTGCTCACGCAAAGCGTTATTGAACGACAACTATAACTACAAGCTGGCTGAGGCAACAATCTAGGCATCTCCTTCGGCCTCCATTTTGGCTACGTATTCTTCCATGTTTGAGACTCCCTTGGGCATACCATTTGGCATCAAGCCCAAAGTGGCCATTCTCTTCTCCCTGTCAATCATGGACCTCTTCCAAGCTGGCCTCTCTGTTATTCTCTTGTGCCAAGCATCCACGTTGGGGAACTTTCTAAGAAGATTATCTTCGTAAGAACAAGGTGGATATGAAAACAACGTGTCAATTCTGTCGTTCCAAGGAGCAAAAGAAAGATCAGCGAAGGTAAACTTGTCACCAACAAGCCATTGTTTTCCTTCGAGCGAACGTTCCAATACCCCGAGGATGCGGGCGACCTCGTTATTGTAACGCTCGATGGCGGATGGGATCTTCTCGGAATGCAGGATATTGAACCTGTGCAAGAGTGATCAGTCTTGGATCGTTGGAAAAAGTAGGAGCTTTGAATAGTAAATACTCACCAGCCGCATTGTCCGAAATATGGGCCCTGACCGCTCATTTGGAACATGAGCCATTGATTGAGGAGATGTTCGTCTTGCAACTTCTCGCAGGTCAACTTCTTCTCCGTATCATACTGTTTGACAAGATATTGTAAGATGGCGCCTGATTCCCAAAGTGTCAAGTCGGTATTGGGGTCGATGATAGCTAGTTTCTGTGAATTCATGGTTACAATATTCAGAAGGAATGATGCTTATGTACCTGGAGCTCTGCCATTGGGATTGATGTCAATGAAGGGTGGTTTCTTGACGTCTTCGAATCGAACTTCTTTGATAACATACGGGATTCCGAGCTCTTCGAGGAGTATGATAACCTGTGTAAGATTTTCAGAACATGCTCGTGTGTAGTTAAGGAGCTTCCTACCTTCCAAGGATTAGGACCTGGAACTAAGTATGGGTTAGTCGGGCGATGAATTGATGATCATGACCGGAGTCTACTTACTCGACGTCCATACTTCGATAGGTTGAGTCATGATGTAGAATCTTGAAGTTGGAAGTTGCAGTGAAATATGAGAGTCGCAAGCGGCGTATCTAGATAAAAGAACGAGGAAGATTGACACTTAAGTGAAATAAGAGGAGAAGAGAGATCGAGAGAAGTGAGAGGGAAGGGAAAGAAAAGGAAAGCAAAGACTAAGGAGATTGGAGGGGCGCAATTCCTGTCGCCTGCTCACATATCATGCATCGGCCGGCTGACATCCGTTTCAATGGGGATTGTTAAACCCCGTGCTAAAAAGATTATTCATATGAATGAAAAGCTGAGGCAGTGTGTAGGGGAGTTATTGATTAGATCACCAACATCTCCCAACACTGTGCCGCTAATTATTGCGGCGAGGCAGGAACTTGTCGAATTTTGTCTTAGCATTCTGTGGGAAGTTCTGCAACGAGACAAATATCCCCAAATTATCATTGAATGAACAGTAAGCCGTCACCGTGTTCCGGAAAGGGTATATTTCTCCAAGTCCTTTATTTCTTGGGTAATGAATAAAGAAAAAGAAGGGAACAATAATATAAGAGTTCTAGACTTTACTTATCGAATACCGTGACGTTTTGTGACAAAATCCCTGCAAAAAATTATGTTTTTCTATATAACGTGGTTTATCATCGAATTGTTACGAGGTTTGCCGTCTAGATCACGTGGAAGTGCTCTAGGCTCTCGAGGTGGTTTATAACTAGGCGTCAAGCAGGGACTTAAGTAATGACAATAATGATATGCAATTCGTAACTAATAGTAGAGTATACTAAATGACTGATCTTGAGCACGAAGCTCTACACAAAGGAAACCATCCTGATGATATAGACCTTCGTCCTCCATTGGATCTCTTGGATCCTGAGAGTTTGTGGACCTTCGATTCGTATGGACCTACGATTCGTATCCCTGAATATGCAGGGTCTATCACGTGACTTGAATCAGACTATATGTCTGTGCTTGCTGAAGGTGGGGAGACTCTAAGAACCGATTACCATACAATTTTGTATGTGAATCGGTTTGCTTTTTCACGGGGTCTGAGCTCATATGGACAGGTTGACTGTTACTACGTAACACAAAAGGATCCAAGGGAGCATGAAGATCTATATATTCAGTATGAATTTCTTTATTGTAGAGCTTCGTAACTATGAGCCATAGGAGCCTTCGAACCTCCAATGCTCCATCATATGATCCTCTAATCATATGGTTTTGTGATTGTTATCGAACTGGATCTAAGCTTAACAGGGTCTGTGTATATTTGTTCCCCACACCACCTTAATGTCACGATTCACCATTAGGATTGATGGTGTTACGATGGTAGCAAACTGATTAATTAGAAGAGCTTAGGCCTTGTGCAAACACGATCAGATTTCATCGAATTAGTATGTGATCTTGGTCACCTGAAGATCGTGTATGCACGCACCATCAGAAATCACGTGATAAGGAGCCCTAGGAGCTTCGTGCTCAACTTAGTTATCAATTAGTTTACCTACATTCTATTTGATCTAGTAACGAATTCACTTTCAAGTGAATACCAGTGATAAAGCCTTAATGTTACGTGACGGTTGTTACCCACTAGTGGCTCACGTGCACTAGCCCTGTATATAAAGACCTTCTTACTTAGAATCTTCTTAGTTCTTTAGTTTTAGATTCTAAGTGATTGAATTGACTCCGTTTACGACTTTTCCGTCACACTTAACCTATAACTACCAACCGACGAACCTTAGGCAGCCGCTGCCTTTAGTACAGTATCGTTACACTTAATTCCATACTAAATCGGTCAAATCGTATCTCGTAAGCACACGATCGATTAGTATAAGATTCGTGGTCGTAACAAGGTATTAATGATTTAAATTTTGATTTTTAATTTATATAGAATTTATTAAAAGATTGGGTGGAAGAGGCCTCTATATTGACTATATTACTACGTGTGTAGGCATATTAATCTCCTCGTGGTATCCTCTGAGGGGACCAATATGCCTGCTTATGGTTCGTCTAATCTAGCCTGTTTAGGTAACCGTATTACTAATCACGACACGTGATTAGTACCGGTAACTTCTATTCCTTTTAACAGAATTTATATATAAATTTGAAAATCTTAAATAATTTTTCAACAAAAATTATTAAAAATAAATCATAAAAAGTTTTGAAATACAAATATTATAATCAATTAAATAAATCAATTTATTTGAAAAAATAATTGACACACTCAAGAATACTGGGTGAAGTTGTAACGATACTATACTGGAGGCAGCGGCTGCCTAAGGTTTCGTCTGGTTGGTAGTTGTGGGTTAAGGCTTTATCACTGGTCTTCACTTGGAAGTGAAGTCGTTACTAGATCAAGTAGAATGTAGGTAAACTAATTGATAACTAAGTTGAGCACAAAGCTCCTTAACTACGAGACTAAATGAATGTTTATATACCCTATATCATCTTTTGAGGACCTTTGGGACCCTAAGGTCCAAAAGGTCCTCAAGGTCCTCGAGGTCACGTGAATTAATGAATCGTGACAGAAGTATCTTATATTAGAAAATACTAAACTAAGGAGAAAAGAAGAAGGAAAACAAAAGTAGAGATTGATTGATTGATTGATTGATTGTGTTTATCGTCATAGGCCGTAGGCCCACGCGCCTTGGCGCGTGATAACCTTAGCCATCTATTCCAGTTTTGGACAAATGACGCTCAGAGGAGAAGCCTCTGAGTGGTTTATCAGCTAGCTAGGGGGAGTATTTATATACAATTTAAAGGGGGCTAGGGCAGGGTTTACATGATTGCCTTCGCAGGGGGGGTTTGGGCCGGTAGGCCTTTTGGGGTTGTAATTGTGGTCATCCTCGTCCACTAGATCACTGGCTCTTGATCTCTCTCCCTGTCTCCTCGTACTTGTTTTGGTTGTTCGTATGCATACTTGTTTTTTTTTTTTTGAATGAAAGAAAAGGGAAAGATGAAAGAGAGGAAAGAAGAGGAAGGAAAAGCTCCCTTAGAGACCTATTAACTCCGTTTGAATCCAGTGAAAGAAAGAAAGTTTTTTTTTTTTTTTATCTTGCACCTGTGTGCCACGGGCAGATTTTTGTGTAGAATTTGGTGTATTCTAGCCATTCGGCTAGTTTGGCTATACCGGTGGGATTGCTTAGAAGCCAGGGGATAGCTTCGGAGGGGGGGCTCTTTGTGAGCGCTTTGAAGGCTTTTCCTTTTTTGCAAAAGAAAAAGTGTAATGGAGTTTTCCTTTTACCGCACGAGCAATGGACGTGGGCTGTAGTGTGATTGAAGCGTTCATGGTATGCTGCGAAGTCGCCATGCTGTGATCTGATAGCGAGAATATGGTGGAGTGTGGCTCTCTTCAGAGAGAGGGTGTCTGTATTAGAAGTGTGGTTGAGTTGGAGATCTTTGTAGTATTGTGGCCTGACTGTATTCCATAATTGTTCGTCTGCTTTGTTGGCCCTTGTTCTGATCATTCTTTTTAGGGATGCTAGCGTACAGATCGGGTTGAGGGGAAAGGGGAGTTTTGTTCCTTCCTTAGCGGCTTTGTCAGCTAGTTCGTTGCCAGGGATATCCAGGTGCCCTGGGACCCATCGGATGCGGATTTTCCCGGGGGAGGTGTGTGGGAGCCTTGATCTGACAGCCCAAGCTTGTGTAAGCTTTAGAAAGTCTTCAAAGACTCTCTGTGAGGAACCATTGAAGTGGGATCCTAATCGGAGAGCAGCCTCGTGGTTGTCTAAGAAGATCCAGAGATCTGTGGCCAGTTTGGTTGATGCTAGAGTGAGGGCTTTTGCTGCCCCTGCTACTGTGGCTGTGGCTTCTGCATCGAACACTTCTGCGTTTGTGCCTAATGAGAAAGAGTGGTGTGCTATCTAAATATCGAATTGTGAGATTACGAAACCACCCCCAGTTGCACCATCCTTGTTTTCGCTTTTTGAGCCGTCCGAGAAGATCTATATATCGCTACTTGGTATCTTGGCATGGAAGGCTTTGAAGTCCTCGGCTGCTTGTGCTTTCGTTCTGCCCATTGGGCCATTGATACGAGCCTCAGCCTCTGCCCTCGACTCTCTGATTTCCCAGGGTGGGGAGGCTAAAGGGTTTATATGTTCAGTCTTTGGTAATGCTGTGATGTGCCTTGCAAATCTTGTGTCTGGGATGCGGTTCTGTTCTTTGGCTTTGGTTATGTTCTCTGCTCTGACCCTGAGAGGGTGGTAGGGGTCTAATCTGGTGGTTCGTGCTGCGTATGATTGTGAGATCTGGTTTAGCTCGATCTCTGATGGTCTGGGTTTGGCTTCTTCGTAGAGTACTGCTGTGTTTGTGGTTTTGTATACTGGGAGGATTGCTCTTGTGCAGGTAATTACCACTTTATTGAGCAGGTTTATATGGCTATCCACTATACTCGAGGTCGAGATCGGTTTGTTTAGAGCATTCTTCTTTGGTCTGGTTCGGCCCGGCCACCAAGTTTCCGAGGCGAAATAGCACTGTTTGAGTATGCAGGCTTCAGCCACTCTCCTAGTGAGATATGGGGGTATCCCTCGGTGTGTATTGCTGAGGGATCTCAGTGCATTAGCTCCCTTGAGGGCTTTGGCTGCGAGGATCTGGACATGTGGTTTGAAGCATAGTTTCCTGTCGAAGTGGACTCCGAGCCATCTGAGCGGGCCAGGTTTGACCTTTATATTTGTAGATTCAGTATGTATTGCAGGGGTATCAGTTAGTGTTCGGTGTCCTTTGTAGAAGTGTATGAGCTCAGATTTCTTGGGGTCAAAGGTAATGCCTTCGGTTTTTCCCCACTCAAGGGTTTCTTGCATATCCATTTGTAGAGAGTCGCAGTTTGTTTGAAGTGAGTCTGATGTCGCTAGTATCGCGATATCGTCTGCATATCCGAATCTGCTCTGTGGTTTGCCCATCCAGAAGAGGGGCGCGATGTAGAGCATGAACAGGATCGGGGAGATCGATGAGCCTTGAGGAAGACCGCATTCTAGCTTTGTTTCCGGGCCAATCTCGCCGTCTAATCGGATCTTGATAGAACGATTGGTAGCAAAGGATTGTATCCATTTAACCAGATTGTTTGGCCAGCCTTGTTCCCGGAGACGGTTCACTAGTCTCCCTGGTAGCACTGCATTGAACGCCCCTTTTACATCCATTGTAAGCAGAGTAGTCCTTAATCCTTGTTTTATAGATGCTTCGATGTCATGTGTAACGCAAGTGGTGAGGTCCACCGAGGATCTCAGGGGAAGAGCTCCGAATTGCTGGTTTGCTAGGACTTGGTGATTCAGGGCGAGCCATGACATTTTCTTCGCGGTGAGTCTTTCTAGGCCTTTGCCTAAGACTGAGAGCAGTGCGATTGGTCGGTAGGAGCGTGGGCTGGAGTAGTCTGGCTTGTTGGGCTTGGGAATTATTGCAATTGTAGCTAATCGGAAGCATTTTGGGTGGTGTCCTGTGTGTAGACATCCTTTGAAAAGAGATAGGGATGTCTCTCTTATCTGTGGCCATGCGACTTGTAGGATTTTTGTTGGGATTTCGTCCGCACCGGGTGCATTGTTCCCTGCTTTCAGGATGGCCAGCTCGATATCTTGTATATCTATGTCTGGGGAGGTGATAGATCTGCTTGAGGCTGTCGGAGTGTCAAATGAGATATCGTCAACTTCAGCGAGGTTTGTCAGTAGGTTGTTGGCGAGAGATTGCCTTTTCTCTTCAGCTGTGTTTGCAATGGTCTGATTTGTGGGGTCTGCTAAATGGGGGGTTCGGTATATTCCTGTGGATTGATGCCATTTGGCTATTCGGTATACATCGTTTATATCTTCTACTTTATCCACTTTCGTAATATAGAAGGTGTGTTTTGCTTTTCGGGCTGTTTTCCGAAGAGAGCGCTTGGATGTAGGTGTATTGATGATTCTGTGTTCGTGCACAGCCTTCGTACAGTCCTCGTTCCACCAGGGTTGTTGAAGAGGCCCGTTTGTGGATCTTCTTGCAGAGCCTGTATAGGCTTTTGTAAGGGCTTGTGTAAGGGATGATGCAGCTTGATCTAGGTCTCTGGGGGAGGGTGTTTTGGGGATAGCTGCAATATTAATGCGGTTAGCTCCTAGTAGGTCTTTAAAGAGCGTTTCATTCAGTGTATTTAGCTTGAGTTTCTTTGCGGGCTTTTGGCTTCGGTAATTCCAGTGGAGGTAGGTTTTTAGAGTGCTGTGATCTGAGGTGCACTCTAATTGTTCAGCGAGGGCGGTATGCGCTGTAT